TACATTGATGACACCGGTACAAGCTCCAGGGTCAGCAAATACATTGATGACACCGGTACAAGCTCTAGGGCCAGCAAATACATTGATGACACCGGTACAAGCTCCAGGGCCAGCAAATACATTGATGACACCGGTACAAGCTCTAGGGCCAGCAAATACTTGGTTGCCCCCGGTACAAGCTCTAGGGCCAGCAAACACATTGATGACACCAATACAAGCTCTAGGGCCAGCAAACACATTGATGACACCAATGCAAGCTCTAGGGCCAGCAAACACATTGATGACACCAGCTTAAGCTCAAGGATTCCAACATTCACTGTCATTAGCCCAAAGTCTTCTTATAATACAAGTGGCAAAAATGAGTCAGATTATATTAACAAACTGGACGATACCTTTAATAGTGTTGCTCAAAGCTATAATTCTGTGCACAAAGTTCAAGAAATGTATAGGAAAACCTCGACAAATATTATCTCAAATAATATGCAGAAGCCAAAACACAATGAGGTAAAGTCAAGTTCATCGTACAAAGCCTCTCCAGTACAATTTAAGAGTCGGCTGCCTTCAGAAAGAGCAGAACGAGAAGTTTCGGCTCCTAAGCCATATACGACTCGCACAGGAGAAAGTAGTGAGGACAGTGAAGATGATATGGGAGGTCACGATAATGTGGTGGCTATTAGCTACAAGCAGTATGACTTGTCTGGTAAATGTTGGCAATTTATGGCAGGTGAGACAGATGCAGTGAAGCCAACTCAAGAATGCAACAAGAACACAATTTCCATGGAAAATTGTGCAAATGCGAAGAGAGACAGTGAAATGAAGATGGAGACGAGTGTTAGCATGACCAACAACGAAAGGAAATCTGAAGAACAATGCCAAAACTATAATAATCATCAGAGTTGTTTGACAGATGGAATCAGTGATAGATTGAAGACCTTAAATGGTAAAGTTACAAAGGATGCAGTTAGGTTCTTAGCCTGTCCTTCTGAAACAAAATCACAGAATAAAGATAGTGAATTAAAGATTACCCATAATATCAGTAAAGATCTTGATTGTAGATACTTGCCATTCCTGAAAGAAGAGCTCTCTAGAAGTGAAAAGAAGATGCCTTGTACCCCAGAGCACAATGTAGCCATTCTCCGTCATGGAAGTCTACCTACCAGGTACCCTATCCGATGGTCTACATACAAAGATACTTGCACAAACAGTAAATTAATCAATCCAAAAAATATACCAGGCCCTGTTAGCTCAAAAAAATATGAAAATCAAGGAAAGGAAGTTTACAGAAATACCATTTTCAGTCGGGATGAAGGTTCCCAGCAACATAATGTGGAGGATTGTAAGCTATACAAAGAGGCAAAAAGTCAGCCAGAGTTGGCTAAAGCTACAAACATAGTTGAACCTGAATCCATACATGGCAGAAAGCTAAATTGTGAAAGGTATCAAGACTTAAATAATCACAAGTTAGATACAAAGTTAAATCTGGACCGCAATGATTGGAAAAGAAAAGCTAGTAGATTATCATTTGATAATTTAGTGAATATTTGTAGTAAAACTGTAGAAAATAGCATTAAACACTGCATAGCACAGGCCCCAAATGAACTGCCAATGAATTTAAAAGATTTAGGTTTGGAAAGAGGGGCAGCTATATTTGGTGGAATTGTGAAAGAGTTTGTGTCTACACTTCCCTCGGATGTGAGTAAAGGTTTGGAGTGTGACACAAAAACACAAAGTTCATTGCCAACTACTGTTAGGCATAACTTGGATGATGTCCACTTACGGAAGACAGATGATAGTGTGAGAAAGAAAATATTACAAAAGGTATATGACAAGTTTGATAGTATAAAAGACTCTGAGACAGTTTTACCAAATAAATTAGATTTACCAAATAAGTTAGATTTACCAACAAGCCAAGTCTCTGAACCATGGATTGGGTATAAAACAACAGATATGCATAACACAAATAGTGTGTCTGCTTTGCCACGTTTTAATCGTATGGACGAACCAAAGATATTGAGCAGACGTGGCTCACTTGATACGCAAGAATCCTCCAGACTTCGCTTAAGTAAAACAGGAAAGATTGAAGTAATTGATGCTAGCATGACAGATGAAGACTCTGAACAAATAAATGAAGAAGGACAAGACGACATTCTTCAAGATAATGATAGTATGTGCTCTGTGCCACATGATGTTACTAACATTGCTACAACCAGAAACAGTTTCACTGGACGCTTTAACTTATGGCGTTTGTCATGGAATTTAAAAAATGATAGCCAGCCACCGAGCCGGAGTGAGTCCTTAAAGTTACGATTGCAACAACGGAGAGCCAGTGTGTCAGATTTTACACCGAGTTATGATAGGAGAAATTCATTTTCTGGGACATTTAATGATCTGTGTTCTCTGGGTCAGAACAACAAGCGGTCCAGTACCGTCGAGACTCCAAAGCTAAACAGAAAAAAACGGCCTGAGCATTCACCACTTCTCACCAGGAGAGGCTCAGTCTCCAGCTTGAGTTTGTTCAAGGCCTCAAGTGATGCAGTACCTGTCACCAGGAGGCACAGTGTTGATGAAAGGTCTAGGAGATTCAAGATGGAGAAAACTTCAGTTGAGAAAGCTTCAGATGCTTTCTCATATTTCTTTGACTATCCGGTTCTCAAGCAAGGTGAGTTTCCTTCTTATACTTTTAATGTTTCAAACTTGTACCCTAGAAACTGTTTACAGTATTTGTATATTTCTTATGGCATATTGTTCCTGTTTTTCAATTTCTGCTCCCTTCAGTGCACTGGTTCCAGCACCAAAATCTCACTAATCCATCCTATTATTTTTGTACATTCTTATTAATTACTAAATAAATATAGTACACACTTATTCATCACTGATCATTTAGCAGGATTTATATATTTGTTTACACACCCTGATTGAAGTAAAGATGGACCAAAGAAAATGGTTAGTAAATGATGTTAAGTACAGTTTTTATTTTTAAATCACCAACCATGAGGCCTGGTTAGACTGGACCACTCCGACATTGATCCTCAGAACCATCTCTAGGTCTCGTTAGCACTTGAATAGGACAATTCTCTTGCCTCCAGCATTTAAGGAGATATAGGATTGCATGATTTACAAATACAAAAAATGCATTTAGATAATGTTTACATTAATTACTCGCAAAATTTAAATCAATTATAGCTTTAAAATTCACTAAAACCAACCACCAGTGCTCCACAGCTTTGAAAAAAGAAAAAGCCAATTTGGCTTTTTCCCAATAAATATTTATAACTGGGAACCTTACCTATGCCTTCAGGTTCCAACATCACCTTTTAACATTTCACTGCATAACCAGATATATTAAATAGCAAATTACTATGTATTGGTGACTGTTTAAACAGAAAAAACATGTTCTATGAGTGCACAGAAAATCCTTTGACATAACTTAATGTCTCCATCAGTAGAGCACAGTTTAAAATATTCATGATAGTGCTAGGAGAATAATGACAATCCAAAAACTATTTGTGGTGTTAAATGTTGAATGGATGCAATTAAATACCGTACTAGAGTGAATGAAAGCTTGTCCACTGGCAGATGATAAGCAAACATTATACATTTCTGTATTCATAAAGTTAAGGTGATAATACTAGAACCAAGTTAGGTGTGTTAGGTGTGTATGTACAACACACACACAAGTGCAGTACTGTACAGTTATTTGTTTAAGGTAACTAATTATTATCAGGAGAAATCACTAGTGAATTTGATAATGCAGGAACAATATTTATATAGAGGAACTAGTTCACATTGGTTTAAAAATTAAGTTGTGACATATCTGATTTAAGCACCATATGGCTACTGAAAAATAAAACCCTAAAGTTTTACTAATGATTTTTTTAGTTTAAATGTAAAATGCAGTTTTTTATGAGCGAGATAATCAGAAAACTTTTAATTTATAAAAAGTTATTGTTGCATTGAATGAGGTTAATGAAGTGCTCTCATAACCCAGAAATCTTTTAACCCTTCTCATACTATATTGATCAAGATCCAATGCAGACCGTACCGCATTTTTTAGCAGATTACATAGTCGAGTAATGCTGGGCTCTTAAGCCATTTTAGTATTGCTTCTGATGTCACGCATACTGCGGCCATGGTCATTCATGTTGGCCCCTAAATCCAGAAGCAAATTTCTTACTCAGATTTCTACCATCATTCATAATGGAATCTGCAACTATTTCTGAGCCAACTGGTTGGCTATTGCTGTACAAATAATATACCATCAAACTTGTCCTATCCCTGTGGTGTTCTGTCTGCTACCCCAGGAAGTTGGGAAGCATCTTGGGTTAGCCAATATACTTGCCTCATGATTTACTGGTGGGCACTTCATGAGACTAATACCTGCAATTTTCTAACAGTTGCACAGCTCATAGAATGCCCTGATTTTCAGGATGATTGAAAATTTTATATCCCTCCCTACCTTACAGTTACCTTTGAATCTTGGGTCCCTCAATGAAATCAAAATCATTGGTGGATCAGGTTCCATTGACATCACTAGTCTTATCTTTCTGCTCTCGTAAAGGCATCCTTCCAATATCTAATAACTTTTAACTATTGTATGACTCAGACTGGCTTTATTTAGCCTGGGCTTGGTGCTTTTGATAATTGCTTGAAGAATGGATGTATGGAACATTTTATGTTGAATAAATGCAAACTCTAGCTTTTTCAGCAGATCAACACGGTTCAACATGCACACAGAAATATTTAATTAATTGGCAAATTGGATAAGTAAGAAAAGTGGATACTTGTACCCAAGTCTATGTACAGTAATGTGGAGTAAAGTTGACTGCTATACAAAATGCTAGCCATATAACATAATTTTTATAAATATTTTGGTGGCTTTGTAAACGGATAAAAATCATCGTTCATTTTAAACAAATTGATTATAGAGTATATATATCTTGAAACCAATTTAACTTCAGCATAGAGTATAAATTTTCAATTTGGGATATAAAATATTAATCTTTTGTACCAAAAGATTTATTTATAAATTACAAATATTTTGCATTTAATATGCAACATACAGATATAAAAGCAACCATCTCAGTTACTGTCCAAGCATAACATGCATTATCACAGTTGTACCAAATAGCGTCGAAGTCTTGACATCATCTTTTCTTAAAACCGTATTTCTTCCTTTCATAGAAGAGATCAGTCTTGGATGACCCCAAGTTGACAATCTTTGGGCAACCATCCCGATCTTTCTCCAGAACTGTGCACTCCTTACAGTAGTACGCGTCAGACACACCTGGGGGGGGGGGGTAAATACAATTAGCACTTAAGTACTGTATATGCAAATTAAAATATTTCATACTAAAGTCCTTGATTGTTATATTTTATTAGGTTTTGTTATAGCTTACAATCACTTTTAAATGTAAAAATGTGGTTTTGAACTCGACTGATACATATTTAAAAGCTGAATGTTCATCAGAACTGAGGATATTGCCAATCATCTTGATTAGTAATTTGACTATTAATAGGACACTAATAAGAGCACAGTGCTTGATAAAATTCCTAGGAAAAATAGCAGGCCATCACCAAATTAAATGGTAATGGCCTGAACTATTTAGGAAAGGCAGACCATACTGAGAAATGCACATTGTCTCAGTTGTATTTTGAGAATCGTCTGAATATTGAACCCTAACTTTTAAAGATTGTTAATACGATGAATACAAGAATATGGATACAGGCCTGTGAGGTATTGCATTGCTTTGATGTTATTGGACTAGTTAGTGATCAATGCTAGATCTACCAAAATCTTCACATTATTCAGACAATACTTAAAATACTCTAGAGAAAGCTTTGTGTATTTTTCAGCAAGACGTTTCCAAAGTGCCACAGAACTGTAATACAATGCAGTGATATATACAGTATATATGAGTGCTTAGTGATACAAATTTGCTATACTGTAATATTTTATGGTTTTTCAAAGCCTCTGAAATATGAATTAAACGATTATGGCAATAATGATGTATGTACTGTAATATCACATACTATTACAGTTGTCTGCATCCAGCATCTGATGATATAAATTATTAATTTTTTTAATGAAAGTGTGATTTTTAAAATGTTATTAAGCATAGACAATGCTAAAACTTTCAACAATAAAAATCTAGTAATTATTTATGATAGTCATTACAAGGGTTAACCAAGTGTAACCATATTGATACACAAATTTCTAATGCTGTGTGTTCTTCACGTAACACAAAAAAGTAGGCAAAATCTAATTTAATTATTGCCATTTGATAGCCTAAGCCTCAATCTCGATGAATAAAAAGCTGGAAAATATAATCATTACACATTATTACCAAAAAGTAACATGGCAGATTAATAGGACGCTTGAACTTAAAATTTAAAAATAAAGTAGTATACATTGAAAAGCAGCACTGTGTAATTTAATACTGTATAGCCCTATTATTCATATTTTCAAAGCTAATGAAAGATGTGTGATTAAAATTTGGCTACTCAAATGTCTAAATGTTTTTAGACATTATTGCTGTTTACAAAAACAGCAATAAATTACTAAAGCTAGTTTGTGCTTAGAATTCTGATATTCTGCATTTTGATTAAACCAAAGCATAGATGATGGATCCCTGCAGCGATACATATAAATTAAAACACTTTGGCAGACATAAGATGCCTGCAACTTTAAAGTATAAAACACAATATTATTGTTTATGATTGATAACTGTAGCGATTAGGCTGCTAGGGGCCACAGCCATATTGTTAAAAGCCCACGAGATGATTTGTTGCTAGCCAAGAGAATATAATGTAGTCTCAGTGTGCATTCAGCACTGAATGTTTAGATATACCTATAGCCACATATATTTACGTATCAAAGTTCTATATACTACTGTACTGAAAACACAGTATTTGACAGAATACAGACAATGTATTTGACAGAATACTGACAATGAAGGACACCCCTCCCAAGGCTCTCCAAGCCCAGGAACACAGCACCATACATGCTTGGCAGTATGCACAGCAAGCACCGTGCTGCCACTCACAGTGCCTGGGCAGCACTGTAAGGACCTACCGGGCCCTCCGCAGATGACACAGCGACCCTGGTAGGAGCCGTAGTTACACTCGTCACATATCCTCACTAGTGTGCATGGCCGCACGTACGAGTCACAGATCACACATTTCCCGTCACATTTCTCACACAAGCGTCCGATGGCCACTCCGGGCTGCTTCCTGCAGAAGATTAAATCGGGATGATGCTTTGCCATGTCGTCCTAATGTTAACACGTATGAAAAAAATGAAGCTAATCGATGCGAGGACGCTCGGGGGAGAGAAGCGTCCCGGCTGAACGTTTGTAGTGGTGTGGGCAGCGTCTGCCGTCAGCGGCACCCTCGGCACGCACATCCACACCAGCGGGGCGGGGCCCGGCGCGCGCACGCCCCAACCCCGCCACCTTTAAAATCACCAACACCACCCAATGAACAAGTTATGATTTGTTTCATCATAAAGAATGCGCATATTAAATTAAGGCCTGCTGACTATTTCTAAAAAAAAAAAACTTGTTACATTTTTTTAGAAAATTCACTTTTTTTTTTTTAATTTTAATTTGTTTTGTTGGGGACATGATTTTTTTTGTATTAACAAGCTTCGGTATAGCCCCCTAACACCCGCATTATTAGGGGGCCTGACAGCTGAGTGGACAGCGCTTCGGATTCGTAGTCCTGAGGTTCCGGGTTTGATCCCCGGTGGAGGCGGAAACAAATGGGTAGAGTTTCTTTCGCCCCGATGCCCCCTGTTACCTAGCAATAAATAAGTACCTGGGAATTAGACAGCTGCTACGGGCTGCTTCCTGGGGGTGTGTAACAATAAGGAGGCCCTGGTCGAGGACCGGGCCACGGGGAGGCTAAGCCCCGAAATCATCTCGAGATAACCTCAAGATCTCAAGATACACAACAATGTGCTGCTACCCTATTCCATTTGAAAGATTACACAGTTTAGATAAAAAACTAGCTTTAAGTTGATCTAATATTCCCATCTCACAGGATGGTTAGTCATACATGGAATCAGGGGCCGTAAATACTTGCCTTACTACAGAAAACAAATCAACTCTGACTAAACAACAACTTCAAGATTTTCACAAGAGCTAAGCACTGAATCATGTAAACATTACGAAGCCTGTATTTACTATTTGTGTCTGCAGAATCGAATTATTTGCTCATGGACCCCGCCTTTCTAACCAATCTAATTTTCATATTATGTCTACTACATATATTTCTAACACACACACACACACACACACACACACACACACACACACACACACACACAGGTGAATACAACTAGGTGAATACACACACGTACGTACGTACGTCCAAGGATGCAGTCCGTAGCAGCTCTTTAATTCCCCAGGTACCTATTTACTGCTAGGTGAACAAGGGCATCAGGTAAAATAAACTCAGCCCATTTGTTTCTACCTCGACCAAGACTCGAACCCGGGGCTCTTAGGACTACGACCCCCGAGCGCTGCCCACTCAGCTGTCAGGCTGTATGGGTACTCGCCTAATTCTTCTTGTGTGGGTTGAGTTTCGGATCTTTGGTCCCGCCTCTCAACTGTCAATCAACCAGTGGACAGATTCTTGAGCCTTTTCAGCTCGGTTATATCTATAATTGAAACTGTATTTGTTAACTACTGATACCGAAAAAGGTCTTTCTGACGTCCCTGTGACTCATTTGGATACTGAGCTTCCATCTGTGTCCCCTTGTTCGTGTACCACTCATGCTAATAGTTTATCTTTATCTACCCGGATAAAGATAAAGAAAGAAGGTTTCTTTCTTCCTCTGAGAATTATATAGGTGTTCACGTATCTTCTAACTTCCGTTTTCCATTGCCTTGAGGTTTAGTTCCAGTATTATGTCCTCGTAGCTCCACGGGAGACATCTCCCGTCACGCAGGGCGCAGTCGCACCTCCACAGATCTCCAGTATCAGCTCTTGATACTGGTAATGGCTCAAAAGAGCCACCGCTCACGGGCTAGTCATGCCCGTGCCACCTTTTGGGTGGCTTAATCATCATCAATCAATCTCGTAGCTCACACGCACGCATATGTGTACTTACCTAGTTGTGCTTGCGGGGCTTTGAGCTCTGGCTCTTTGGTCCCCTCCTCTCAACTGTCAATCAACGTGTGTGTGTGTGTGTGTTTAGAGAGACATATATGTAGTAGATATAATGGAGGAAAAATGGATTGGTTAGAAAGGCGGGGTCCAAGAACTCGATTCTACAGACACACATAGAAAATACACACCCACCCACCCTGAAACCAGCAACATCACAAACAAGAGGACACACATTCAGGCTAAGGAAACAAAGGTGCCGAAAAAAAATTAGATAGTTTTCTTGTGCGGAGTGGTAGACGGTTGGAACAAGATGTAGTGAGGTGGTGGAGGCCAAAATCGTCAACAGTTTCAGTGTTATACAACAAAGAGTACTGGGAAGACGGGACACCACGAGCGTAGCTCTCATCCTGTAACTACAAGGATGTTAACCTCAAGGTAACCTTGAGGTGTTTTCGGGGTTAGTCGTCGACCAGGCCTCCTGGTTGCTGGACTGGTCAACCAGGCTGTTGGACGCAGCTGATCGCAGCCTGACGTATGAGTCACAGCCTGGTTGATCAGGTATCCTTTGGAGGTGCTTATCCAGTTCTCTCTTGAACACTGTGAGGGGTCGGCCAGTTATGCCCCTTATGTGTAGTGGAAGCGTGTTGAACAGTCTCGGGCCTCTGATGTTGATAGAGTTCTCTCTCTGAGTACCTGTTGCACCTCTGCTCTTCAACGGGGGTATTCTGCACATCCTGCCGTGCCTTCTGGTCTCATGTGATGTTATTTCTTTGTGCAGGTTTGGGACCATCCCCTCTACTATTTTCCACGTGTAAATTATTATGTATCTCTCCCGCCTGCCCTCAAGAGAATACAGATTTAGGCTCTTTAGTCTGTCCCAATGGTTTAGATGTTTTACTGAGTGGATTCTAGCAGTAAAGGATCTCTGCACGCTCTCCAGGTCAGCAATTTCTCCAGCTTTGAAAGGGGCTGTCATTGTGCAACAGTATTCCACTCTAGAGAGCACTAGCGTCTTGAAGAGTATCATAATTGGTATAGCATCTCCAGTGTGAAAGGTTCTTGTTATCCAACCTGTCATTTTTCTTGCAGTCGTGACGGCTACTTCATTGTGTTTTTTAATGGTAAGGTCTTCCGACATGAGTACACCCAAATCCTTTACATTGCTGTTTCGTTCTGTGTTATGATTTGACTGCGTTTTGTACGTGGTTTCTGATTTTATATTTTCATTTTTTCCGTAGCGCAAGAGCTACGGAAATTAATTACCTAAGCGCATTTAGGTAATTAAATACACGCACGTTCGTGTTAGGCAGTGATGTGGTGGAGGCAGACTCCATACACAGTTTCAAATGTAGATATGATAGAGCTCGGTAGGCTCAGGAATCTGTACACCAGTTGACTGACAGTTGAGAGGCGGGACCAAAGAGCCGAAGCTCAACCCCCTCAAGCTCAAATGTGTTGAGTACACACACATTGGTTCTTTGCTGATCACCAGCGTGTGTATACTGGTAAATATACGTAATTAACGGATGTCCACCAATCTCCACCATAATATATTCGAACCTCTATACCCAGATATATAGCTTTTAGTTCCAGGTCATTGTAGATAAATATTCTTATTAGAATATCTTAAATAAACACGAATGTCATTTTTCCTTACAAACGCAGTCAGACCCCGACTTAAAGAGGATGAGACCTCCAAGATGAGATAACAATGATGATAGATACGTTAGCGATAACGCATCAAGAGGCACTCTGCCTGGCCGAGGTCATGGCTGTTAACGATGTCAGTCCTGCAGTTACTCTAGTGCCTTGCTGAGAGTGTGTCACGACGCCCACTATGCTACACCCAGCCAACCCTCCATGATCCACCTGGCTGTTGTGGGGCCTCGCTCGGATACATGTCTGAGGATGCATTCTATTTTGAGCTCCATTCGGAGGATTTCATTCTCCTCGCCGCCTTAAATATTTTCATATCATGTAATGCACTCGTGGAGTTAATTTCTTTAAATTGAGAGAAGTACACTAGCTGGTGTGGGTGCACTTGTGCACTGGCCGGTGTGGGAGTGTACTGTGCACTGGCCGGTGTGGGAGTGTACTGTGCACATGTGCACTGCCTGGCGTGGGAGTGCACTGGCCGGTGTGGGAGTGTACTGTGCACTGGCCGGTGTGGGAGTGTACTGTGCACTGGCCGGTGTGGGAGTGTACTGTGCACTGGCCGGTGTGGGAGTGTACTGTGCACTGGCCGGTGTGGGAGTGTACTGTGCACTGGCCGGTGTGGGAGTACTGTGCACATGTGCACTGCCTGGCGTGGGAGTGTACTGTGCACTGGCCGGTGTGGGAGTGTCTGAACCTAAACACTTAACATAACCTGTACCTCACTGTACATAAACTTCAATATACTGTATAATATTGGTACTGTATATAAATGAGAATAAATTATTTTTACTACACATGTTAAATTTATTAATGTGTCCCTGGGTCAGTATCCAGCCAAGACTTTTTAATACTCGGTGCTCGAGTAACACACACTGACCTCATGACCCCAGGCAGATATCTTCAGTTCTATCACACTCTTGTGATTACAGTTCATTCTTGCATCATGACTCTTCACAAGCATTCTGCATCATTTGTGCATTTTATTTGTGGCTGTTAGATGGCAAGAATAATATTTAGGTACTGTACAGTATGTACAGTACATGTTTTTTAAAAGAATGGAAGTGGATTAAGCAAGTCTAGTGTAAGTATATTTTCCCATTAAAGCTAGCTTTTGCAATGAAAATTCACTGTTCTAGTTTTTATTGGAATGCAATACAATATTGTAACCTGGACTTATTGTGACATATTGTTTGGACAGTATAAGATGAGTAGATTTTGTTATACAGTATAATCAAATCTTCTGGTCTGATAAGATAGGCTTGATTGTAATATTCTTGTTTACAAAATTTGAGTTACACTATACAGTACAGTATATACAAAATGGTGAAAGTACAATAACAGAATATTTGTGTGTGAATTTTCTTTCAGTATGTGGGATACAAGCCTGCTTTACTCTAAAACAGTGTAGTGTACTATGTACAGTATACTAATGTTTAGAGGATAGGTTGATACTTCATACTCTATACTTTTTCTGTTAGTAATGTGTTGCTAAATGTTACTTTTTTTACATTTGTTGCCAATAGTGCATTATACGTATACACAATTACTTTGTTGTGTTGGTGTAAACTGTTTTCGCAAAGTTGGTGACTGTTATGTTTTATAGATACAATACTAGTGTACATAAATCTCAATAATTTTATGAATAATGATTTATAAATGTTTCAGATGCACGTGAACTCGCTCGCCAAGAGCTGCACTCTGCCCTACGTGAGTCCTGCAGTAGGGGAGATGTCTCGCGGGCCAAGGCCATCCTGCGGGATCTCGGTGCAGAGGCTCAGATCATCATCAACTCTGCACCTAATGGCTCCAACACGTTACTTTTCAAGTATGGGTTACTTTAATTAAAGTCTAATGTGTAGTTGGATTATTTTGCTCTTGGAAAAATAAAAGATATTTATATACAGTATTTTTTTATGTATTTTTTGGTGTGACTAAATATTTGTTTTAAAAAGTTAAATGATATAATTTTCTTAAAAAAAAAAAAATATGATTTTTTGTTTTCTTCTAATTATTTTGCTATTGCTTAATGGTAACACTAGATGTAAATATGAAATGATACTTATTTGGTTTTAAGGAAGGCAGTCTCTCGGTATGTTCTTAAGCCTCTCGGTTAATCTTTTCTTCAGTGTGATTTTGAGTTCTAGTTCATCTCTGCTTAGGTTTTTTCTTTGTAGTGACTGAAATCATAAGTACATTAGTCAAAATAAATCTAATTAGTATATAATTTAGACTTTCTTTTTAATATTTTTTTTAGTCATAGCTAATCACTCAATAGTTACATTCTTCAGTTATAGGTGATTTTTTTTTTATCTTCAACTATGTGTAATCTCTTCCTTGCATGTTCTTCAGCTACAGTATCTTTAACCTGTTTGAATGTTCTTCAGCTATAGTTAATTTTTTTTTATATTCTTTAATTGTAACTAATCTCTTCCTAGTACAGTACTGTATGTTTTCTGGCTAGGCTATAGTTTATTGTATCTCTTAGCTGTAGAATATTCTATAGTTGTCAATGTACTATATATTATATTTTCATTAAAATATTTAATAATATAGCATACTGTATAAAGTATGCAAAGAATAATGCATGGTCAATTTGCAATGAGATGCAACTGGAGCTTTTTCTAATGTACTGAGCATGTAACACCTGGCTTAGGCTTTAATTGAAGCCTTATTAATTAGAAAAGAAGCAGAAGATTTTTATGAAGATGTACATCATTAGGGCCTGTGAGGAAGGTCAGCGTGAGATGGTGCGGCTCCTGCTGGATCATGGGGCAGATGGCAGGATCCACCCTGTCACAAAATACTCCCCGCTCTATATTGCTTGCTACTATGGCCGCAGAGATATAGCTGAAATGCTGCTTAAGGTAAGAGGATAACGATAAAGCCTTCTGTTAGATGTAGTACAGTATGTCTAATTTAAAATAAATATTAAGGTTCAGGGGGCATCTGTAATGGGCACTTCTGTTAACCAAAATTTCCTATATCCCAGACCAGTTTAAAAATATGGCATTCTATGAAGATGGTTGTGGTTATTATTGACCAAAAGATTGGAGTGATGGAGAAACGTACGTAGGTGTGTGTGTGTATAATTGCCTAAGTGTAGTTACAGGATGAGAGCTATGCTCGTGGTGTCCCGTCTACCCAGCACTCTTTGTCATATAACGCTTTGAAACTACTGACGGTCTTGGCCTCCTCCACCTTCTCACCTAACTTGTTCTAACCATCTACCACTCTGTTTGCAAAAGTGAATTTTCTTATATTTCTTCGGCATCTGTGTTTAGTTTGTTTAAATCTATGACCTCTTGTTCTTTAAGTTCAAGATGTCAGGAAATCTTCCCTATTAATTTGATCAATTCCTGTTACTATTTTGAACATAGTGATCATATCACCCCTTTTTCTTCTGTCTTCTAGTTTTGGCATATTTAATGCCTCTAAGCTCTTCGTAGCTCTTGTCCTTCAGTTCTGGGAGCCACTTAGTGGCATGTCTTTGCACCTTTTCCAGTTTGTTGATGTGCTTCCTAAGATATGGGCACCATATAACCACTGCATATTCCAGCTTTGGTCTAACAAAAGTCATGAACAATTTCTTTAGTATTTTGCCATCCATGTACAGTATTTAAAAGCAATTCTGAAGTTAGAAAGTGTAGCAAAGGCCCCTCGCACAATGTTCCTAATGTGATCCTCAGGTGATTGTTTTCTATCTAGAACTACCCTTAGATCTCTTTCTTTATCAGACTTCTTTAAAGATTTTCACATAATTTATAGATCATCTTGAGATGATTTCGGGGCTTAGCATCCCCATGGCCCGGTCCTCGACTAGGCCTCCTTTTTGTTACAGCCCCCCCAGGAAACAGTCCGTAGCAGCTGTTTAACTCCTAGGTACCTATTTATTGCTAGGTAACAGGGGTAAAAGAAACATTTTTGCCCATTTGTCTCCGCCTCCACTGGAGATCGAACCCGGAACCTCAGGACTACGAATCCGAATCCACTATCCACCCAGCTGTGAGGCGCCCTTTGTGAGGTTATGTGGGGTCTATGTTCTCCTATTCCACATTCCATAACATGGCATTTATTTACATTAAATTCCATTTGCCAAGTGGTGCTCCATATACTTTTTCTGTCCAGGTCTTCTTGAAGGTCATGGCAATCATCTAAGTTTCTTATCTTCCCTATTATCTTAGCATCATCAGCAAACATGTTCATATAATTCTGTATTCCATCTGGTGGATCGTTTATGTAGACAATGAACATTACCGGTGCAAGAACTGAACCCTGAGGTACTCCACTTGTGACCATTCTCTTGTCCGATACATTTCCTCTTATTACTGCCCTCATTTTTCTATCAGTCAGAAAACTTTTCATCTATGTTAGCAGCTTACCTATCACCCCTCCAATGTGTTCCAGTTTCCAGAACAGCCTCGTATGTGGAACTCTGTTGAAAGCCTTTTTTAGGTCCAGATAGATGCAGTCAACCGAACCATCCCTTTCCTATAAAATCTCTGTCTCGATCATAGAAACTGAGTAAATTTGTTACACAGGCTCTTCCAGATCGAAAACCGTACTGACGATCTGATATTATATTGTTTGTTTCCAGGTGTTCTACCCATTTAGTTTTAATTATTTTTCCAATATTTTGACTATTACACTTGTCAATGATACAGGTCTATAATTGAGGGGGTCTTCCCTGTTGCCACTTGTAGATTAGAACTATATTAGCCTTTTTCCACGTGTCTGCTACAACTCCTGTACATAGGGATGCCTGAAAAATCAGGTGAAGTGGAATGCTGAGCTCAGATGCATGTTCTCTCAGAACCCATGGTGAAACTCCATCTGGCCCAACTACTTTGTTCTTACTTGGCTTCTTGAGCATATTTTCCACTTCGTCTCTAGACACCTTTATGTGCTCTATGTTGTTCTCTGGAATTCTTATTGTGTCTGGTTCTCTGAAGATTTCGTTTTGTACAAACACACTTTGGAACTTCTCGTTTAATGTTTCACACATTTCCTTTTCATTTTCTGTGAATCTGTTTCCCATTTTCAACTTCTGGATATTATCCTTTACTAGCAATTTGTTGTTTATGAATTTGTAAAATAGACCTGGTTTTGTTTTACATTTGTCCGCTAGCCCTTTTTCAAAATTCCTCTCTGCCCCTCTCCTTACTGCTATGTAGTTATTTCTCGCATCTTTGTATTGCAGATATGTTTGGGAGTTTGGGCTTTTCCTATATTGATTCCATTTTTGTCTTTTGGTCTCTGGCCCTCTCGCAATTTCTGTTGAACCAGTCATGTTTTCTGGCCCTGCATCTCTGTTTAGGTATGAATGTTTGTGTGCCTTCATTGTATATTTTGCAAATTTTGGCATACTTCCCTAGCATTTACTTACCTGCCTAGCAACAAGTCTGTCCAATTACACTCATTAAAATTTTTTTGAAGCTCCCCATAGTGTCCTCTCTTGAAATTAATTTTAATAACTGTTTCAATGTCCCCATTTTCTTTTAGATGATATCTTAAGCATATTTAATGTCTAATATGATATGATCACTCTTTCCCAAGGGAGGAAGGTACTGGATGTCAAATATCTCCTTCTTTCCTTGTGAATACTAGATCAAGTACTGACGGTACATTCCCTTCCCTCATTCTTGTGGCCTGCTTGACATGTTGATACAAGAATGTCTCCAGATGAAGTTTACAAATCTGCATGTCCAAAAGTCCTCTGTTTTTGCTTCATGTCTCCAGATGAAGTTTACAAATCTGCATGTCCAAAAGTCCTCTGTTTTTGCTTCATAGGCCTCCCAGTCTGTTGCTTTAAAGTTGAAGTCCCCCAGTATCAAGAGTCGTGATTTATCTTTATCTGCTTGTACTATAATTTCTCTCATGATCATCATGAGGCACTCTCATTTGTCATCCAGTTCCTCCTTTGTCCATGTGTTGCTTACTGGTGGGCTGTAGGCATTTACAATTATCAGTTTATCATCCTGATTCCAGACCTGCAATGCCATTATGTCAACTTCTCAAGGATTTTTAAGTATTAACTCTCTTATCTTCAGGTGTTCTTTCACCAGCACAGCCATTCCTCCTCCCCCCCCCCTTCCTAGTTTTCCTGTACTCACCTAGTTGTACTCACCTAGTTGTGTTTGCGGGGGTTGAGCTCTGGCTCTTTGGTCCCGCCTCTCAACCGTCAATCAACAGGTGTACAGATTCATGAGCCTATCGGGCTCTGTCATATCTACACTTGAAACTGTGTATGGAGTCAGCCTCCACCACATCACTTCCTAATGCATTCCATTTGTCAACCACTCTGACACTAAAAAAGTTCTTTCTAATATCTCTGTGGCTCATTTGGGCACTCAGTTTCCACCTGTGTCCCCTTGTGCATGTTCCCCTTGTGTTAAATAGACTGTCTTTATCTACCCTATCAATCCCCTTCAGAATCTTGAATGTGGTGATCATGTCCCCCCTAACTCTTCTGTCTTCCAGCGAAGTGAGGTTTAATTCCCGTAGTCTCTCCTCGTAGCTCATACCTCTCAGCTCGGGTACTAGTCTGGTGGCAAACCTTTGAACCTTTTCCAGTTTAGTCTTATCCTTGACTAGATATGGACTCCATGCTGGGGCTGCATACTCCAGGATTGACCTGACATATGTGGTATACAAAGTTCTGAATGATTCTTTACACAAGTTTCTGAATGCTGTTCGTATGTTGGCCAGCCTGGCATATGCCGCTGATGTTATCCGCTTGATATGTGCTGCAGGAGACAGGTCTGGCGTGATATCAACCCCCAAGTCTTTTTCCTTCTCTGACTCCTGAAGAATTTCCTCTCCCAGATGATACCTTGTATCTGGCCTCCTGCTCCCTACACCTATCTTCATTACATTACATTTGGTTGGGTTAAACTCTAACAACCATTTGTTTGACCATTCCTTCAGCTTGTCTAGGTCTTCTTGAAGCCTCAAACAGTCCTCTTCTGTTTTAATCCTTCTCATAATTTTAGCATCGTCCGCAAACATTGAGAGAAATGAATCGATACCCTCTGGGAGATCATTTACATATATCAGAAACAAGATAGGACCGAGTACAGAGCCCTGTGGGACTCCACTGGTGACTTCACGCCAATCGGAGGTCTCACCCCTCACCGTAACTCTCTGCTTCCTATTGCTTAGATACTCCCTTATCCACTGGAGCACCTTACCAGCTACACCTGCCTGTCTCTCCAGCTTATGTACCAGCCTCTTATGCGGTACTGTGTCAAAGGGTTTCCGACAATCCAAGAAAATGCAGTCCGCCCAGCCCTCTCTTTCTTGCTTAATCTGTGTCACCTGATCGTAGAATTCTATCAAGCCTGTAAGGCAAGATTTATCATGTCATGTCATGCCTCCAAACTGAGTAGAACCTTGGGAATACAACTTCATTTATAATATTTCCTTCAAGTTTTGTCTCTGATAATGTAAAAATATATGGGACCTTAAGCTAAATTATATCTTGCAACTCCAATGTTTTTTATCTAACTCCATCTATGTTGGTATATACAATTTTCAGGAACATGTTCTCTTTTTCCTTTGTTCTTTACTCCCCCTTCCATTAATAATTTTGTTGCCTTGTTTTTATGTACCATTTCACTAGCTTTCCAGTCCCTGACATTTTGTAGAAAAAATAATTTCTGTCTTCTTCATTTCTATTCTCATTTAGATGTTTTGCTTCAATGAGGTTCATTTTTACCTTTTCTCTGTCTTCCTTTGAGAGGTCTTGTCTTATTGATCAAAATTTGCCATCCTCGTCACACTGCAATTCTAAGCACTTCCATAATATGTTTCACACCATTAAACGTCACCCTTAAGAGGCGGTTCTTGTCTTTCTCATATTTTCCTATCCTTCTAAATTTACTGACATTTTCCTTGGAGTTTAGGCCTTCTCCCAAACCTATTATTTTCTCTATGATTTTCATCTCTTCTGCTGCTCGGTTCATCCTTTGTGTGTGTGTGTTTGTTTTGCCTCTTTCCTTATATCACTACCCTCATTTTTCTTTCAAACAAGAAGTCTTCTGTTCAGTAGGTAGTGTGCCATTTATTTGTCTCGGCATAATTCAAAATGTTTTAAATTTGAATTTTGTGAGCAATTACCAGAATCATTTTAAAAATGTAATGAATGCAGTCTTCACACTCATCACTGAAACATTGTTAACCACATTAAGCAGTGTGCATAATGTGGTTAAGTTCATATTTAATGAAGCTACTTATTTAACAGTATCAATAGAAAGTGAAAGATGAGCTTTAATTTAATACCTTACAATTTCAACTATCTCAAATGGAAACAGTTACAGTTTGTAGTTTATGAGAAGAACAGAACAATTGATCGCCATTAGCTGATAGCAAAGATAACTGCAATGTGTAGCTGGCTCGGTTCAGTGCAATAAATTCACTCTTTGCAAAATAGTGTGAAAATGTATTGCTTCTCAATAACAATGAACACTAAAACTACCACATGTACTGATATTTAGAAATTTAATTTTGTTATGGCATTTTGCCATTAATTTAATTTAATGGCTCCTGAATTGAATCCTAAGCTATTTCTGTGCTAAATGGCTTTTATCCACACCTACATGATATTTATACAGTAATTTACTTTCATTAAGAGTTGGAATGGAGCAAACAATGAGCAGCCCCTCGTCCCTCTCATGCGTTGCCTCAACACAAACACAGTGAGTTGAAATAAAAGGTTTTTCTTCACACTAGCTGCAGTTAATACATTTCACACACCAGTACAGGTACCTTAAATAGGAGGCTGTGAAACATGCACATTAACAGATTCATTATTTAATATGAACAAAGAGAAGGTTACCTTAATTTCGAGGCTTAGCGTCTCCATGGCCCAGTCCTCAACCAGAAAGCATATTAGAAGCACACAGAAGGGATATAGTCAACATGACACAACACTCTTTCATCTAGTGTGTGTATGTGTGTGTGTGTGTGTGTGTGCAATTACCTAAGTGGAGTTGAAGGATGAGAGCTATGCTCATGGTGATTTAATTACCTTTTTGTAGCCCATATTGAAAGACCTGATTTACATCAGATTTGAGATTTTCTGTGTCCTCTGTGTTATTTACTCTCATAAAAATCCTAGCATCAACTGCAAAGGATGATACTGTACTACGGTTTTTGCCCTTGTCTGTGTCAGATATGAGAATGAGAAAGAGTACTGGAGCAATTACAGTACCCTGGAAAACTGAACTCTTCACTGTTGATGGTCCAGATTTTACTTTGTTTACTATTGCATACTGGGTTCTGTTGGTTAGGAAATTTTTTATCCCTCTTCTTATTTTTCCGTTAATTCCTTTTGAATGCATTTTGTGCACACTAACACCATGGTCACATTTGTCGAAGATTTTTGTGAAATCTGCATACTGTATACAGTATTACATCAGCATTTTGCTTGTCTTCCATGGCATCTAAGGCCATGTTATAGTGGTCCAGGAATTGTGATAGGCAAGAGCACCCTGTTCTGAACCCATGTTGTCCAGGGTTATGGAGATGCTATGACTTCATGTATTTTGTGATCTTACTTCATAATACTCTTTCAAAGTTTATGATGTGTGATGTTAGTGCTACGATTTCGCCTCTGCTATATTCCATTTTTTATGGAATGGTGCTATCTCTGCAGTTTTTTTTAATATGTCAGGGATAACTCCAATATCTAGGCTTTGTCTCCAAAGAATGTTAAGGGATTATTGGATTAGATTAATTATTATTGGATTGGAATACTCCAAACGAAGTTCCAAGAATCAGGGGCCAGGTGCAGAGTGCAAATGCATACTGTCTATGGCTACTTCGAAATCCAGTTTCGTTAGGGTGACATCTGATATATGATTTGATGATGGTACTGTATTACATTAATGAAGAATTTGTTTGGGTTTTCAATCTTCAGTATGTTTAGTCTCTCACTGAAAACAGAGTTGTACTGTTGCCTCAGTATTTCATACTTTCTTGTTATTTGTGAAAGTTCCATCTCTCCTGTGCAGGGGCCCAATACTATATTGGGCCCTGCCCCAATCATTTCTATTTCTCTACATACCCTTCTTTGTCATTCTTGAGATAGGGTTGGACTTTCAAGGTGTTCCATGATTCATTTTCTTGGCCTAGAGAGGGAACACTGTTCCCATTCCATTCTACCAGTAATTTCTTCTTTTTTTCTTAGTGGTATGTAGCTTGAGCACATTGCTAGTGCTACTAGCAATGTAGCTACTGATTTTTCTTTTCCAGGCACTGGTTCAGGGTGGCATTTTCTAGCTGTTCTTCTGAGCTTATTTCTATGAAGTCTTTGTTTATTTGTTCCCACTTAATCTATTTATTTTTAAAATTTAATTTGCTGAATTCTCCTTCTCTAGAATTTGGGACTGGCTACCCAGGTCCACTGCCCATGTTTTTCTGAACTTCATTTAACCCTCAAAGCTGTGTTTCTGTGACTCGACCACTTGGTCACTTATTTGGGCAAGGACATCATAACCAGTGCAAGTTATATATTAGATATGATTCATAACTTTTTTATGATTCATAACCGGTGCATTCTCTCCATAACTCCAAGACAAGGAAAAAAAATAGGGACAAGTATAAAATAGGGTATAGCATAAGGACCCTGAATAAGCTAAAGAAAATATTAAACCCTAAGCAGACAATGAGTCGCAATAATGTGGCTGAAGATATGATGACCAAAACACACACCAGAAGATGAACAAACGACGTTGTTTCGGTCCGTCCTGGACCATTATCAAATGATAATGGTCGAGGATGGACCGAAACATTGTTGTTTCTTCATTTTCTGGTGTGTGGTTTGGTCATCATTAAACCCTAAGTACCTTGGTGTCCATATATCCTATCCAAGTTTAGGTCAACAGGAGGGATAGATGTCTCAAGGTCACACATTGACGGGGAAAGCAAGGTAGATAATCAGTGGCAGATGTTCAGTTCATTAGCCAAAATCCAGAGATATTTTGTTGGCACATGTGATAGCAGTGTAAAATGCCTTGAGAATGGTGATTTTCCACCTGTTATGGATTGTGGGGTATTTCCCCAGTTGAGCAAGCTAAAATGATCTGTGGATGAACTGTGATAGGTAGGCCTTTGAAATGGGGAATCATGGTACTGTACATGGGTTAAGGAACAGAATATAAGACTGTGTTGAGCCTTTTTGAAGATGACTGAAGAGAACGGTCACTAAACAGGAAATGAACAGAAAATTGCAACCTCTCATTCCTCATTCTTTGTCAGAACTGTGAACAAGAGCATTGAACTAATGTAGTTGACAGTAACTGATACACCAACAGAAACAGTGTTCAATACCAGATACATACTGAAATGATAGAGATACCTACCTATCTGTTTTATCCATTGTTGATTCTGGCATCAATGTCCCCCATGGCCCGGTCTCTGACCGGGTCTCCGAGATGATGGTCTGGTCAACCAGGTTGTTGGATGCAGCTGCTTGCAGCCTGATTTATGAATCACAGCCTAGTTGACCAGGTATCATTTGGAGGTGTTTTTCAAGTTCTGTCTTAAAAACCATGAGAGGTTGGCCCCTCACAGTTTTCAGAAGGAGAGTATTGAAAAGTTTTGGTCCCCTAATATTGATAGAATTCTCTCACATCATACCTATTGCATCTGCGCTTTTTATTGGGTCTATTTTGCATTTCCTGCCATGCCTTCTGGAAACAAAAGGAGCACAGGAAAACAAAGACAAGATTTAGAGAACATCAGGGCTCAAGTGGAGCATAGCATTTGGAAAGGCAAAGGGAGACCAGGTGCTAAAACCATATACCTGAAGGAGAAGCTGTGCCACAGCTGCTTGGTACAAAGTGATGGTATTAGACATGAAATGTGAGAAGGTGCTTTGAAAGCTAAGATAGTGAAGAACAACAGAAGTGGCACTGGCATTGGAGGAAAAACATTCCAACCAGATCATTGTCATCTGACCCTAACAGGTATAGTGACAAGAGGCCACAGGAATGTCTGCCATAGTCTGAAAATATTGTATCACATCCCTGAAAGCTGCAAGCAGCATAAGTTGGTGTGAAATAGCACTATTTTGTTGTCCTAGTTATACCAAGTATGACTTGTGAAGGCTTAAAAGTGCTTGAGTAAGCTAGAGTTAGCATTTTCCAGTGACTCCCTAGCACCAGAATTACCTGACTGTGACGCTTGAAAATTATCCAGGTTGGGTGCACAATTTCATGTTGCACTTGACTGTCATAATCCTGTCCAATGGGAACTTCTGCTTTCTTGCCTTAGAGAACATCGCGTATCTTGCTCAGAATGGAGTTTTTAGTATTCTCTTAACCTGAATTTTTTGGAAATACACAGATTGCTGGTGAGTTTGGTTAGTTTTAAAATATAGTACCTATAGGTGACTAATGTATTGGGAGGGATTTATTTTGTAAGTGGGGGAGTTGGCTGAAGTTGTCTTGAGGAATCTCTGACTATTCTGTAGAAGTAGTGAATGTTAAAATTGTCGTCTTAGTAAACAACAAGCAAAAGTCCACCCGTTTTGAAGTGAAATTACCTTTTGAAGTGAATAATTTCCAGAAAGAACATAGTAGAGTACAGTATATTAAATAAAGGGATACTTGCGAGTTAAGATCAAAATTAAAATTAATACAGTAATGGCATTATGTCTTAGGGAAAGATTATAAGTGTAAAATGCAGAACATAACAAGAATTAAGTTTCTAGACATCAATGAACTAATTGTTTGCTGAATTTTTGATAGAGAAATACTGTAGCATGATTCCTAATCTATCTTACTATACTGTAATACTAAATTGTGATTTTCAAATAGAATATTGTACTACACTTATAAAATGTTATCTTCTAAATAAAGCTGCATATTGCCAACATTTAACAAATGTTATATGTAATCAGTATGTGAAGAAAATTATGAAATTATAGGGTCATATTTAAAGAATTTGTCTGTAGGCAGTAGAGTATTTTTTATGATGATCGTGATATGTCACTTAATTTATATATTAACAATGAATCATTCCCAGCAAAGTAAAGGTGAATAATCTGTAATTGCAACAAACATCACAAGAAAAAGATGTGGCATCTCATAACGAATGTGGAACTCTTTCCTGTAAAGTTTTTCAACTTTTCATTTCACACCACTCGCATAATTTATGCATTACTGAAGTTTCCTATTTTGAGTTGCATCTGCAATCTTTTTCAGAAATTTCCTGCCTTGGTGAGTGTGTCCACTGTAGAGCGATGGTTACCACTACACGCCTGCATCATCAATGGCCATACAGCTGTATTAGAGCTGCTGCTCAAGTTCCCTTATCCAGATGATTCACTACGGAAATACTGGTCAGTCCTTATCTTTAAGTATTTATTGTGTTTTAATTGTATTAAGTCTTATTGTGTTTGGTTTGGATAACCAAACACATTGATGAAATATACAATAGAATAGAGAGAGAATAGAGAGGGAGAGAGAGTAAGGATCACCTTCAAGTAACTTCCTACACTCAGCAGTGCTTTACCCCACTGACAAAGTAATGCACACATCCGCTATTGTGCCAACTAAAAATGTTTGAGTCTTGGAAATATAGTACAGTATAAACACTAAGTTTTCCACCGAGTTATTTCTAAAATATATGTCTTCATAGTTTAATTGTTTATGAAATTCAATTTAATCATGCTGACTGGTGTATGATTGTCTTTCATGTAAACTTCTATGTATCAATCTGATTAACTTTCAGATTTGTAATAAAACAAAATTTTCTTTTTATTTTGCATAGGGACAAGACTGGACAATATGAATATGAAATGGCCTTTGACATTAACATGAAGGACGTAACAGGCCAAAGTGCATTGTACCTGGCCTGCTATGTTGGGAACCAGAAGCTTGTTGACCTCCTCCTCAAACACAAAGTGCAAGGAGTTAAATTAAAGGTCAGTATTTACTAGCTGCTTCAAATTTTGTATTGTTAACTTCATATGTAAGAAAGAGGTTTAAACCACTGTCGTAATTTTGTTACACTATTTTAATTTTATTTACTGTATATTGTATAGTACTAGTATATCTTTAATGTGGTAAGAAGCATACATCAGTTGTAACATAGTTAAAAAATTCAGTCCTGCAAAGTTGGTGATAATGACGGTAATTCAGTAGTTATAATAAATTTGTTTGGGAAATTTTTAAAATGTTATTATGTTGTACTTTATCAGCTTATGAAAATATACAGAAAAGATTTAATCAGGGTTACTGAATATGTTTTGTTATTGAATGAGCTGTATCATTTACACTATAAATGTACAGTTTCCTTCCTTATGGAAGGTTATCATACAAGATTAAATTCTACATGGCTTTTTAACTTTGTTTTTCCTGGTCAGTACCTTAGTAAGCTTGTGAATATATATATTTTCTGTCCATTTCACTCAGATGCTCCCTTTCTCCCGAAGGCAAGAGCTTTTTTTTGTTTCTTTAGATAGGATTATGCTAGCCAGGACAGAGTGAAATTCTGTACCTGTGCAGCAGGGCTCTTTTCAAATGTCCTTTTGGGGCTATACTGAGAGCTGCTTCTAGGAGGATTACTCTCAAACACTGAAAGTCCTCAAGTCCAAGTTTTAATCTAAAAAGGCCTAACAAGTCCTTCCTGTTATAACATAGGACACTGGCCATAGCATCTCTTGAAGCTTTTTGGGATAGGCCTTAAAGCAGACCACATTTGAGGGGTGTTGAATGTATTAGTAGATGGCCTCTCTTGGTTTTAGCTGAGCTGAACTGAACTGACTAGTGGATGGACAAGACCTCTTTCTAGTGAATATGTGATATATTCAGTATTTCCCAAGTAGATTAGTTTCCATTCATGAGGAGTCTCTAGTTCCCTGTGTGTGGCTCCATTCCACAATTTTTATATTATTGCAGTGCATTACACAAATCACAATAGCGTGATGCATCAAATGAACAAATCCACAAGGGTGGAAAGGGCACAGTCGATTAAGGCGCGTCTGGGATCCTCTCAGACATAGGTTCGAACCCTCATCACGGCCCTTGTTGATTTGTTCATTGCATTGCATGCTTTGCATCTCAACAAAAATCAATGGGAGATGATTTATCTGTTTCCACAGCCCAAGCTTTGTGGAGTGTCATAGTTCTTGCATTTCTATGATCCGTTCAGCCCTGCTTCCCAGTCCTTCTCTGCAAGTGTCCCAACTTTACATCATCCCCTGACCCTATTCTCCAAGCCCATTCTGCTCCTTCCTCCTCTTTCAGATCTTTGGCCCTCTTTGTTACACAAACACTTTAAAATGATCTGTTCATCCTTGCTTGCAGAGCTTCTGGGGAGGCTCTATCACCATCTCCACTGGGATATTGTATTATGCTCCACTTGTTTTTTGTTTCTAGTTCTCTGTTTATGTCCCATTATGAATGGAAATGTATGCCTTACAAAATTGCTTCCTTTTCAGCTGCTCTTTTTGAGCCTCTGCACCTTGACTTCACCTTTGATATCACTAGCCCTCTCTTTATGAAAGTCTGTTAGTAAGTTCTTCCAGATCCATATTTATATATATCCACTATTGGAACCACCAGGTCTTTCAATATGGTGTTGGACTTCTTGTATGGATAGGTTTCAGGTATCTCTTTTCTTTGAGGCTCTCACCCTCAAGACTTTGTTTCTGCTTGTGCTGACAATGGGCTACGGGGCAAGTGAGTTTAATTATCTCCTCATGAGTCCTGTTTGTATAAATTTTTGTCATGGAGATGCCTTCATGCATATCCAACCTAATTAAGCTTCTTGACAAGGAATGAATAATGTTCTTTTAGGAGGTGCCCTGTGTTGAGTTGGACCTGGTTGACACTTCCACGGTCTCATCATGCCATATGTCATGTCACTGTTTCATTCTCGATAGGTACAAGTGATATCTTGCTTTCTTATTCCACACTCGTCATAGTGCACAATAAGAAGGCTGGATCTTTCGGCTGCTTCACAGAATATTAAGGGTCAGGGTCGGGTATCCTTGGATGCACAACCTGCAGAAGTTTCCACACTTAAGGCATTCTTCTTGGCAATGCTTTTTGCTTATTCATGCTCGGGGAATTTGGAGATCAAATCCCTCCTTCACTACCTACATAAGGATTGGTCTGGGTGCCCTGTGGTGATGTTTCGAGGCAACTGTCTGCTTCCTACCCCTTCAGTTTACTATGGCACTACTCCGCAGGGGAAGTGACTCATACTAATTTTTCTTTTCACTTCGTTTCCACTTTAGTCAAAGAAAGCATTCCTGTGGGAATCTTAGAATTTGGGCCCTTGCACAAATATGCAAAGTTCCTTTTTGAGCAGGACACTTGGATGCTACCATTTCCTCTCCTACTTTCTTGATTTTCCTGTTCAGATTTTTGCTTGCATCAGTCAGAATGTGGGAAGCTCAAGGCAGGAAACATGATGTTAGTATTGGTGCTACAATCTTGTGGTGATCTGGTGAGCCAACTGGTAGGTGATGAAAGAAATCTTCTAAGTCAGTCAGGGTTTGACAGGGCTTTGAGGGTTTTAGTGAGCCATCTTGAGGTCACTCCATGCTGAAGTGAGCTTTTCTCTTGTGCCTTCTTAGCAACAGTATGACTTGACACTTTAAAATACCCCTATACAGTAGCACTGGTGCAGAATGCCACCCTGCCCTGTCTGTCATGAGTGTCTACCGAGATCAGAAAGGATCTTCTCTGTAGGAGAATCTGAGTGCCCTATTCAGAAATGAGCTTTTAATTTTGACTGAAAGCTCAATTTTTTAACTTTTCAGACCAAAGAAGAACAGGAGAGAGAGAGACATGAAAAGGAACAGGACGACAGTAGTAATGACTCAAAATCCAGTAGTAGAGAAAACACTAAAACCAATATCAACTTAAATGTAGACTTGGTGGAGAAGACTGATGAAGTAGCCAGCCCAACTAAGCACAGGATTTCTGGTGGTATTCAAGCTCTAATGTCGAAGTTAAACCTTGTCAGGACAGATAGCAACCAAAAGGACAACATGATTTCACCACTTGACATTGATATGTACTGTAATAGTAACACAGGTAAGTGTAGAACATAATAAATTATTGTACTACAGTAACATAATACAACCTCTTTGTAGGCTTACTGTTTGTGTTCATTACTCTAAGTATTATTTTGTAATTTAAGATTGTGCTTGGAATAGCTTTCATACATGTCTGATATAGAAAAACAGTTCTGAACAAAGTTATGAGTTTTAATTATATTTCTCTGCTTAATTATTAAGTAAATAATAGGTTCATTCAGAACTCTATAAATGATGGAAGATAATTTATCTGGTTAAATTTTTTCTAGCTATATTCGTAATTAAAAAAATATTCACTTCAGAGACAGCGTTACACATCGCAGTCAAGAACAAGCATCACAGCATTGTGTCAATGCTTTTGACAGCAGGAGCAAACCCTAACCTACGTGTGTACCTGCCTGATGATGAGATGGCCAGGCTCGCTGAAGACGAATATATTTTCACGGGTAAATTAATATATTATTGTTTATCTTAAATTTTGATTTCTCATATTTCTACAAGTCCAGTACCTGACATACACTAATGTTGGAAAAAATGATAATGAATGAGGTAATGGCATTTTTAATTGTTGGTTGTGGAGTGTACAACTTTTAGTGGTTATGCACTAAAAGTGAAAGTGGTTGGGGTTGTGGAGTGTACCAAGTGCTGGCAATGAAGAGTATGAGAATGAGAGTACTCAGAATGAGAGTAGACTTTTAGATGTAAATACTATTTTGCCTTTGCCTAAATACTTTCATCAGATCTAACAGAGATACATAATGATAGTGCTTATTCTGGAGGAGGAAGAATAGGATAGGTCAAGGAGGTTAAGGTAATTACCTAAGTGTAGCTTCTGGAGGAGAACTACACTTGTGGTGTCCCATCTTCCCAGTACAGTACTCTCTCATGTGATGCGGTGAAACTACTGATGGTTTTGGCCTCCACCACCTTCTCACTTAACTTGTTCCAACCGTCTACCATTGTTTGTAAAAATTAACTTTCTAATGTTTTTTGTGGCAACTGTATTTCCTTAGTTTGAACCTATATCCTGTTGTTCCTGAAGTTTCAGTTTTAAAACATTCTTCTTTGTCAATTGTGTCAATTCCTTTTGCTATTTTGTATGCAATAATCATATCATCTATTTTGCTTCTATCTTCTAGCGTTCGTATATATAACACCTGTAACCTCTCATACAGCTCTTGTATTTTTAGTTCCGGAAGCCATTTACAGTTGCGTGTGTCTGCACCTTTTCCAATTTATTGATGTGCTTCTTGAGATATGGGGACCATACAACTACTGCATATTCCAATATTTGGTCTAACAAAGGTCATGAACAATTTCTTAAATATTTTGCCATCCATGTACAGTATTTAAAAGCGATTATAAAGTTGGAAAGCTTAGCATACACTCGTCACATATTGTTCTTTATATGGTCCTCAGGTGACAATTTTCTATCTAGAACCCACCCTTAGGACAGGTCTCTATCAGAATTCTTTAAAACTTTTTCACAATGTGTGACCTGTTAGCTCCTATTCCACATTCCATAACATGGCATTTATTCACATTGACATCCATTTGCCAAGTGTTACAGTATTTGTCGATGATTCTCAACTTACACTGAAGCTAAAGGTGAAAACGTATGGTAATATAAGCACAGAAATTATAGTAGATTGTAATCATGAAGCACAGCACAATTTTCCTAGGGTCGACTGCACTGGTAGAGGCATGTCGTAACCGAGACTTGGGTATGCTGGACCTGCTGCTCAAGAGCCACGCCAGGGATGACGAGTGCAAAGCTCTCTTCATTGCTGCCCATGCCAAGGATGAAATCATTGTGTCCAAATTACTGGCACTCAAGGTTTGCAAGTTATAACATGTAGTCTATTTTGAGAAAAGGTATTACGCATTGGTTATTTACCATTTATTCACAGTGTTAAATGAAGTAAAGTAAAATAAAATAAATGCTTCTTCAGTCTTTGCATTAAAATATCACAATGCCCAAGTTAGAATATACAGAGTTCCCCTAATTATCCAAATTAACTGGAGCTATCTCCACTTGGCTAATCAAGAGATCATATCATTTGTAGAGTTGGATAATCTGAAGATATTTTTTAATTTTGAAAATATACAAAAAAAATTAATGATATGAGTAAGTATAAAAAGTAGTTTTTCTGAGTTTCTCAGTTTTGGCCCCTAAGGTAAGATCTGCTGTGTCTTCTGTATAAGTATTGTGATAATTTTGCAGTTTTTTTCTACAAATTGTTGCTGCAGGTCAATTTCATTTGTTGCAGGTCTACAAATTGTTGCTTTTGAAACAGTCCCTGCAAGGTCCTAGATGATGCTAGAGGATACCGGAGTTTCAATACAGCCCAGAATGACCAACAGAAGGCACATACTATGTAACTTCACAGCCATGTAAAAATTCTCCCTTGGAATCAAACTCTGTTTCTTCCCAACTGCCTCCTGCTTGCCCAGCAATCTCGTACTCCAAACTACCAACAGACTGTAGCACTTCACCCATAAAATAGTTTTTTGGGGCCCTAGGAAATTTCACATTATTCTTCAAAAAACAAAAACAAATAAAAAGCTGCAAACAGAAGAGAAATAAGAAAGATAATTATAGGCTGATGTTTAAAAAAGTGCTTTTAATCCATATTTACAGCTGTATTTCTGGGCTATTACATTTGGTTGGCCCTAAGGCAAGGCTAGCATATAGAAGAAAAATGAACTGCATAACAAAAAATACACAGGGACACCTACTTGAAGCAGTATTGAGACAGCTTGATGTGGACAGAAAACCAGTGGGACAAGAAGTGATCCAGAGTAAAACAGTTGACTGCAGGCATGGAATGGGAAGCAAGTATTTTTCAATGAAGGCACTGCTGATTCCCCAGAAAACTGGACCATAAATTGAAGCATAGAACATTATCAAGAAGACGACTTTATAGGTGGCAAATTTGCTAATCTAAGGGACTTAAGAATAAGCTTGTGACAGGCTCATTTTAACTAATCTTGCAAGAATTGAGATAAGCAAACTTTGGTACATGGCATTATAGGATGGAGGTTGACAAAGAGGGGGTTGGTTATAACATGATGAGTGTAGTATAAATGTCGGTGGAACAGTGCATGAGGACAGAGTAACTCTGTCCTGATGCACTGTTTCACCATGAGATAAAATGTCTCCCATTTTATCTCAAGGGAGACATTTACACAGCTACAAGCTCAAGTAAAATCTGCCTTTTGTCAGTCATTCCTGGCTGGACTGAGTCTTCAGTGTTTGCCCTAGCATCTTTTATGCATGGGTTATCTGAAAAGTTCCCTGTGGTGCCAATCTTGAAAATGTCACCTGCCAGACATCACAATCTGTGTTTAGAGAACAAAGTCAATTATATTTTAAGAAACAACCAAAGGATTAATGCTTAGAAAGTATAGGAAAATTTTAAGTTTTCTGTTCAATAAATTTTTAGGGAAATTTTTAAGTTCATTTTTTTAACCATCGGAAATCTTTAAAATACCATATTATCAACATATTTTAAAAGCTTCTGCTTAGCTGCCTATATACAGTAACGTATGTAGGAACATCTTATTTCTTATCAGTTTAGACTGATTAATTACTAATTTCTTTAGCATGGTATTAGTGAGATCGACGCCGATCAGTTGATACAATAAACTTGTCCATCTACAGGCTCATCCTGATCCAGAATTTAAAGTTAACAAGAGGGCCCTTGAGATAAAACCGAGCCAACAGTTTAGTTCTCTTGGTGTGGGAAATGCTGGAGGAGTCTACTCATCCCTGGCTCCAACCACACCGGTAATGATCAACTGGCATGGACAACGCTGTCTTTCATATTTAAAGGTTAGTCAAAATGTGATGATATTTTTAATTTTAAGCGATATAATTGTTGTAAATTAGAATATTGTGAAAAATTACTATTTTTAATATCTGAAAATATTGCATAATTATGAGTTATTGCATATAATTTTTGTTATAACATTAATGTACAGTTTATGAATTCTATTTTTATATCTTCAATATGTATGCAGTATGTATTTACATGAATTATGAGTTTATATCATATTTCAGTTAAACATCTGACTTATGTTTGTTTCAAATATTAGGACCAATGGTTAGTGGATGCATCAGTGAACCTCAATCCCAAGTTAAAGCTGAGTCCACGTAATCAAGTTATTGCACTCTATGCAATCACACGCTTGGACATTTCTAACAACGCTTTAACTGAACTGCCTGACATGATCTTCCAACTTCCTAGTCTGAAGGTATGAGATAAATTAATCTTGCTTAATTACAGCTTTATCAACTGAATTGCACAATTTATGTTTGTCATATAAGGCATGAAAAAGAATGTAATATATAAAAGGAAAAATTGAATATTCTATATAGCCTTGTATACACAGCAGTTATGGGGCCTATAGTGTACTCAGCATTTCGATAGGACTACAGTGAGCATTGCCAGTATGCTAAGACAGTATTGCTCATAATGATGTATTAGAACATGAGCTTAAAACATTATTTTATATAAAAATCAAGTGACAAAATTAAATTACATGGTTACTTTAAATGTTAAATTATTGTGGGAATATTATATATAAAGCCTCGGATTTTCATGCAATATACTTTAAGATATACTTTCCTTTGTTATATTTATTGTGTTTTTGTAATCCTATACAATTTTTCCAGACCCTAAATGCAGCCCAGAATAAAATAGAGAAATTGCCTCCAACCATTGGACAGTTTATTGATGGCACGATGACGCTACCAAGGAAAGGATCCAAGAAAGAACTCATTATAGGCCCAGTATCAGTGTTAGAGGAAGTTCATTTACAGGTACAGTACTGTATTGTAATGTATGCCTTGCATTTTATTTGTTGTTTAGGTACAGTACTCTCCAGGTTCTGCATGATGGGATATATCTTAGTTCACTTTTGATGTGAAGTGAAAAACATAGATTTTTATAGTTTGCTACTCACTCCCATAAGTAAAAAATAAATGTTATTAATTTTTTAATTTGTATTTTTATATGGTTAAAAATCAATTAAAAATCATAAATACATGGACATCACTGGTTTGATGATTTTAAAAGTGTAGTACTTGAGTGTGATAGTGAAAGTCAGTGATGTACACCAAAACACCACATTCCTTACACCATATCATTACCTATATTTATTTTTTATGTTCTTGAAGTTATCTTGAGATGATTTCGGGGCTTAGCGTCCCCGTGGCCCGGTCCTTGACTAGGCCTCCTTTTAGTTACACCCCCCTTGGAAGCAACCTGTAGCAGTTGTCTAACTCCCAGGTACCTATTTACTGCTAGGTAACAGGGGTATCAGGGTGAAAGAAACTCTGCCCATTTGTTTCCGCCTCCACCGGGGATTGAACCCGGAATCTTAGGACTACGAATCCGAAGTGCTGTCCACTCGGCTGTCAGGCCCTTATTTTTTAAGACCATCCCTATGGTCTGTTGTTTTACACACAATACATTTCCTTTGGGATCTGGCTCACTTTGTAACAACAGGTGGTAGGTTGTCATGGCAGGTCCACAAATTGAGTGAAATATTAATTTCACCACCTTCTCATATTATAGATAGCCTTTAACCCATGTACTGTGCAGCTGTTTAATGTGACAACTTTCTGGTGCATGTGCAAAAATTATTCCCCCCAAATTTTTTCTTAACAAATATTGTTAACATGCATTCCCTGATCACAGGAAACAAGGAAGTTTCACAATTCACGAGTACTTGGTGAGTAGTCTCCCTCCGGCGCTTGCATCAGGTCCATCCTGGGGAGGGAGTTGAAACAAAGATAATTATACATATTTATTTCAATGTCTCTGAGTGTATTTTTCTCTTTATTTATTTTTTTATTTTTTTTTTTTTTTTTTTTTTTAATTATTTTAATATTATTTGTTTTAATATTATTTAATAATGTATAATTTGAGAAATTTATATAATCAAATGTGTGAAACATTGCTGTGCTAAAAACTATGTTTTACAAGTTAGTGACATGATTATTATTTTCTCATAACAGTAAAACCGTGTTTTTGCTATTATTACACTGCATACATACTATATATAACCATCTACATTTTCATGCACCATGATGAGCCACCTAGTATTTCTAGCGAGTCTGGTTTAATAGTCTTATAGCCAGTTACATATCGGAGTTTGTCATAGACGCGCATTGTTTGTATGAAGTTTTAACAACGTGCATTGTATGTATAGTATTTTCTTCCTATTTTAAGTATTTATACTATGGTTTTTCAAGTGTAATGATGCATTGGGATGTTAATAGTATTATTTGTATCACAGTGTATGTAGAATATTAATATACACAGACATATTCATATCACTAATATGATGTCAAATTTTATATACTTTGAACAGTAAAACATTGTTTGTGATGTTGTTACACTATATATACACACATTATATATAATTATCTACATCTTTGTTCACCATGACAAACCCCTAAGCTGGTCTGGTAGGCCCAAACATAGCCCAGCATCAACATACTAATCACCTGACGACACCATTTGACGTGCCATAGTGCTTTCAATTTAATATGCACATCGCTAACTCTAGGCAGAATGTTGTTGCTATTATCAGAATTTTGGTTACCAAGTCCGGAATATGAATAATTTTCCACAAGTTTATTTTCTAAAGTGGTACGAGGTAGTTTCATGATTAGATGTACAAAACAATGGCTGAATGCTGTGGCTGTTTGGTGCTAGGAACATCATAACTAGCATTGTGTTCACTGATATCTCGGCCTTGTACATAGTCTTTATCACAGTCTAGATCATCTATAGCACTATCATCGCAAAATAATTGTAGTTACTTATTTTATTCATCATCATTATTAAGTGGTGGTGTGGTCCCAAGCTGCATGGCAGTGCAGTGAGCTGCTGCTGCATGCGCTACCCTTGGCTGCTCACTCAGTTCTAAGGCTTTCACATCCAGGAAGGATGCAGAATTTTTTTTCAAGATGGTATCTATTTACCATCTTATGCCTCCAGCTTGAGGAACAGGATACAAGCCCCCTTGTACCTGTAGAAGTTTTGAACAGTTCTCTATACAGTTTCTTCAAACAAGTTTTCTCGGTAAGTGCACCACCCCTCAACCAAAATATCTCGGTGAGTGCACCACTCTTCAACTAAAATATCTCAGTGGGCATAGTACAGGGCTTAAAAGAACCCGATTATTTAATTTTTAATCTCATGCCTGATCTTTCCCATGGCCTAGCCCAAACTAACATCTTGAAACTCATTTTATAGTATTGCATTAATAAATATTCAAAATACGTATACAGAGAAACATTAGTTTAATTGCATAGTACCATTATAATAAATCTTAATGCAGTATAAATATTTACATTTTGTGCAAAAAAGGTCCTGAGATAGTAATCATTTTTCCTACAAGTTCCTTAAATAAATATTACACTGTACTAGTTTGGCATGGTGGGTTCAGGAATGCATCCCTCTATGAAACTGGGAACATACTCTTAACACAAAATATACACTGTATTTTTTCAGATAAGTATTGTGTTGAAAACAAAATATTTTATTTATAATTTAGGACCAGTTTATAATAAAATATTTAAAAAAGATTGGTAAATAAGGTTGCATTTTGATGGCAAAACATTCTCTTTTTCAGGATAACAGACTAGATTCTCTGCCAGATGGCATCTTCACACTTCCCACCCTACAGCTTCTTGATGTATCAAACAACAAGTTATCAACATTACCCTACAAGATATGGACGGCTCCAAAATTAAGAGAGCTCAATGCTTCTCTTAACCTACTACATGACCTCCCCATTCGACCAGATGGACTATGCCATGATTCAGGTTATTGTTTATTAATGAGTTTAGTTATTATAGTGGGAATGAGATAAAATATTTTAAATGTACAGTAGAACATTATCTGCTATCTTCTGAAACATTACACATATCAGAGTAGTGTTAGAATTTTTCACTAAGGAAAATGATAAAAAATAAAATGGGCTCAGTTTTCATTACAAGTACAATAATGTATTATCTGCTCCCATGATCACATTAACATGAGACAAATATGGTGTAACAACCAAGAGGAGGAAGTTGTGTGTCAAGTTAAAGTAGAATATTCAGGCTGCCTCAATACAACGAGAACAAACTACGAGATAAATCTGGTATTTATAGCAATGTGATAAAGTTTGTGAGAAAGATGGATTTAAAAGTACTGTACTGTAGTTGTATTAAGAGAAAACTAGCTGGCTCTAATGAAGACACTGGCAGAAGTACGAAAGGAGAATAATAGCATATACTATATCTTGTATATACGATGTACTGTACAGTATATTAAGAAAAGGAAATAGTGTCAAATATTGGGTAATCACCAGAAGGCATTAAAATATTTGTTTGTGATTAAAGATTGGTGTTGTTTAGGGTAAGTTCAGTAATAAGATGTTCCTCCAGGATATGTGGCTGACCACATATCTTGTGGCTGATGACCTCATATATTGTGAGACTGACGACAAGATAGTTTGTGGTGTATCCAAGTATAACTCTGTGTTTTGTGTGTGGTACACTAGAATAAAATTTACATTTTTCTTAGTTTCAAGTGGTTGATTACCACAAAATACCCATATTGATATGTTGATGTCTTTAGAAATATAATGAGCACAAAAGTATAACAGATGACAATCTTAAACATGGCCATGGAAAAGGGAGTTTTTTTAATATAACAAAATAAAACATTTTATCATAAGATCGGTAACAGAGAAGTCATAAGCATGATACTTTATACATATTGTATTTGAATTAAAAAAGTTATCTTAACCCTTTGACAGTGGTTATCGTCAATTGTTGATTCACAGGGTAATGCGGTTATCATCATATAAAGATTTAAAAATTATTGTCTGGGTTTTACATGTATGATGCTAATATGGATATAATAGGTCTATGTGGATGAAATGGAGTTTACCTTGACCCATGGGAAAAATCTTACCACCATTTCATGGTGCAAATGCGGTTATCATCATGAATGCTACTATGGGAATGCAGTCATCATCATCTGATGATTTTAAACAATTATTGTCTTGGTTTTACACATATGATGCAAATATGGATATAATAGCTCTGTGGATGAAAATAAAAAAAAAAGTGATAAAACAATCGGTGAAACATCAGAGAATAAATCAGGAGGCATCGGCAAAATAGAGCACCAGGTGTTGACAAGTGCCAGATGCAGACTTGCAGAGTGCCTTCACCCAATGAAATGATAAATATTCACTTATTTTCATGTTTTTCCTTATATTCTGCATACTAATTAATAATACTTTAATAAATTTTTTTCATAGGTGGGTATGACCCACCTATGCTCCATAGCAACAAAGTTTTTATCTTTATTGATTTTATTTATTTATTTATATATACAAGAGTTCTTACATTCTTGAACAGCTAGCATGCATAGCATTTCGGGCAAGTACTTAATCCTAATTTTCCCCGGAATACGATCCGCCGATTCGTTTAACAACCAGGTACCCATTCACTGCTGGGTGAACAGAGGCTACAGTTAAGCATTGGCACCAAGTAAATCCTTCCCGGCAAGGATACGAACCCAGGCCAAAGCGATTGCAAAGCACCGAGCGAGTCTTTTACCACTGTGCCACGGCGACTGTATAAATGGAGATTTATTGGTGTTATATAAATTACCTTTGGTTATTGTACTGTGATGCAGACTTATCTGAGGATGTTTCTGGATTTCATTTTGTTATACTTTTATTGCTCTCAAAAAATTTGTTTACAGACCTACAAGTTTGTAGATCAACTTATAAAATGAACATAAGTGTTTATTTTATAAGTTTGTCACTTTTCAATTATTCTCAATTTTCTAACATGTTCAGATTAAAGAAGAGTGATGGTGGACAGGTGACACGTGGACAAGGACAAGGAATCCACTAGAGTAATTGGTTGATATTTAGAGAGCCTGCACTCTACAACAGAGTTTAACTCGCTAGAAACTTTTCAGGGATGAGTTCAGATGCAATGAGTGAGATGAGTGATGAAGACAGCATGTCATCAACTAGTGACCTACATCTTAGTCTCTTGGATGATCCAACAGACGAGTCTCCTGCACGGCGAAAGACCCCAGACACTAGGTATGGACATAAAGGCAATAGTTGTGTATTATTTCCAGAATTTCAAAGTGCCTTATTGAGAGAATATTTACTTTGAAGTTTTTTATAAATTTTGTTATTAATATTATAATAGGTTGAATATTGTAGATATTAACCCTTGGAGGGCACAAATCATATACAGTATATATATGATTTTGGTCTAACTGCCTGGAGGGTGCAAATCATATACATATGATTTGCAGATGTAAAATATTAAAAATAATCCTACACATACACAGAGCTCACATTTGCTTCCTCAGGCTTTCTATAACTGTTCCCCCCTTCCCCCTTATCTTGAAAAAAAAATCCTGACTCCAGGCACACATGAAGACTAAATAAAAAAAATTCCTTTATTATTCAATTTGTTTCAGAATTTAAGCCTGAGTCTGCTGTCAACTGAAAGATAGCAAGACCTTCATGCATTATAATGACTGTTTTCCACCGCCAGAGGAGTGCTTTCCTTGGGGAAACACGGAAATGTCATCACATGTTGCCGTCGTCGAGAGCTGAAGCATCACAGCTTGTGGTCCAATTCAGTTGAGATTCAAGAGTCACTAGTGGGTGTGAGAGAGACAGAAGAAGAAACACTGTCTAATCTACAATCTCTCAACTTGTCTCACAATGCCTTTACATCCGTTCCTAGTGGTTTGGCTTGCCTGGCACTCTCCCTTAACCGTCTCAATCTTAGCTATAATAGGTGGGTCACTGTAACTGGTCAGTTTAGAATAATCTCCATGACTGATGATATTGAATTTATCTGCTATCAGATTTGGTACTATATCTTTTGGTTATCTCTGTTCCTTGTTATTACTACTCTACTTTAATTTATAATACATTAATATAGAATAACCAGACTGTTCAGGATGTGTAAAATTTTATAGAAGAAAAGTAAATGAAGCTTGATTTAGTTAGCTGTGGTGTGTGAGGTGCTCAATTGGAAGTTTGAAAAAGGTTATAAAACAGAACCAGTTTGGAACCTGAGATTGCTAGTAACAAACTGCATACTCTTAAGAGTAGTGTGTCCCCATGGCTTTTCTCCTACCACTGTAACCAGTGGTGGGAAACGGCTCTGGCAAGGTTGCATATTGGCCATACATGCTTAACTCAGTCACTTAATGGAGCGCCGCCCTGCTCTTTATTGTCCAAACCGCATTGTCCTTCTTACAGTCGTGCATATCCTTGTTGAATGTTCTGACTTCCAGGACAAGCGTGTCTTGCTTTCCAACCGTCCCACGCGGTCACTTGTCCCTCGATAGAATTCTTGGTGAATCGGATACTTTTGATATCGTTCACCTTGTGTGTTTCTGTTCTCATATTGGCATCCTTAGTGATATTTAGCACCCTTTGATTATTCCGCACATTTGATGGTGCTACATAGCCTTCCCGGCTTGGTGCTTTCTTTGATAATTACTTACTTGGAGCCTGAGAGTGAAAGATGATACGTGACTAAAAGCAACGTAAGATAATACAGTAGTCACTGGAGAAAGAATAAAAATATACCTAGAGGAACAAGATACAACAAAAGCAATAGGACTTGATATCACCACGGCTACTTAAGGAGGCTGTGGAACTACTGCACTTTTTTGTCAACTAAATAAAATTTAATAAAATTCTTGACAGATCTGGAAATCTGGTGCAAGGCAAATAATCACTATTACAAAAAACCAAAAAACAAGGGAGGTATTATAATATTAGCACCGTGTATAATATTAGCAGTAATAGTAATGTGTATTTTTCTACATGCATGTTGTCAATGTTGCCTACTTTGTTTTAAAAGTCTTAATTTAAAATGATACATGTTATGAAGTTGTTAATAAAAGAAGTCTGATGTGAAGATTCACTTGCATTTTCATGTTTTGATTATTATAATAGTTATTAGGAAGATTTAACCACTGTGCTGCGCCAACCGAGAAATCTCGTTCTGAGAGTTGTACATTTTTTTTGTTTTAATTAGGCTATATTTTAATGTTTTAAATGTTTTCATCACTCTTTGTGTTTTGAAATGAAAATAGTTAAGTTTGGAAACATTTTGACATTAACTTTACCTGAACATTTATAAAAAACAACAAAAATATGTCCTTTACAATTGCACTATGAAGTTTTTGCCAAGAACAGGTGCGCAGTGCAGGGGTTAAAATTGATGTATAGACAATCATTATTAGGGGTTTACCTTGCGGTTACCTTGCGGTTACCTTGCGATGATTTCGGGGCTCAACGTCCCCGCGGCCCGGGGTAGCTATATATTATGTATGCTATTTCATTTTTCACTCACATTATTGTCTGTTGTTGCTGCAATGCTTTAGTAAAACAATACTCTTGGAGCATATTATAATTCTACGATTTGCCATTTTATTCAGACTAAACGAAATGGGTTCAGCCAGCAGTTACCCAGTTGGGTTGAAGCAGTTAGACCTGTCTCACAATCGTATCCGAGCCTGGCCCACTGTGGCCCATAGTGAGTCCCTGGAAAGCCTCGAGTCTACTTTATCATCTTGTTATGCTCTCGCAGAACTCTCAAAGAGTAGCAGATTTTTATGTCAAGGTATTGTATTTAATTTGAGAATTGGTGCATATTATATATTCTATATTTAGTAAAATATTATTTAGGAACCAATGTCTTAAGTTGCTCTATAATTTACATTTGATTGTAGTATTGCTCTGCACAGAGAATAATTGATGAAATCTAGCTTTGGTTTTTACATGAATGTTTATGGTCACAGCATCATGGTTTATCACAATACAGTATACAAATTTTGTTTTGTACCTGCACTACAAATGGTGTTACTGTTTCTTCTCCCATCCCTATGTTGTGCAAGTAGCTAGAACTAGTAAACACCTACCCTTTTCCTTCCTCCCACAACACAATTCTATAGGCCGCAAGTTTGGCCAGAATCTGAACGTGCCTCGAGTAAGAGGGGGTACAAGTTCTCCTCTTGGTACTTCCCCTACGCCTGGTCACTGCATCCATCGTCGTCATATTCGCCTAGAATCTCTGCGAACGTTAATCTTGGCTGATAATCAGTTGACTCGACTCTGCCTGTATCTAGATGACAACGAATTTTCATTACTGAATGAAGTTGATGATAATGAAGTAAGTAAATTTTTCAATTTAGTTAAACATACTGTATTGTACTAATAATATACTGTACCTTATTATATAGCTTTTTTTGTTAATTTATTTGCATTTTAATCATGATCAAAATTTTAAAGGTAGATATCTAAAATAAGATTTGTGTGGTAAAACTGTAACAACTTATGGCACTGTTAATTTCAGACAAGCCCCGTCCGAACCAGTACGCCTAGGAAATCATGGTTGTTATTTCCAAATCTCTCCATGTTGGATGTTAGCAACAACCTTTTGCGTGATTTGCCTACAACACTTCACGAGCTTACAAATTTATCTGTAAGTTAAAACTATGAAATTCATTACAAACTATTTGGAAATTGGACTTAATTATACCAGCAGGTTTTCACATAGAATGTGGAAAGTTTTTCTTGAAGGGCAAGAGACTGTTTTGGAACATAGAAACATAAAAGAACACAAATTTCTTGAGATGGAAAAAAAAAAGTGTGCATTGGAGGTGTTAGAATGTCATAATACAATTTTTCATTGATATAGTCAAAATCAAAGTTAAAGTAACTATGCTGTTACGTCGGAAGAGGGGTTATATATGCACAGCAAAAGGGCTGCTCAGAAGTATCATAATAATTTTCCTTATAGGCAAAACTTTGTATCCCAATGAAGCCTACTCTCAACTTGGCATTTCCCTAAATAGTTTTATGCAATTCAGTGATATACAAGATATGGTCAGATAATGGTTTTAAATTAAATAACCATATTATCCTGTATCAAATGTTCACTGTATTTGATACAGTACTTAACGGATTCCTGATGTTCTTCAAATTTAAAATTTTTCACAGGTCCTGAACATATCTGGAAATATTGATATTACGGAGCTGCCACCTGAGATGGGGCTCTTGTCCCGCCTCTGGAATCTCAACACCCGAGCATGTTCATTACAAGAGCCTCTCAAGTCCATGATTGAAAGCAAGAAATACAAAACTATGGATGTCATTGGTTATCTCAAGGTCAGTGTTTATATGGTGACACATAATTATGAAATTTATGATTTTGAATATTTCTTGTTTAATACCAAAAATAGATACTGTATGTAGTTATGGAAAGCTAAAGGCCCTTGAAGTAATGTAGTGTGAATCATTATGAGAAGGTTGTGTTAATGCCTGATTGCTGCATTGCAGCTTTTGATTGGTTTACATCACTGGGTATGTTTTGACATCTTGTTCCCTTCAGCCGCTACTGCTCCTCAAGATAAGAACCTTGTGTACAAATTTTCCCAGATGACTTTTCCCAGATGGTCCTACATTTTGATCTTTGAAGGATCATTATAAGAGCTGTTTTTTGATATTCATAAATAAGAATGTGTATAAAAAAGAGAGAGAGAGGCTTGTCATTGAAAGCATAAAGAAGTTAGAATATTGGTACTGTAGCAGAATGAAAAACAAAGCAACCCACTTAGTCATTCTGAGCAACCCACTTAGTCATTTCTTTTGGCAATATGCATCTCTTCCCTGGATGTAACACCTTACATCCTCTATGTGATGGGATCTTTTTCATTCCACCCTTGCCTAGCCAAGAATGGGGGAAAGGGAGATAATGAAGAATTCTTATTCCTGACCAGAATGTCAGGTCTGGGATAGGTGTAAATGCAAACAAAAATGCAAACTAAAAAGAAGTTAATAGGCCACCACAAAGCTAGCTTGGTAATGGGTGGATAACAGGACTTAGTGAGATGCTGGCTACCTTGATCCTTTGTGTCAATAGTGCTGTCACCTGGTAACTGTTGGTGTGTTTTGATATGTTAATGCTAGTTTGTTGAGCCATAATTGGTATTCTTGTTAATTCTAAGTTTTAATTGTAGGAGATTTTGGTGGGTCATTATTTTGTTTATCTTATAGTGAGCTGATGCCTTTATTAGTGGCATTTACTTAAAAAACATTATTAAGAGAAGAATGTTATGCTGGAGAACGTGTTGAAAATCCTTCAGTAAAGCTGTTGTTTGAATGTTTGCCAAAAAAGTAGGTCATTCGTGTGATTAAGGACATTTCTCAGTGTACCCTTGAATAACTGCGCTCAACTAAATTAACATTTTTGCAGAGCATACTAGAGGATGCAAGACCATATGCAAGAATGAAGTTGATGATAGTCGGAGTTCAAGGCATTGGGAAGACTTCACTTCTGGAGCAACTACGGCATGAAGGGACTGGATCATACAGAAAAAAACCAGCTGAAGTGAGTGCTAACATAGCTTTTATCTTTGTATTACAAAAATAATTTATATTTTAAAACGATTAGTTATTTAAATATATGGAATACATTTCCCATTAAAGCACACGTAGTATGCAACTCAGAAAATATAATGTTAACATGAAAGCATTAATCGGATATGCATGATCATATTTCGGCAAAATAATTATTGTAAATATTAAATAAATGTAATACTTTTTTGGTAACGTTGCAAATTGTTTATAGCACTGGGCAAAAAGAATGGGAAATAAAAACATCAATACACGTACTTCACGAGGCACCAGCATGTCCACTGTTGGTGTTGATATTGGAGACTGGATATACGAGAAAAAAGTTAGAGGCCATAGTAACTATGGTCCAGTGGTTTTCAGGTTTGTAATTCTCATGTTTTCAGTTTTACAGTCCTTTAAGTATTATTAGAAAATATTGTTCAAGCTGCATTTTCTTTCTGCCATTGCCCGAGTTGGACAGCCAGAGGCTTAGGGCTTGCGCTAATAAGCCTTGATAAGCTTGCACCTTGATAAGCCTTATCAGGCTTATCCTAAGCCTGATAAGATCATTAATTAAAAATATTGCAGGGTTTTCTCTAGTGATTATTTAAAAATATTTTTAATTTAGCTTCAAAATAGGTACAACATTGAATATATATTAGATACTAAAAATTGGGCATAAAGTGAAATTAAACTCTCCATTCTGAGCAGGTTGTCCCTGTCTGCATCCCAAAATGGAGCAAAAATAGCTAAGCCTAGTCTCAATTTACTTGCCAGGCTTGGTGTGATTTGTATTTCTAGTGTTTGAATGGGGTAGAGAAGAATCAACTTTGAAGCCAGGAATGGGAATGCAGAAGACATAAGAGGTGATTGTCATAATACCCTATATAGCACCCCTCCATGCTGAACTAGGCAGTTTTGCCAATTACCATAGTACTGGACCTTAATGTCCAATAAGAAGGATACAAAACTAATGCAATCGTAGATCATGTAACAAATGACAATTTAGACATTTACCTTAATGGTGTAGTGTCCATACTTCAGATACCACAAACTATTACAATAGTTTGGCCACCAAATAACATCACAAATTTTTTAACCAAGGTCAATGTAAATAATGTCGTAGAACATGTTCTGTTGTCCTCTTGCTAGGCTCTGCTTCTTTACTGTGACAGGCAGGCATAAAGAGAGAAATATTTCCCCACATAGTTTGCCATCTTCATGCAACGTTACATTCCTCCATTACACTTTATATGTTTTAGCGACATGACAAAGAATACCAGGGCTTTTTCATAATTCAGTATCAACATAGTTATTTATACTGGTTAACAGATCCTATGAAGTGTAAGAGGAGGTCAGGTCAAGACACAAGTGCTCAGCAATCACTAACCTACTTTGTTTGGGCACCTGACAAAAAATTGAAATGATTGTGACAAGCAAAGATAAACACAATAGAAATGGCAACAACATGCACCGAGGTAATAGCCAAATGGACTCGTGTGCCTATAGGAAAAAGTCAGGGAGTATAGTACATAAGGGGGGCTGAAGTCAGGCAACTGAGCAAGGGCATGACACTACTGCCTGGTTGTGGCTGGTATAGATAGCCAGTCAGGCCAACCAATAGTTAATAAGTACTTGTTGGCAGTTACCTGTAGTATCAAGGGAGTGTTCCAAAGAACTCGGTGAGTTTTATGAAATTACCTCTGTCAGTTATTCTAGGCTGGACTGCAAATTCAGAAGTAACTCCTTGTACCTATTGTGATCCTACAAAATTGAATAATCCTATTTAAGGACACATGGGAACATATCTTTGATAACAGCTGAATGTGGAATCTCAGAAATTCCTTCATTTAGCCATCTAGTTATCAGCTGTCAATAGTTTAAACAATTAATCTATTCAAGAAATGTGTTAAATATTCTGCCATAATTTTGTATTTATTTATTTATTGCTTACTGGCTTGTTTTGAAGCTGAACTGAATTAAGATGTAACTCTGCTTTCCTTACCCTAGGTATGAATGTAAATGTAAAATCATGCTTAGTCAAGTGGGATAGATATTTTAAAGGCTTCATATATTTCTCAAGTAAATATTGCAGTACTTATTTTTCGCCTGTACTTTAGTGTGAACTCTCTGCTCTTTTTTGATGATTTTTTAGTTATGTTGGTCATAAAAATCTATATAATTTTGTAATTCCTTTAATTTAACTGGAGATTTTAGAGACAGCCCTCAGCTTTAGGTACATGAAAGAGCTTCCATAATGGGTTTTTACTCGTATACAAAAAAAGAAAGGCATTAGACTACAAAGCAGTGTTTTTCTAGGACGTGGGACTTTGGTGGTCAAAAGGAATATTACGCTACACACCAGTACTTCCTCTCTAAGCGATCACTCTATCTTGTGGTGTGGAAGATCAGTGATGGGGAGAGGGGTGTTGCAGAAATATTACAGTGGCTTGTTAATATTCAAGTAAGTATCTCTTATCAGTATATGCAGTCTTGATTGCCTTAAGAGAAAATATTTATTGGAGTACTTCTTTAGGAAACATATATAAACATTTCCTACAGAAGCAAGTTCTTGTATTTTAACAAAATTTCAAGTCTGCACTTGTGTTGCTCATATATGCTTGATAATGTTTGTGTAATATTTAATCTACAACCGTGTTCAACTCACAAGTGACCAACGTCCTCAATTCACTTTCTATCCCTGGATTAATTACATAAAATGTCAAATATCTTTCCATTGTGAAGGGTTTTACTGGCATTTAGGTGATAACTGTTGAGAAAGAAATAAACTAATGAAGATGAAAAGTGGCATATATTGGAATAATTTTACTCTGATGAACAAACCTCTGTTGCACAAAACATTATTGAATTGCTCATTATAGAAATAATGACAGAGGTACAATGACATAAAATACAAATATTATTACTCCTTACAGTAGTGCATATGTTTGTGTCAAGTAATGAGGAGTGTGAAGTACTTGTGGGGGTGAACCTGCACTCTTTGGTCCCACCTTTCAACTTTCAATCAACTGATGTGCAGATTCTTGAGCCAATTGGGCACTATCATATCTTCATTCAAAACTGTGTATGGAGTCTGCCCACCACATCAATGCCTAGTGCTTTCCATTTGTTAACTACTGACACCGAAAAAGTTTTTCAGATGTCTTTGGCTCACTTGAGTACTCAGTTTCCACCTATGTCTTCTTGTACATGTACCACCTGTGTTAAATAATCTGTCTTTATGTACCCTATCAATTCTCCTGAGAATCTTGTATGTGATGATCATATCTCCTCTAACTCTTCTGTCTTTCAGCAATGAAAGATTTAGTTCCTGTAGTCTTCCCTCGTAGCTCATACCCTTCAGCTCAAGTACTAGTCTGATGGCATACCTTTGAACCTTCTCCAATTTAATCATGTACCTGACTAAATATGGAATCCATGCTGGAGCTGTATAATCCAGGATTGGTCTGACATATGTGGTATACAAGGTTCAGAATGATTACTGTACTTACACAAATTTCTAAAGGCAGTTCTTATATTGGCCAATCTAGCATATGCCACTATGATATCCTGTTGATGTGGGCTTCTGGAGACATGTTTGGTGTGATATCAAACCCCAGATCATTCTCTCTACTTGACTCTTGAAGGCTTTCACCTCCCAGATAGTTCCTTGTGTTTGGCCTCCTGCTCCCTTCATCTAATTTCATTACTTTACACCTCACTGAGTTAAACTTTAGTAGCCATTTTCTAGATCATTTCTCCAGATTGTCCAGGTTTTCTTGTAGTCTTTGTCTATCTTCATCTGTCTTGATTCTTCTCAATTTTTGCATCATCAACAAACATCGAGAGGAACGAATCTATACCCTCTGAAAGATCGTTTATATACAGTATATCAGAAACAGGATGGGTCCAAGTACAGAGCCCTGTGGCACTTTGCTGGTGACATCTCGCCACTCTGATGTCTAACCCGTCACAGTTATTTGCTGTTTCCTGTTGCTTAGATACTCCCTTATCCACTGAAGCACCTTACCTTTTATGTGGTACTGTGTCAAAGGCTTTCTGACAATCCTAGAAAATACAGTCTGCCTACCCTTTTCTTGCTTAATCTTTGTCACCTGGTCCTCTTAAACCTGTGAGGCAAAATTTGCCATACCTGAACCCATGTTGGTGGTATGTCACGACATCCCTTCCTTTCAGATTTGTTACTAGTTTTTTCCCATGATCACCACACCTTGCTTTGCGTGGTATGCAAGTTAGGGATACTGATCTATAGGTTTTTTTTCAGGTTTTATTTGATGATGAATAATTCCAGTATTCATTACTGTAATTTGCTGGGTCATTATTTTTAGGCAAATGGACAATTTCAGTGCAGAGAACTTTGGTACAAAGAATTCTGATTGTAGATTATTTGCTTTGTTCTAGGCTTTTCCAAATCATCCTTGAAAATTATATGAACATTACATTTTTTTTTAGTTATACATTGTTCATTCCTTTCCACTGATTGACTAACAGGCTTTTCAGTAGAACTTTGAGATCACTTTGAAATACTGTATATACTATACAGTAATTGTTAAATGATTTACAATTCTTTACACAATTCTTTATATAAAATATGCTGCCATTTCCTACATAATGATGACATTAATACATATTGTATTGTACTAATCCTCTAAGTTAAAATACAGGTTTGTCCTTAAAACATAAATTAATCTAGTACATATTTCTTTCAAGGCACGAGCTCCCAACTCTCCTGTTTTGATAGTTGGCACTCACTATGACCTTGTGAAAGAAAAGTTTCCACCATCATGGAGCGAAGATCTACAGCAGCTGATTCGTGACAAATTTATCAATGTTATTGACGCTGACAAACTGGGCTTACCACGAGTGTTGGATACCATAGAGGTATAGCATAGACAGCAGCCTCTTTCTTTCCCACTTTTTTTTTTGGTCTCCAAAGTTGTGTTGTTCATTTAGCAAACTCATCAATATTACAATTTGTTGTTTGTTCTTAAGTTTTCCATCTGTCTTAAATCAAATTTTTCAACTGACAATAACATCTACATAAACATTTAAATGTTATACCTTCTGTTACATATATTGATAAACAATATGTATTTAAATGACATTAGACATTTAAACCTGGCCTCGAGCCGGGCATAGGGAGTAGAACAAGTCTCAGAACCCCATCAAGCAGGTATCGAGCAGACAGGAAAAAAAATGATAAACCTTGTGAAATTAACCAAAAATGCATGTTTGAGTATTCATTATATGAAAAATACTTTTCTGATCAGTAAATTTGGTTGCTCATTGAGAAAATCAGTAGGAACTACAAGGAGGCTTTGATCCTGCATACTGGGTACTGTCCTGCACATGCCTTAGACCATTACACCATGACATAGTCAAAAGCAATGTAACCCCATAGTCAGAGTGCATGGCAGAAATGTGTGTGAAACCCTGACTGAGCTTCAGTGGAAACCTCAGGACCTCGTGAAGATTCAATTGAATCCTAGGTTGCATTGCTTTTGACCATATCGTGGTGTAGTGGTCTAAGGCGTGTGTACAGGAACCCAGTGTGCAGGTTCAAATCGTCCTCATGGCTCTTACTGATTTTCTCATTCATACATCGTTTTTAATGTTATTTCTCAGTACATTGGTTTGCACGCTAATGCATGTTCCTCCTAACCTCTGGTCATGATTTGCCTCAATCTGGGTAGATCAGTATTCTGTTAGGTCATACTAGTGCTGGGAGGATACCATAGAATATTCAATCCAGTTCAAATTATAGACTGGAAAGTCCTTTACATAAATTCAAAAGCCTTTCCAGGCACAATTTGGCAACTCAGCTCACCAGGCTGTACCCCTAGATAACTACTTGGCATTTAAAACATTTACTTTTGTGATATTGACACTCAAACATTAAATAGGGGCTCAAAGTGATAAAAAGATACTTTAAAGAGTAGCACTTGTGTGAGTTTCTTAGATGTTATGACAAAAATATGGCATTGTTTTGCATAATTGTTTGCTTGTAGCCGTATAAGAAAGAAAGGGGTTTTGTACATTTTTCACATTACAAAGTCAACTTCCTTTTGTTTTTTTTTGCAGGTGAGCTGCAAGACTAGACACAACTTAAAACTTCTATGCAACTTGGTATATGATACCGTCTTCAGTCTCAAAACTCCTGGTAATTAAAAGTCAGGTTGTTGTTCGGTGTCTAGAAAGGAGCATATTCCCCATGGTCTGTATGCATGGTTCCCAAAACTATCAAGAGATTAATTTTGTAATGAGAAGATGCATTTTTTACTATCACAGTGTATCTGAATATTTTGCTAAAAAATGTAACATGTTTGTCGTACACCATCAGGAAGCAAAGAACGGTTACTTGAGCAGCGCATCCCTGCCTCCTACCTTGCATTAGAAGATGTGGTTGGTGTTCTAGCTCTGGAACGGCGTGTTCAGGGCCGTGATCCAGTTTTGCCTGCAGACAAGTATCAGGCTCTTGTTACGCAAGAGATGTCTAGCAGAGGCCACCGTCCGTTCAGAGATGTAGCAGAGCTCAATCAGGGCACAACCTTTCTCCATGAGAATGGTGAGTATCTCTGAGGGTAGAAATAGCCTAAGCTACTTTAGCCCTTTGAGATGTATCTTACTATCTCAATAAACTTAATTGAATTTGGTGAGTATCTGACTATAACAATATATATCTCTCTATATCTCTATATCTATATCTATCTCTCTTATATCTATATCTCTCCTTTTTCATCCCTCCCTTTCCCCCATTACCTTCATCCTCCCCCTCCCTCTTTTCCCCTTAATCCCACTCCCCTATTCCGTTGGTCCTCCTTCCTTCTTCATTCTTCGCCCCCTTCTCTCAGAAATTGTATGGGCCCCTCTCCTCCCATATACCCCTCTGCTCCACCACCTTCATTCCCTCATTCCCCCACACTTACCCCTCTCCCTCCTTTCCCCTTCCACCCATATTTCCCCTTCTTTATCTCTATCTTTTTCCATCCTACAATATTATTAATAGCACAATTAGAGGAAATGTCACCATGTCTTCATAAAATTTAATGACATTCACACAGGATATAATAGTTTCCCCCCTTTTGGAACCTGTGGCTTATGGGATCATGGCCTTAGTTTGAATAGTAGGAAATTTATGTTAATATGCCTATGATCAATGAATAATGATGTATATTTCTATAAGAACAAAAAATGTTTTGATTTTTTTTTTATATTTAACTGTGTAGCCGGCATGCAGTGCCAAAAATTGTCGTGGGATTTCTGAATGTGACCCCTGGCATGCTGTTCCCTTTTGAATTCTGCAGACTCTGACTAACCTGTGTTCATCTCATACCCCAGATCACTCTCTCTACCAATTTGAGAGAGGCTAGCTCCAAGCGTCTGGTCTCGCAACTTTGAACAGACCGATATTCTATCTAATAGTATAGATATAAAATATAATATAAACTTGGTATTGGAAAGTCATATTGCTGCCATTCCAACAGGTGTTATGCTTCATTATGAAGATGCAACTCTGAAGGACTTGTACTTCCTTGACCCTCAATGGCTGTGTGATATGTTAGCCCATGTGGTCACCATAAGAGAAATCAACCCTTTTGCACGTAATGGTGAGTAAAATGTCTCCAGTAGAGTTCAGTAGGGATTAGTACATTACTAAGACTTATTCGTGATGTACGTAAATGATCTTCCAGATAGGATTTACTTCTTTCCCTCAATGCTTGTGGATGATGCATATATGAGGGGGAAAATATTGTGGAAAATTGCAAGAAACTTCAAGATGACACTCTGAAAGAATGGTCTAACAACCCTGTGGGTATAGTATTCAAGAGTAATGGCAATTCATTGCAGAATCAATGTCATCTACATTGATTCAACGATGAATTAACATTGAAAAATATTTAATTTCTAACCAATTTTACTCTTCGATATTGTAATCACTGGGAAGGAGCTACTAGACGACATGAACATCTCTGCAGCAAGTGCAGAATAATGAAACTTGATATTGGGGTCTGGATACTAGACACAAAATATTTAAGGAGTGAAGAAACTATTCAAGAATCGGGCACAAAGAAATAACTTGCGGGTTATCACAACAAATCTGTTTCCCAAAGTATATACAGTATATGTCAAACATATACTGTATCACAAGTGGCATCCTGTAGGTTGGCCAGCATAAGAAATGTCTTTAGAAATATGAATTAGGAATTGTTTAGGACATTGTACTATCGAATTGTACTATTGAATTGGAATTGTACCATATGTATCAAATAAATTCTAGATTATGTAGCACAGTATGGAATCTTTATCTTGTCAGAAAATCATAAATCATTCACATAAATTGAATCTAGAGAAAATCAGAGGGATGTCAACAGACATACCTCTGATTTTCATACCTAGATCTGAAAGGTATGAGTTAACAGCGAAGATTAATGGAACTAAATAAGATAACCACATGCAATATCCTCAGGGAATTGATAGGGCAGTCAAGGATAAAATATCTGCATAGAAAGAATTTTTCAGTATCAGAGTAGAGATGAAATTGAATGCAATTATAGAGTGAATATAGGCACATTCCATTCCTTTCTTCAAATATATATATATATATATATATATATATATATATATATATATATATATATATATATATATATATATATGTATATATATGTATATATATGTATATATATGTATATATATGTATATATATATATATATATATATATATATATATATATATATATATATATATATATATATATATATATATATATATATATATATATATATATATATATATTTGAAGAAAGGAATGGAATGTGCCTATATTCACTCTATAATTGCATTCAATTTCATCTCTACTCTGATACTGAAAAATTCTTTCTATGCAGATATTTTATCCTTGACTGCCCTATCAATGTATATATATGTATATATATGTATATATATATGTATATATATGTATATATATGTATATATATGTATATATATATGTATATATATATGTATATATATATATATATATATATATATATATATATATATATATATATATATATATATATATATATATATATATATATATATATATATATATATATGAGAGCTCAGTACACTTGAAAACTGTTTACTGCACTCTGTTTATGTAAAACTACATAAACCAATTAATAAAGGTTAAGAAGTAGGACTAATGAGCTGAAATTCAACTCCAGTAAGCAAAATTAAGTTAGTATACAAGAATATTTTATTGTTAAGTACTGTAGTTGAAAATATGTTGTACATAAGTTTTCCTTTTGAATTATCATTAAGTAGCTCATTTTCTTTCTCCACTTTTGTTTGTAATTAATATTTACTTGATTCCTTATTGGTATTATTTCTTCTAATTTTTTTTGTCACAGGTTGTTCACTTGTTTTTTGAAAATTAAATGTAAAATATAATGTGACCTTGCATTTATTCTGTACTTATCTGGTATTTCTTTTGTCCTATTTTTTCAGGTATAATGAAACTTGATGATCTTAAACACGTGTTCAAGTCATCAACGTGTGCCCCTGTGGATGCCAAGTCATACATAGTGAATTTACTCAACAAATTTGAGGTGGCTCTCACTTGGGACAACAGAACCCTACTAATTCCTTCTCTACTGCCTTCGGAGGAGCAGCTGCGTAGTGGATTACCCGGAATGGATGTTAGGGTAAAGGTGCTCATTCTTCCAGGGGAAATATATCCATTATTTCTTAGCTGTTGATGGTCTTGCCTTGTCTGTGATTTGACATATTTTCTTTGTGTTTTGTTGTCTGTTTTTTTTGGTAGCAAATTGTTCTTTAGTAAAACTAAATTGTTGCTTAAAAACTTGCAAAAAATTTAGCTGGGGTTTTCTGATTCTAGGCAGATTGGCTGAGCTCCTCCTTTAGTTCATCTAGCTCCCTTGCCAGTGTGCTTTTGTCTTGCATTCAAAACTATGATGATGTTAATGTCTTTTTTTTTTTTTTAGTATTTATTTTGGTATAATTTTGAACAAAATTATGAATTGTACAAATTGTGTATAATTACCTAAGTGTAGGTATAGAATGAGAGCTATGTCCGTTGTCCCAGCACTCTTTGCCATATAACGCTATGAAACTACTGACAGTTTTGACCTCCACCACTTTCTCACTTGTTTCCATCTGTCTACTCCTCTGCAAAAGAAATCCTTTTAATATTTTATCTGCCTCTTTGTTCTTGAAGTTCCTGGTTTCAGGAATTCCTCTACCAATTTAGTCGATTCCTGTTATTATTTTGTAAGAGGTGATCATATCACCTATATTTTCTTCTAACTTCTAGTTTTGGCATATTTAGCTCAAAGCCTATATAGCTTCTCTTCATAACTCTTGTTTTTCGGTTCTGGATTTTGTAGCCATTTTGTAGCATGCCACTGCACCTTGTCCAATATATTGATGTGCTTCTTGAGATATAGGCACCCTACAACTGCTAATTATTTCAAATTTTTCTCACAAAAAGTAATTAAGTTTCTTTAGTAATTCATTATCCACATAATTAAAAGTGATTCTGAAGTTGGAAAGCAGAGCATGTGGTCCTCATACAATGTGCTTTATGTGTTCCTCTGGTGACAGTCTACTATCCAGAACCACTTCAAGATCTCTTTCTTTATTAGAATTCTTGCAGAGGTTAAGTTCTTTCCACATAATTTGTAGATTGTGTGGTCTGTTTTCTTCTATTTCACATTTCATAACATGGCATTTATTCACATTGAATTCCATTTCCTATGTTTTTTTGTATGGTGATCCAAGCACTTAATTTTTCTAATTCAGTTAAAAGGCATGACAATCTTATAGGTTTCCTATCTTCCCTAGTAGCTTAGCATCATCAGCAAACATGTTCATATAATTCTCTATTGCTTTTGGTAGAATATTTATGTACATGATAAATATTACTGGTGCAAGAACTGAACCCTGTGGTGCTCTGCTAGTAACATTCCTCCAGTCAGATACATTGTCTCTGATTATTGCCCTTATCTGTCTGTCGGTTAGTATATTTTTCATCCATGTCTGAAGTGTGTCTGTCACTCCTCTAGCATGTTCTAGTTTCCAGAACAACCTCTTGTGTAGGACTCTGTGGCTCAATCATAAAAAACTAAGTAGTTTTGTCAAACAGAATCTTTCTGTTAAAAAAAAATACTGTCTGTTATGTCATTACTCTTCAGGTGTTCTATCCATTTGGTTTTAACTATTTTTTTTCTAGTGGTTTGACTACCATGGTGGTTTGATATGGGTCTATAATCAGAGGGTCTTCTCTGCTACCATTTTTGTAGATTGGAACTATATCTGCCTTTTTCTATATAGCTGTTAAGTTTCCTATACTCAAAGATGTTTGGAATTTCAATTGAAGTGGAATGTTCAGCTCGGTTGCACATTCTCTCAGCACCCAAGGTGAAACTCCATTAGGTCCAACTGTTTTATTTCTTCTTAGCCACTTGAGTAATTGTTCCATTTTGCCTTGAGACTCTTCTCAACTATGTACTGTTTGGTGTTCTCTGGAAATGAATGTTGTGTCTGGTTCTCTGAAAACCTCATTTTGCAAAACACACTTTGGAACTGTTCATTTAGTGTTTTGCACATTTTTTGTTCATTTTCTGTGAAACTGTTTCCCCATTCTCAGTGGATTTTATCCTTTACATGCAGCTTGTTTTTAATGAATTTATAGAGAAGGCCTGGATCTGTTTTCCATTTGTTCTCTATCCCTTTCTCAAAGTTCCTTTCTGCTTCTCTCTTCTCAATGCTGTGTATTTGTTTCTTGCTGCTTCTTTGCATTGCTGGTATGTTTGAGAGTTCTTATTCAGTTCCTGCCTAACACCAGTATAACCTAACAAAGACAATTGAAAAGATTTTTCTTTCTGCGTATGTAGTGTCACCGAACCCCGACTATAATGATCCTGTCCAAAAGGGCTTTTAGTGTTCTTGTAAGCAGACCTCAGTGGATATTTTACAGTAGTTTTTTAAATTTATTTCCAATCTTTTTAATTTATTATAATAATAACTAGTACTGAAACTGCTATGAATTACAATACAGTATATTATTATACCTTGGAGGCAAGCAGTTTTGTTAATACATAAAAAAAATAATATTGGATACTAAAAAATAACAGACGAGTCGCTATTTATGATATTAGTTTATATAGCTTATACTTTCATATTTCTTTTATCTACTAGAAGCAAAATATGTGATTATTTACCTGGTTGACTAATACTGTGGTTCATGCCCATCTTTTTCATTACAGCACATTTATTTATACAATTTTTAAACTTTATCAAATTGCTTCTCTTTACTGTACGTTATCATCAAATTTCTGCTTTTATTTCCCCTGGATTTGTTTACAATTGAATGTATTATATGTCCATAGAATGTTAGCTAGATTAGGTGTAAGTTGACTTTGAGTGCATAAAGCAAATGAGGTCGTAAGCACTGTGCCCATTGAATGTTAGGAAGCACATAAAGCTTCCAAATATGGTACTGTATACAACTCATACCATACAATAAGTAAGCGAGCATATCAGCCAAATAGTAGCATCCAGCATTGACTCTGGGATGAGGAAACTTGGCATGATAGAGGTAGATATATGCTGTAGCCAAGTATTTTAACATATAATTAACTTCAGCTACTTGAATTTTTGTATTGTTTGTGTCATTGTAATAATTAACAAATTAGCTGAAGCAGTGAGTGTTGGTTCATGTGAGTGTATAGCATGTAATATAATAATACAACTATTCTAATATACAGTAACTGAAAACAAATATTCTTAAATATAGTTTATCAAATTTTATTTCGTCATACAGTATGTGTACATTCATACCTTCATGAAATGTTGTTCAGAAAACTTTTAATAAAATTTTTCGAGAAATTTAACCATTTGACAGACGAGAGGCAGTGGTTTGTGAAAAATTAGATAGATATATATACATATATATTTATATATATAATATACATACACACTGTATATACTGTATATATATAAATTATCGATAAACACAAAGTAAAATATTTATGAAATAATTGGCCCTCAGATTCCAGTACGTTCGAGAGGATGGACTGTGAGAAGCAAGAAGTTCTCTAGCACGTCTGGATCTACCATTGTTGGTAATTCTGCCTTCTACGTTGCTAATACTGAGGAGCGTAAGCAACGACCATTATCTGCTCACGGACTTACAACAGAGGCTATAGGTAATGATTTTGGCCAGTTTATACATATTATTTCCACTAGTTATTTTTTAATGGCCACTCAACAGTGCATAACCATATACAGTATGTATAAATATCATTTTTAAGTTCAAAATAAAACTCCACATGTGGTTTTGAATAAAAAGAGATCAAAAGGTATTGGAAAAGCCATAGGGTGGTAGTCCATTCCACATGACGGCTCTATAATAAGCTTAAAAGATAGCATCAAGATAAATTTTTTATACTGTATTTCTTAAATAACAATGTACAGTATAGCAGACTGTGGAAGGCAGTTCATTTTCACTTCATAAACAGGGGTCTGTGTGAGTGTATTCTTCCTCGGCATGTAGTGACCTGGCCATTACTTATTTAGGTTTCAGTTTGCCCCACTTTGCATTATGAAGATAAACACCTTTTCTAGTCTGGCAGGCATCCAGAAGGTGTTTGTTTTTCAGGACTTGTTTACCTCCCAGCTTCAAATGATGTTTCCTATGCTGGTTGATTTGAACTTCGTTGCAGGCTTTCTCTTCTATAATTGCTGGGGATATGGTTTTGGAGCACTTTCTGGAATTTGATGGACTGCTGCTCCTAGCTTTCCACTCCTTTCTTACGTCTTCCTTTTTCATAGGATACAATGTGTCGGGAGCTGTTGGGTGCCCAGGCCTCCTCCCATCTATTGGCATAGGTAATCCAGCTGGGAGCTGGGGCCTTTTGACCTTCCCATGGGAGAGAAAGAGAGTGGGGATGGCTCGAGTGGGCTGCCATGTGCTTCGTGCTTAGGATCAGAGTTCTTTTGTTCAGTTCTTTGTCCTGCTGTCACTCCTTTACCAGCAGGCAGGAAGGCTTGCCTGTTCCTTGGTAGGGGCACAAGGGGTTCTTCATGGCCTTTTTGTGCTCTGCTTTCTTGAAGATGTGATGGGGAAATGTGTAGGCATTTTCCCAGGCTTTTGGTGGATTTTCCCTTGCCCTTAATCAGAGTCAAAGAATTTTGTTTGGACATGATTTCCTGTGGAACCCTGTCAATTTTGTTGGCCTCGTATAGCAGTCTTCCCTGTATTCCTGCATCTACCTCCTGGAGGTGTTGGACATGGGAGTGGTTTGTGTGACTTATTTTTTTCTCTGTGGCATAGCTGGGCATTTCCAAGTGGAAAGTGGTTCTCTATATGTTATTGGTCAATATTTACTTCCCATGCCTAATTTTCCCATGAAATTTGGTCCTTGATTTGCTTGGTTTTGACTTTACTTTTTGGCATTTTTCCTTTATTCTCTAGGATGTTTCTTAGCATTTTCCAAATCCTCCAAAGCTTAAGATTTTTCTGAAGTTTAGAGTCATGGCTACAATTGGGTTGAACCTGACTCCTAGGTCCTTCCCCAAGCTAACCTAGGTGATTCTTTGTGAGCTTTGGTTTTGCAGTGTTCAGGTTCTAATCTGTCTTGACATTTGGCTCCTTTAGTTACTAAGCACCATCAATCCCTGACAATCCAAGTGGTTGGACACCATTCCTTTCCTCTGTCCTATCCCAAATACTTATCCTCATCCCAATCAAGTGCTATATGGTTGTAAAGGCCTAGCATTTTAAACTGATTATTACTTTACCTTACCTGTATTGGCCAGCTAAGAACTAGGCATTAATTGGGCTGGGAAAGTTCAGCCTGTCAGTCATTAGCTTTCTCTGCTCTGTCCTTCATCGTGACTTATTTGGTTCTGGTTCATGTTGGATATCAGAGCTGCCACCATATCTCTTCCAGAGTTCATATTAGGTTGGCTGATTTCCTGCATTAATCAAGTTAATCACTGATGCTGCCTGTCATGGTTGGGGGTTTGTCTTCAGTTTCCCTCTTGTGGGGCAGGGTCAGTGGTCAATGGCTCTTGTCACTTCAGCTCTCTCCTGGCCCATACACAGGTTATACAACAGTCATCAAAATTAGTGGTGGGTGAAGGTTGGTTGGATTACACCAATGACAGTCAAAATTACATTTCATGTCTTTATTGGGCATTTTGTGATGCAACTTTCATTGCAATGCATTTGGGTAGCCATGATGATGCAAGAATATACTGGGTAATGAAGAAAGTTCATCAAATATGTGAAAACGTCCACCAACTATCACAAAGTTAATCATGCCTCATGCTTTTTTAAATTTTTTAATTTTTTACATTTTAAATGCTCATTAAATAAATTTTTGGTACTGGTACTGTATTTCCAAATTAGTGGAAAGTGAGGGTTAACTCTTATGTATTTAAATTTATTATGCAGCTTACGAATTTGTCGAAATGGATACAGAAATTAATTTTTATGTGGTGCATATGTAAGAATATGTTTATGATTATTCTTAGAAATACAGTAATAGTAAAACAAATTGATATCCACCAGGGAGCCCTAAGAAAGAAAATGCTGAACCCAGTACAACTCCAACTTTAGAAGCTCCATCTCTCCAAGTAACCCATCGTTCAGCTCCACACGCCGCGATACGAAGACTGCTGCTGATGTCATATTTTCCCTCTGGATTTTGGTCCAGACTAATTACTAGGATATTAGCAGATGACGCAGTTGTTGACATTATTAGGAACTACTTTGTCATGCCTCGAGAGGTAAGTTCGTCAAACTACAGGATCTGAGTGTGCGTTTAGAGTTCCGGACAATATCTGATATCATACATGAAGTGGACACACATTTCTACACTTCAGTTTTTTATTTATATATATTTATTTATTTATTTATAATAAATAAATATAACTATATAAGTAATTTTTTCTGGAGGGGCCAAACTGTGGCACCGTGTAGCTAGCACACATCAGCCTATGGAATCTGTACTAGCATTGAAGTAGACATTCCAGAACAGAGTATGCTGGTAACAATTTAGTGGTGCCTGTAATCCATTTCATTTAGAACTACCCCTAAAGTTCATTCTTAAAGATAGTCACTAAATTAGCTGTGAATCATATCCTGAAGTACCTAGTACAGAGCACCACTTGGTTTCCAAACTTGAGTTATCCGGAAGTTCCAGTTTCCCGACTGGGGTTGGGGAGTAATACTACACGAACAAAGTTCGGGAAGGAAGCGGTCCGTCAAGCGTCACTCCGGCCCCAGGGTGGTGGGTGGATGGGAGATGGTCCAGTTTGCCCACTGACAGCATCTGGCACCTCCACTCTAGAGTGCCTTCTACCCTGTGACTTCACAGATTCACGACCTATTGCTCCTGTTATTTTGATTTGTCACGAAGCTGGAGTGTTCATTTCGTGACTACGTTTTACATATCTGTACAAACAAATAACATCTGTGCACCATGTCGGCTCCAAATGCCCGCATTGCGTCAGTGATGGCTGACTGGTGGGTGGATGGATGGGGGAGCTTAGGTGGGAGGCAGTGAGGGAGGGGTAGGTAGGGTGGGAGGGAGAGATGCTAGGAGGTAGGCAGGAAGGGAGGGAAGTAGTGAGGGAGGATGGGAGAATTAGGAACTCTGGCTGGCTGGCTGGCTCTGGCTGGCTGGCTCTGGCTCTGGCTGGCTGGCTGGCTCTGGCTCTGGCTGGCTGGCTCTGGCTCTGGCTGGCTGGCTCTGGCTCTGGCTGGCTGGCTGGCTCTGGCTCTGGCTGGCTGGCTCTGGCTCTGGCTGGCTGGCTGGCTGGCTGGCTGGCTGGCTGGCTGGCTGGCTGGCTGGCTGGCTCTGGCTGGCTGGTTGGCTCTGGGGCTGGCTGGCTCTGGGGGCTGGCTGGCTCTGGGGGCTGGCTGGCTCTGGGGGCTGGCTGGCTCTGGGGCTGGCTGGCTGGCTGGCTGGCCTGGGCTGGCAAGCCAGGATGGGCTGGGCTGGGCTGGTAGGCCAGGCATGCATGCATCTCTGGCTCATAAGGGGCTGGCATGCATGCATTAAGTGGCTCATAAGAATCTGTGAAATCATTCTTGCATTCTATCCATAATTTTTCTTGGCATGTATTTAATGTTGTCTGTGCTGCTTCCTCCATGCAGCACTATTGTTATCAATAGCATTCATGATATTGTACGACCTCCATCACTCATACTGTAATATCCTTATCAGATTAGTCTACAATCTGCTGCATAGTCTTGTGCAAACATGTAATGTGCCTTAAACTTTTACAACACCTCAAGCCATGGTTGTATCAATGAAGGTTTTTTTTTTTGGAAGATATACCACCCTGACATGTTCTGACAATGCCAAGAGTATTGAAAGATGATCAGTGAGAAGTGCCAATTATTGCAGATCAGAGCAGATAATAACTTGCGTGGTAAGTAAAATAACAATTGCAGGAAGTGTGGAATGAACTAAGCTCTAACTTAGGAGCAGGTTGTGTGAGTGGATAGATATAAACAAAGGTGCTAATATTCTTTGGTTTAGAGAAAACGTTATTATAATGTACTGTATAAGTAACTGAATAATTATAAATTTTGTGCAAATATTCATTGTATAAGTACTCCTTAAGTGAAGTATGCATGTATAATGTTCATTTTAGTATACTCATTCACAGCATACTGTACTTATTGAGCATAGGATATGTACAGTTAGCGTGCATAGCATTATGTAGATTCTGTTTTATACTGCAGTTAAAATAAGTCTTGAATTGTTTTATCCATAGGTTTTGAATGACCGTGGCCTATCGTCAGTCCTGGGTGGTCAAGCAGAATGGGTATGCTGGCAGACTGGTATGGAGCTCCACTATGCCCACACCACACTTTTCCGCATGAGAGAGGTTTTGCCTATACATTCCTATGGTCCATGCCCGCCATCCCATGGATCTCTTACTCCGACTCACGGCATCAACCACCCCTCAACTCAACCCAATCACTTTGTGTACGACTACAAGAGCATGCGCTTCCTTGTCCGTCAAGAAGGTGTTTGGTCAGATGTCGAGGTAAAAAATATACCTTGTTAATTTGAGTACCATTACTGTGCTGTCAGCTGTCTTATATCTGACCTAGTCAGGATCAGTAACAAACAGTTGCCTGGTTGTGGTAATATAATTGTATGCACTATAACTTATCAAATTTGGCAAAATGAGTTAAGATACTATGCAAAAATAATGTTGGAATTTTGTTCAAGTACTTGGTACCTTATGTTGCTGGAGTAGCACTGAACATTTTTCATTAATAAACACTAATTTCTTTTATTAATGAAATAGCTTAAATGGGTTGATATAGTGGTGATACTCTTATCTATGCAACTAACAAGATACACAAATTGCCACTGGCTCCAGGCATCTAGTGTACTGTTCCTAACCATACTATAATTTTTCAATTAAATTTATGAAGCATTTTTTATTTTCAAAATTTGATAACAAGTCTTGTATATATATTTAATTTTATTCTATATACAGTATTACAAGTAATTACAACAGCATAAATGGGCAGATCCAGAGTAAATATTAGAAACTGAATTGAATACAGTGGACAAAGATTTTATAGATTGTACAGTTTTTTATTCCAACTCATTATTACAGGTCAATAACTCGGCTGTCCTAGAAATATGCCTTCCTAATGAAGCTGTAGTGATTAAACGCCCTGTCCAAGAAAATGATCTGACGAACTCAGCAGCAGATATCTTGGCTTCTGGCATACAGTCTGTCGTGCTGGACCCAGCACCAGAATGTGTTGCAAAGCTCCTCTCCCTTGCTGTTGACCATATTGATACCTTATTAGAAGACTGGTAAGCTTTGGTCACATGCATTGTATAAGGTGCTCATATTAAACTTTTACAATGCTTTGAATCAAATTGTTTATATACAAAATTAAATATAAATAAACTCACATTTCACTTTGGCAGATAAATTTGTAAACATTCGATATATAGTGTTAGTTTGTTTGAAATTAAATAGGAATTAGTTTATCATATGCTGTGGTTCTAAACTGTAAAGGTTTCATGTTTACACCCTGAATTATGGTAGCTATCTTTGCATCTTTTTTTTTAAAGACTAGTATTATATTGTACATTTTTTAGCAAATCTCCCTCAATTGCTTCCATAGCCAGAGCAATGGGTCTGTCCAGGTCATTGCTTGCAAGTTTGGTTGTGGACAACTGAGCCACACTGGAACAAGTAACTTCCCAAACAGTCTTGTCCCATATTATACGAGCCCAGTTGAGAACATGCCTTAATCTATCACTAAGAGAAACTAATACTCATTTTAGTTCTAAAGAACATCAAACCACTGAACGACCCCCTCAAGACCATTTTAACTCGAGAACAATCGGTTAATGCTTTGAAAAAAACATAACTAACAGACCACTCTGTACACCAACTGGCACCATTAGTCAGCACTGTCATACATTGGTTAAATCCGAGGAAGATCTTACACATTGTGTAAGATCTTACTACGTGTACGAAAATCTTACACGTGCATGATTTTCACCCCGGTTAATCTCGATTAACTATTATGGAGCCTTAAATATTGCCTTCTCGCCAGGCTACCAGTCCAGCTTACATGGAATAATTAATAATGAGGAAAAAATCTTGTTGCCCAAGAATAGTAATAAAGGTAATAAAGGTAATAGATAAAGCTACAGTAATGAATTAACAAAATATATTACATATTGAAAACTATATATATAATCACTACACTCTGGTACTTTACTGAATATCTGCAACGTGGCCGTTAAGATACCCAGTTCCAGTATGCAGGAACAAGTGGGGTAAAGAAACGCAGGCTAGTATCACTGATTACCAAGAAAAATAATAGGCTTTTAGGAATCTATGAAAAAGGGTGGCAGCACTCGAAAGTATTTCACAGTATGTAAATTAATCACCGCACTGCGCACCTGGTTTCAGCAAAAACTTTCTAGTGCAATTGTTAAGATCATATTTTTCTTATTTTTATAAATGTTCAGGTAAAGTTAATGTCAGAATTTTTCAAATTCAGCCATTTTCATTTCAAAACACAAAGAGTGATGAAAACATTAAAATTTAGCCAAATTAAAAAAAATATTACAACTCTCAGAGCGCCTCAAGGCGCAGTGCAGTGGTTAAATATTCACACCTCTGGTAAGAATGACAGCCTTGTGGGGGGAAGGTTATTTCTTCCCTTGTGTGACATGCTGATGAAGAGGTGCATTGCAGTTTTTCATGTTTATATGAAAATTATTTTAATTTCTTATTTTTCACAGCACTATCTTTCTATTAATATAATAGAATAAAATATACCAGTAATTTCTGTAAAATCAAATCAAACCATTCATCTGTATATGCCTATACCTGTTTTCATTTATATAACATTGTGGTTGTTCCAAGATAACACCTCTTTTCGATATTCTTTTCCTACCCTGAACACAACTGTTACATGAATCGTAGGTCTTGTTGGAATGAATTGAAGTTGATAAACTTTGATTCACTGAGTGTCAATTGATAACATGTCTTGCAGTAAAAGGAGTCAAATAATTTGTTATTTAAATTATAATGTTACTTTATAGCAATGGTGATTATTTCTCTTTATTTTAGGTATCCAACTCTTGGCACACGCTTTGTACACACAAGTGAAGGAAAGTTCCTAGTGACACGTCTGGTTCCTTGTCCTGTGTGTCTGGAGTGTCACGGTCAGCATGAAGGACCTGGCAACCATCCTCAAGCCCGACACTTGCCTGACAATTGGGGATCATTTGTAGAGATGAACCCTCTGTACTGCTCTATGACTGCCTCTCAGATCTCTCAGGTGAGAGCTTGCAGTTTTCTGTCAATTTACTTACAGTAAATTTGGAATTTGGTTATTTGGAAGGGTTACTTGTTTATTTTGTACAGTTTTTCTTCGACAAAGCTTCATATTAATGAACATTTTTAATTAACAGCACAGTGTGACCTTACTCAAATGAAATATATAAAGGTAGGAGCTGAGTTAATGCATGGGGAATTTTGTTCAATCTGCCAGGCCCCTGGCAACCCCATAGTATCTTATCTGGGCCGGCCCTCAGTAGCTCCTTGGTGCATTGACTAGTACCACAGGCATCCATGAAACAACCAGGCCTCTGGATTTTCACAGGTCTACCAAACACCAGGATCAGGATCTGGGGTGATTATGAAGGTGAGGGGAGCTTGGGGATCCAAGATAGACTCAAAACTGAGTAAAACTGCCCATAAGATTCATACAAAGCAAAACAAGGGTCACAACCAATACCACTACCAGGTGGCAACTGTAGTCACCCAGGAGTTCAGTCTGCATCATGCCTTCTCATTTGCATACCTAATACCAAACACATCACTGCTACTCTGCAAGGACCACACTGGTTTTTGAGCTAAGTTGGGTTACCATTCCTTAGGGCTTTGTTCCCACAGAGGGGTCATAGCTAGTATTTCTTTTTAATTATGCTTAATGATTGTGTTCGTTTCTTAGTCCTTAGCCTCCTCCTTAGTGAGGCTTTTCCACTCGTGTTGCCGGTGTCTGGGTAGTACTTAGGACTTAGCCCTCATGTCTTACTTGTTGATGGAAGTTAGGTTCACTGGCCACTTATTAAAAAAAAAAAAGTTAGAATCAGTGTGAACATTCATGCTTGGTTATGCATTGTTTGAAGGTGTACATTGTGCATTTATGGGATTCTGCTTGTGTGGCTTGTGACAGTTCTTTTGGTTTAATTCTTTGCCACCTTCATTTATTGGGTTCATTGTGCAGGAGGCTGCTTCATTTACTTGTATCTTGTATTTACAAATATTTATTTACAGACCAGATTGTCAGTTTCCCTTTTTGACTGTTGGTTGCATTGTGATGGCTCCCTCACCCACCTGCCTGCAGGTTTCAGGGATGCTAATTTTTGTTTTCAGACTCTGATGGATATGCCTGATCACTCTTACTGGGATCATATTTTTTTTAAATTTATTGTTGTACTATATTTTTTGTTGCTGGCTTTCTGCATTTGCGGAGCCACTCTCCTGCTCGATGCCTATTAATCTGCTTGTATCTTCTAAGCACAGTAACACCACCTTAAGTTTTCAATTGTGGTTGGTGTTGCAAAAGGTAAGTCACTTTTCTTTCATGAAGAGGGTTTTAAGGCTCTGGTGATGCAGACTTGTGCTAAATTTAGACTTTTCCTTGTTGATTTCTCTCTGGAGCAGTTAGTCTAGCATTTACTAGTATTACCACCATGCTGCTGATGCTGCTTCTTAGAAGTGCTCATAAACAGCTTCTGGTTTGGTGCTGCTCCTGTCCTGTGGTATTAGCACTGGAGGATCCCTTAGCCATAGTGGTGATGGTTTCTGAGCCCAGTTTCTCCTCCATGGTTCATCCCATGTGCTTATAGAACACTTTGGAGGTCACTTCTTCAGAGAAATTTGGAGCCTCAGTAACAGGTGTTGTGTGTGTCCTCCCTCCTATTCCTTAAATACTTTACTGTGAAGATGTGGGTTCTGTCCCCTGGCAGGGTTGCAGGAAGTTGGGCAGTGGGGTGCCCTTTGAGCAAGGTGCTAAAATCTGTGGGGCTGTTCCTCTATCTCAGCTTGCATTCCACTTCCCTTCTAAGGTATGTTTTTGGGTCCATGGTTGGCATCTGAACTTGCTTCTCCCTCCACAAATTTTAGCAGTACAACCTACACCCCCCAACCCTCATCCACACTTGCATCAATCATATGCCTACACCTTGCCACCACAACCACCCACACTCAATTCTCCCTACTTCTGTATGTCCATACTGTATTTTTATAAGAATATTCAGATTGTATTGTGAAATGTGCCTTGCATTGGGGTCAAAGATTGGCTCTTGATCAGCCTTAAAAAAAATATATATATGTACAATAGTTCTACTTGATATTGCTTTATAATTTCTTTGCTTTAACATTTTAAGATTTTGTGGTGTTGAGAAACTATATGATATTCTTATTCAATTTAAAGATAGGACAAGAGGCAGGTCATAAAGAGGGTAGACACTGATAGGTCATGTGTGCTTGAGGAAGTGGCTACTGAGTGTGAACAGCATACAAGTAGTAGTTGGAAATAATGGTACAGTATTTGAGAGAGAGCACTCGAAAGTTATTTGATGTACTGTACTGTATGAGTTCAGTTATCTGAAGCCCTCTGAACCGGATATTTGGAATATCTGGGCAAAATTGCGTCCAGATAATATTCTCACAAAACTTTGTCATATTTGAACAGAACTCCAAATAACTGGAGATTAGGTTATTTAAATTTTCAAGAACTTCATATTTCCAGATCAACTACATATTTTCAGGAACAAGATGAACTACAACAACTTAAGCTGAAGTTTGTTTTAAATTATTTATTTTTTTTATAGTGTGTATAGAAATTCAAATTGTTAGTTATGGTACCCAAAAATTGGGAATATGATAATTTCTTTATTTCCCTGGTAAGAATTTCTGCTTATCCAGATGTCTGGCTTATCTGGCAAGAAGTCCTTCCCATGTAGTCTGGATAAGTGAGTAAATACTTCCAAGTGACAGCTCATAGGATGTATTTTATTCCTTTATACCTAATTGTATGAGGTAGTGAGACACTACTGTGGATATTTTGCTTGAGTGTGATGGTACTCATTCTCTGTGATGCTTCAGTTTGCTGTGTGGAAAATTTGCTGTATGGTATGGGTGTCTTTTTGAGTATCTTTTAACTTTTCCTATACTCTACTATTTATTCTGGACTGATGCCTGCCCACCCCAGGAAAGTATGAAATGGTGTAATGATGATAATTTATTGTTTTTAATGTATTAATCATTTTGTTGTCATTTTTGGTTTTGTTAATTGTTTTATTTTGGGTGGTGGGAGGGAGGGAAGCACGAATTCTTGCCTAGCAATAAATATTTCCTAATGTAATAATTAACTTTTGCTAGTCCCAGTTTCTGTAAGAAGTACAAGTCTGTTGTTTCTATATAATATATATGGATTACTAATTTGTGATTTTAATGCATGTTTTAACTTTGTGAATCAACTAATCTGTACTAACATATACTTCAGGATCTGACTGCTTCACATAATTCTTCTTTGGAGCGTTCCCTCCTCACTAACAGTATACTGGGAAGTTTGGCTCCATCTCATCAGGTAAATTAAAAAGTTAAAATTTCAGATGTGCATCTTTCTCAATGCTAAATGAAAGTTCTTCTTAGATTATTATTATAATGTTAGAGAGGCTAGGATGGAGATATATATATATATATATATATATATATATATATATATATATATATATATATATATATATATATATATATATATATATATATATATATATCGACGACGTCTCGTCGCAAAGGCAGCTGCAAGAACAGTTAGTGATGCAGCGGCCAACATGCTGAAGCCAAAACAGCTCGGGTTTGGCATTCCACAAGGGTGTGAGGCGGCAGCCCATGCAGCTCGAGCCTTCATCGCCAACATCACAGACGAAAAGGCCCTTATCAAGCTAGATTTCAAAAATGCGTTCAATTTGGTGCGGAGGGATGCTGTACTCCGTGCGGTTCATAGTCATTTCCCTTCCCTCTACCCTTTTGTACATTCATGCTACAGTATGGATCTTAAGCTACTTTTTGGCGAACATGAAATTGACTCGCGAGAAGGCGTCCAACAGGGTGACCCCCTCGCTCCTCTCCTTTTCTGCTTAGTCATCAAACAAGTCACAGAGGTCCTGTCCAGCGAGCTTAACATCTGGTTCTTGGATGATGGTACCCTAGCTGGTTCCCAAGACTCCCTCCTGGAGGACATCAGAAAAATCCAGGAGCAAGGTGCAGTTTTAGGCCTCACCCTGAACCCTTCTAAATGTGAAATAATATGTTCCAACCAGGGCATCGTAGAGAGAATAGAGGGTCTTCTGCCAAATATCCATAAAACTAAACCTGAAGACAGCACACTCCTAGGAGCTCCCCTGGGGTTGAAAGCCATCGATGAGGTCCTTGATAAGAAAATCGCCGACCTTAAGAGGATGGATGGGAGGATTGAGGATATTGATGCTCATGATGCACTCTACCTCATCACCAGATGTCTGTCCCTCCCCAGGTTAACCTACTTTCTGAGGTGTTCACCATCTTACAGTAGCCAAAAACTAAGTGAGTATGACCGGTTACTGAAATCAATGCTAGAAAAAGCCCTTAACCTCTCTCTCGATGACCTACAGTGGAAACAAGCCTCTCTTCCCGTAAGACTTGGGGGCCTCGGAGTTCGAACAGCAACGCAAATCGCTGTTCCAGCCTTCCTGTCCTCCTTATCAGCATCCGACGACCTTGTGAAGGAAATTCTACCTGCCCACTTACATCAGCTGGCAGGTGTACATGATCCCAATTTTACACGCTGTGCCACAGAGTGGGCCTCTCGTGCAGGCCAATCACCTCAACCACCATCCCCAAAATCCCACAAGCAATCCAGCTGGGATGGTCCCATTGTAGACCAAGTTGCTGCAGAGTGCCTGGGTGCTGCAACAACACAACACGACATTGCTCGCCTCACAGCAGTAGCAGCACCACATGCAGGGGATTTCCTGTTAGCAACCCCAATGTCGGCAACTGGCACGCGTCTTACACCACACGCCCTCCGAATTGCTGTGGCCCTCCGCCTTGCTGCCCCAATCCACACCAGATATAGGTGTATTTGCGGCGAGGTGGTGGCTGACAGGTACGGTCACCATGGCCTACTCTGCCAAAGCACAGGGGGATGGCACTCGAGGCACAGCGAAGTTAACGACATCATCAAGAGGAGCCTCACCACAGCTGGATGCCCAGCTGAAAGAGAGCCCCGTTACCTAACGCCCCGTAACTCTGATGCTCTTATTGGTCGCCCAGATGGTATCACAGTGAACCCCTGGAAGAATGGCAAGCAGTTGGTATGGGACTACACGTGCGTATCAACCCTGGCTAACACCTACATTAACCTCAGTGTTGCACAACCAGGTGGCGCTGCCACCCACAGGGAAGCAGCCAAATCCCGTAAGTATAGAGAACTGGATCACCACTACAATTTTGTCCCCATTGCTTCTGAGACGCTCGGCGCCTGGGGTAAAAGTGCTACCAGTTTTTTGAAGGAACTGGGTTCTAGGCTCATTGAAACAACAAGGGACCCGAGAGCTGCAAGCTTTCTTTTCCAGCGCCTCAGTGTGGCGATACAGAGGGGAAATGCGCACTGCATCCAGGGTTCCTGCCCGCCATCTGAGGAGCTGGAGGAACTCGACAACCTATGACAACCATCTTTGTAACCTATATGTAACTCCTTTTTTGTAACAAAGTTCAAATAAAGTAAATATATATGTGTACATACAAAAGAATGGGGGTGGTAGGAGAAGATAATATTAGTGTTCAGTGAGAAACCACAAGGTCTCCTCTGAATATTTTTTATTTTCTTCTCCGAGGCTATGGGTCCCCACATTGGCACCAGAGGTGGTACCCTCACAAACTTTTATATAGATAAATATATATAAATATATATATATATTATATCTATATATATATATATATATTATTAAATATGACCGAAAAAGTAAGATTAATAATTCTAACACGAATTTTCTCAATCTTTCGTACATTACGCTTCACTGTTGGAGGTAAATCAAAAATCAATTCTCCAAAATTCATTTTTATTTCTAGTCTGACGCGACACGGGCGCGTTTCGTAAAACTTATTACATTTTCAAAGACTTTAGTTCACAAATACACAACTGAATAGAACTTACGTATCTCCGATTTTATATCTACATTTGAGTGAGGTGGAAGGGGTGATGTGGCATTAACACAAGACAGAACAAAATGTGGTATTAATAGGGTATTAATTTCATCAACACAAGACAGAACAAGAGTATTAATAGGGTATTAATTTCATCAACACAAGACAGAACACGAAACAATGGATATTGAATAGAAGTGTTTGTAGAAAGCCTATTGGTCCATATTTCTTGATGCTTCTATATTGGAGCGGAGTCTTGAGGTGGGTAGAATATAGTTGTGCAATAATTGGCTGTTGATTGCTGGTGTTGACTTCTTGATGTGTAGTGCAATTTAATCCGTTCCTGGAGACGGTTCGTAACCCGAAAATTCGTAAACCGAAGCAAATTTTCCCATAAGAAATAATGGGAAATGAATTAATCAGTTCCTGACTCCCCAAAAATTTAACTAAAAAAAGTAAGTTTTATACCTAATTCACCCAAATCTTCACTGCAAAAGTATGTACAAGTTATTACAGTACTTACCTTTACTGATGACTCTTGTTGGCATATGGAAAATGATGAGGAAGGGGGAGGAGGAGAGGTGTTACTGTTTGGAAGGGGAGTCCCCTTCCATTATAACATCAGGCACTGAGGACTTCTCTGGGGTGCACACTCTGGCATGTTTTGCCTGCATACCACTAGGACCTGCTTCTGGCTCACTGCATGATTTTCTCATTGTTTTTCTTGAAGATTGTTTTTCCCTTCTTTGTAACACTTGTCTGTAGTGAGACATCACATTGTCATTAATAAATCAATGAAACGGCCTGCTAAAGCTTTATCTGGGTGATTCTTTTCAGCAAAACTTTGCAGTTCTTCCCATACTGCACACATTTTCTTAATGAGGAAGGGACATCCTCTGCTGCCTCCTCCTCCTCCCCTGAAGATTTGTTATACTGCCTAGCTAGTTCAGCAACACTGCCAGAACGAGGTTGAAGTTCTCAATTCTTCTTATCAACCTCTTGTGTAGGACTCTGTCAAAAGCCTTTTTTAGGTCCAGATAGACTCAATCAACCCAACTATATCTCTCCTGTAGAATCTCTGTGGCTGTGTCATAAAAATTAAGTAGATTTGTTACACAGGATCTTCCTGTTCGAAAACCATACTGTCTGTCCTTTATTATGTCATTACTCTCCAGGTGTTCTACTCATTTGGTTTTAACAATTTTTTTCTAATGTTTTGACTACCATGCTTGTTTGTGATATATGAGTCTATAATTTAGAGGTTCTTCTCGGCTGCCACTTTTATAGATTGGAGCTATGTTTGATTTTTCCCATATATCTGCTAATACTCTGTTAAGAGAAGAACTAAAAGAATATTTTATAAATGGATAGCATTTGTAACAGCATCTGCTAAGATGCTGTTAAGAGAAAAATTGAAAGAATATTTTGTAAATGGATGAGTAGATGTTGCGCATACACACATAATAGGAAAGGTTTAACGGGAGAATGGTGAAAATTCATTGTGAATTTTATAATAAAAATAAGGAATGTGTGTGTCAGCATTAAGAATGAACTGATATGTAACATATTACTCCCAGCCCTAACAGAGGGATGTAAAACTAAGGTCTGGAAAGTTGTATAGTGCTCAGTAGGAAAAGCAATGGATGCGAGTTCATTGAGAAAAGCAGCTTGTTTATTATAAATATGTGGAATGGATGTCGCAACTAGGAAGAATATGGGTGAAAGGGGGTGAGGGACTAAAATGTGAAGGGGTAGAGTGGAGGTATGTGGTCAGAATTATGGTGTGCTGATCCACCTACACTTGTTTTTGTAGTTTACAATAGCTTTCCTTTGGTACTCCTGAATGCTAAGACAACTTTGTAACATTCAAATCACTGACCTGATTTGTTTCTGGGCAAATTAATATGCTTTGGACTTGTTATATTGATATGGTTGCATAAGAGGATTTGTGTATATTTGCTGATACTACAGTATCTTGCCTAGTACAGTACCTAGCTTGTTCTAATTCAATACAGTACTGTGTACTGAGCTGGTGTGGAACAGGGGTTTTGACTGCCTTCCCTGACCCCCATTTGCTACTGGAGTATACCTGGAGTGGGTTCTGAGAGTTCTACTCCTCGAGCCCAGCCTAAGCTACTGCTGTTTGCCTCCCAAATTCCTTCATTGGGGGTGCAAGTTCAGTGTCTCCCTTGTGTGTGCGCTCTGTAACTGGGGTTCATCTGTCATTCCTGCTTGGAGAGCTCTTCTTGCCAGTGGGTGCTAGTGCTGTGGAGTCTGGCTAGGTATCTGGCTAGATTAGTATCTGGCTAGATTATCTGGCCTAATTATTATTATTAGATTAAATATCTGGCTAGATTAGTAGAGGGATGGTACACTTCTGTATTAGTATGTATGGTACCTTTTTCCTTGTGACTTTATTTGATATACTATGCTTCCCTTTTCTGGTGTCTTGGGATTTGTGTTCCTTCTTTGCGTGTTGTGTACCATGTTTCGCACAGGTTTGGTTCTCTCTCTCCATTACATGCCGTGTCCTTATCTTCCCTTGCTAGTTGCTAGCTTGGCTTACTGAGTGTGCAAGTACAATTGGTGTTTATGACTCAGAGCTCTTGTATTAATAAACGTGTGCATACTACATGTATGCATTATGTATTTTATTACTGTTTATTTAAAATAAACAAAGGATTTGCACTACCAATGTTAAATGTCTTGCAGAATATTCCTGCAACTATTCAGTTTGGTGGAGTATCATCACCTCAACCAGGAGGAAGGTCCTCTTCATCCTCAACAGCTGCAGGGGGAGGTGGAGGAATTTCTCCTGCTGGAGCTGCAGGTGGAGGAAGTATGTCACCACAGCTTCCAAGACGTAGCTGGGGGTCACGCGAGTCATACACCTCAGATGGTGACAGTGGTGTTGGGGCTGAATCAACCACTTCAAGGTTGGTAAAGATTCTAAAGGTTTTAGAAGTCTTCAGGTTTATTGGGAGACTGTAGGAAATGTTTTTTGTTCTCTCTACTGCTGTTTACCACTGCTAAAATGTTGCAGGAGCATAGAACATGCCTAATATTATTATTGTTTTTCCAAGACCCCTCATATACTCCCATAGCCAGCTCCTTTACAGTCCACCCAGAACTTCCATTATCTGCCAGACTCTTTGAGTCCTTGTATTCCCTTTGAGGCATAATTATTTAAAAGTGGTCCTATCACATCTAGAGAATGTAGACAGTGGTGAGTATTTCAAACCATCCCAAAGTACTTGTTTGTTAAAATAGAAAAGAATGATTCATGACTCACACTCCCTCTGCAAGCTAAAATAAGGTCACAGACTGGCCTCTCAAACTTCCCCTGCAAGCTAAAATAAGGTCACAGACTGGCAGTTATTACTCTGCACACTACTGCTCAGAAGATCAGAGGCTACATGGCCCATCACCAAGTGATGACATCATCACCACCACCATAAGTGTCAAAATATCTGGCAACCATCATGTGATGCACGTCACCCAAGAGGACTTTGGGAACACCAGAGGCAAGAATGAGAGCATCTGAGGTCATGCTCAGAAAGGATCATTTCATTATACTTAGTTCTTTTATTTCCGAGCTAAGGCCCTTCTGATGCTTCCAAACCCAATTTTGCACTTCATGCCAAGCAACATAAGAGGGAAAGGGTAAGGTGGTTATTCAAGCCAAATAGCCAGAAAGCAGGGGCTGTGAGGTTGGAAGACGATTTGAGGCAGATGTCATGAGATATCCACTAGTATTTGCTGCGATTCACTCTGCATTAACACACACATCCAGTTCTTGTAGGGTTGAGTTAGACCTTGTTAACAGCATAGGGGATTTGCCTGCCTTCATTTGAGTCTAAACATTGTACATATGCCTTGTTTGTTTCTCAGTGAGGAGCTCAGGGATTGATGCATGCCTTGTGATACGCTTCTTTCACAGGTTAAATAATTTCCCATTTATTTATTTTTGTTTTGGGGTGGTTGGTGTGATGTTCTGTTCACACTGCCATTGGCTAATTTTGGGTTTGTCATCAGATGGGTTGAATGTGTGTTGGTTATTACCCTAGGCATTTTTGGTTTCCATTTTGAGGATTAAGACTCAAATGTAAGCAAGCTGCTTTACTTGCCTGTTTTGTTTTTTTCTGGATTGTAGTATCTTATTGTTGCACACAAACAGCTCCATTCAAAGCTGTAGAAATTGCTGACCTGGAGAGCGTACAAAGATTGTTTACTGCTAGAATCCTTTCGATAAAGCATCTAAATTATACAATACAATACAATACAATACAATTTTATTTAGGTAAGGTACATACATACAATAAATATTTACAAGGATTGTTTATTGAAGCTGTCTAAAAGTTTTAAATTTGTATTCCCTAGAGCATAGGCAGGAGAGAGAGAGAGACATACTAATTTACATTTGGAAAATATTAGGAGTGATTCCAAATCTGCACACACAGAAATATCACCATGAGACCAGAAGGCATGAGAGGATGTGCAAAAAAAGGTACAATAAGCATGCTGAGAGAGAACTTGACCAACATCAAAGGCCCAAGCTTTTTCAATACTTTTCCTACACATACAGGGCATAAATGGCCGACCTCTCAGTGTTCAAAAGTGAACTCGACAAGCACATTCAAAGGATACCTGATCAACCAGACTGTGACTCATAGGTCAGACTGTGAGCAGCTGCATCGAAGTCTGGCTGTTCAGATCGGCAACCAGGAGGCTGGTCAGACACTGGGCCATGGGGACATTGATCCCCAAAATGATCAACAGATAATTGCCCTTCCTATCTGTTGAGTTTGGAAGTGAGGTACAGGAATGTGCTAGTGCCCAGTTTCTCTGGGCAGTAGTCTGGGGTTTATCAACTTTGTGTCTTCACTCACTGGCTCACCTAGTGCTTAGGCTTTCTGGGGGATTTTTTATTTTGGGTTCATTTTTGCAGATTGTTTTGCTTTATATTAAAGCAGATGATGGTCATTAATACCATCGGCTTTATTAAGTGCACCCTTTTTATAATTTGGAAATATTAATAGAGGCTGTGTACGGCATACTAGTGCAGTGTTGATTACAATTTCTTTATAATTTCATGCAATGCTGTGGACTTTTTTTTTATTTCTTGTTATATCCTTGATTTTTGTGTTGTATAATTTTGTTTAGTTTTAATTTTTCATTGTTTTCCTGTTAATGATTTATGTTTTTTCCAAGCTTACAAGGACCAATATTTACAAGGTCAGCATAAAATGTTAAAGTACATATATGCAAACATTTTGAAGCTAGCAATACAGTATATAGATTAAATCAAAATAAAATAAATGGGGAAAGCAACTAAATTCCTTTAGAAAACATAACAGGTGTTTCCTACGATCCATATGTAATTTTAATGTGATTTTTACTACACAGTTGCTTTAAGATTACGAATTTGCAGATATTAATTGTGCATGTTATGTGATACTTCTAGTAATTGGACTCATCATTTCCTGAATAAAAGGGAATACTGTGTAGCTAATGCTTCAAAAATAAAATTGATAATATAGTTGAAATTTTCTTCTCTGAGATAGTCACTCATTCAGTCCCTTATATCCCACTCCCCACAAGACATTGCAAACTGTATCCTGGGCCTTTGCAATTGCTGTATATCTCCTGATGCAGTCTGAATATATACATTTATTTCCCTACAAACTTCCACACATTCTTCCATTAACATAATGACACCATTTTACAAATACATATTCACACACGCAACAAATGGAATGAGTGAGTTAAGAAGCAAAGTGCTGGAAGCAAGCTTCATTCACAGCTGTAACTGTAGACATGATAGCCGAATAGACTTGTGGCACCTATACTCCAATTGATTAAGGGTTGAGAGGCTGGGCTATAGAACCTTAGCTCATCCCTTGCAAGTACAATTAAATAAAATACAACAAGGTGAGTACTCACAAATGACATTTCATTAATACATTGTTTTTATGTTTATGCTTACTGTATATTTACAAAGCATTGTTTATTAGACTATACATTCATGACAATAAGGCTTCTTGAAGAGGTCTATAATTCATAAAGATATGATTTTACATATGGCACTGTACACCTGAAATGTAAATATGGTATCCAAATGATGTCGGCGAGTCTCCGATATGGTTGTCAAAAACATCTTATAAGGATCTATGCAACTGTACTCGGCACGATAAACAATAATAATACTACATGACAAACCTCGCACTGTGTGTAAATATGCTGTCTCGCATGAAAGCCTAGATCTGAAGCAAGATCCTAAGGCACTGCAATAATAGTGGTCTCATTCAAGAGGAAATCTCGTCCTGTAACTACATTTAGGTAATTACACACACATGAAGTGAACACTAAAGGCAGGTTTCTCCTATGCATACATAGTGTCAAGGAATAACCAGGCAGAGAAACCTAACTGAATCTATTTCTGCCGAGCTAGCAGCATGTCGAGTAGATGGATACCAGGCACCAGTTGAGTGCTGCTGGCTTCCCAGAGCCTGTTTACATGTAGCATGCTGCCATTTAGTGGTAGTTGAGGATAGTAGCTAGTGGTGCATTCATTAGCAACTAGTGATAATTGGATTCTCCTGTAACTCCAAGGTTTTGCTTGTAGGGTGTACTAAGAATTTGTGATAGTATTCCATTTGCTTTGTGATGGATTGAGAACTCTCCATATTTCCCTTAACTATGTGGTATGACTATTGGCAAAAGATCTCACTATGAAGAAACAGGTTGACAGAGCCTGGTGTGTGTAATGGGCATGGTGGGTTATACAGGTTTTTGGCTCGGGAAGTAACCGAGTGGCCTAAGTATTATTATTATTACAAAATATATTGACATGAACCAGTTTATATCTATAAACATATCTTCTTTATCATTTAGATTTATGCTTACATCATCCTAATGAGGTTTCTTGTACTATTTTAGAGTAGATTGAATTTTAATAATTGTCATGGATTTAAAAGAAAATGAACTTTTATTCTTTACAGTCGCAAAGCATCTGCCGAGGGAAGACCTGATCTTGACAACAGTGGCAAAAATGAAGGAGAGAGCTCAGGAGGTCAAGAGGTGACACCAGTTGTGTATTCCTTTATGGTGGAGGAATGCATTTTGGCTGCCTACACAGCCAGATCTGTGCCCTGCCCACTACATGCTGACTTACTTCTGGCTCAAATTGCTCCTGACACAGTAAGTGGTATTCTCCTTGCTTGTTCCTTTCCTATTTTACATTACCTTTTATTAATTATTCATTTTTTTGCCTTAGTTTTGGTCAGGATAAAATTTGTAATATGCTTCAATATTCCACAATCATTTAGGTGCTGAATATATATTTGTGATATTTGTTATTTTTCACATAAGTTTATTTGACTTCAACTAATATTTAACAAATTTGTTACTGTACTGTATATAAATGTGAACAACAAATAAGTGTGATATTATACACTACAGAGAAAAATTGTTAGTTCAGTTTACCACTTTAATTGAAAATATTCATGGTTAATCAGAAAACCACCTGAACACATCCATTTGGTTCACAAGGAATGCGTTTGGGCCCAGCAGAAATGTTCAGAAAGCTGTCATGTTAATGCCACTCATTAGTTACATATAAGGCTTCATCTTGCGATATTAGTAAATGGAACCTGGTCTACCAGAAATCTAGATGTATTGGACAAATTAACTTCTTGTTGTAAGGTGTTTGTGATTATTTGCAACAGAAAAATAATGAATAACCTCTAGTGGAGCAAATCTGTGTACAGTATTGATTGGACTGCAATGAAGTTGTGTGGTGATGGTAGCACACTGACGGTGTTACTGTCATTTGTCCAGTAAGTGTTAGGGCATAAGCCAAGGAAACCTACTTTGCTGCATCCAGAATGAGATATTTCATTACTGTATACTAAATACTATTTTTTTTTACATATATCTGTACTGGTTTGTGAAGGTATCTGTAGTGTTAATTGTATTCTGTTCCTTCATGCAATAAAAGGGTAAATTAATAGGGGAAACATTGAGAGCATAAAAAACTATTACATTAAAAATTTGGATGGGTGTAAGAGTTAATACAGTGCAAGGCTGCTACTTCTGCATTCCGATATCGAGAGGATGATAAGTTTCATAAGAGAGGCAGAGATATATCATAGCTTCTCATACTGTACATGCATATTATACATTTTTAGTATCTTACAAGACTATTCTTCAAAAACACAATAATATGGATTTGATTACACTAATTGAAATTGAATGTTGCAGTGCTTTTAAGTTACTGAAATGTGTTAAAACAGATATACAGTATACTTTACTGTACATGCACTATTGTTTTTCATATTTGTGGTATACAGTACTTTGCTCACAAACTAAATTTGTTGCAGGTATTTCTGGACTTGGGCGATAGATACCTGGTTCGCCCAGACGTGATCAAGCAAGGAAAGTTGCTGGGACGTGGTGGGTTTGGTTTTGTCTTCCAGGGCACGTGCCGAAACAGAGTCAATGGGGCACCTATGGATGTTGCACTAAAAATGTTACAACCTGTTGATCCTGGTAACAATGCCCGCCAGAGTGCCATTGTTGCATACAAGGTAAAAATGGAATCGGTTCAGAATAAAATACAGATGTTACAAAAGCACACAGTTTATGAAGCATATTTAGAGTGAACACATTGTTTAGAACTTATTTAATAAATAAAATTGAAAATTTAGTCTCCACACCTGTTATAAGACCACATTACCATTTTTAAAAACATAAAGCATTAACTTACATTAACCATAAATTTTATATTACTGTATAGAAAGTCCTTGATTTTGTTAAGTACTGTATTTGATCTTGTAAATATGAAATTTATGAATTTGAGAGTTGCTATATAGGAAAAGTCCTAAAGCTCATTAAAAGTTCAATTTTTCTACTTATATCTATATAAAGCATTTATTTAGACAATATAATAAAGGACTTGATCCTCTTCTCACCCACAAATACCCTGCATGAAGTATGAGGTTCACACAACTGGCATAATGACATTAAATATTACCAATCTTTTTTTTCATGGAGGTGTCTTGGTGTGTAGTAGAATTTGCACATTAATTGGAAGAGGTCATGATGCAAGAATTAAATTCCCCAAAGGGCCTAAAAAGTTTAATCTGTGAATTCAAAAATACAGGATCTGTGAAAAGTGAGATTTTACTGTACTTTTATGCATTTTAATGTTCAAAATTCCACGTGGCTTTTGCAGAGGGTGGGTTATTGAATTAAAAGGGAAATGTTTTTGTATTGGCAGTAGTTTATACACTAATGAACTTTTTTTTTTTTCATATAAGCAATGGAAATGTGTGTTATATTGATATTCTAATGTTGTTGGAGAAAGAAAGAACCCTCATTGGCTAATAGTAAATGATTCAAGGTGTGGGAAATGCTACTTATTACATTACAGTAAAGACTAGGATGTACAGTATGTTTTTTATTAACTAAAACATTAAGAGTCATTTCTTGATGACAGTTTCTTTGGTTAACATTCAAATGTCCTCATAAGATAGAGCTGCTACTCTAACATAATATAGTTACAGTCTTGGCAAATTCAATTGTTAACAACAATCTTTACCTTCAGGCCGCTCAAAGTAAGTGGGAACGGGATCCTCTGCAGTACGCATGTAAAGCTTATTGTTCGGCAAGGCAAGAGGTGAATATCTTGCTATCTCTGCGGCACCCACACATTGTACCACTTGTTGGCGTCTGTCCACGTCCACTTGCTTTAGTTCTAGAATTAGCACCTCAAGGAGCCTTGGATCAGTGCCTGAAGCATTACCAACGCTCTGGAGCTAGACTCTCCCTCCACACGCTTCAGGCTGTAATTCTGCAGGTATGTTGTCCTTGCCTCCTCCATTTTTGTATTTAATGTGGTCAAAAAAGATCAATGTGGCATAATCCGTTGGCCATTAATATAGTTTATATAAAAATTAAGTAAATTTTGAAAATGCACAGTATAGATTTTTCTATAGTTTATGCAGTCCCTGTGGCATAGTGGTAAAGCACTCGCACAGCACTTCGCGAGCGCTTTGGCCTGGGTTCGTATCCTAGCCGGGAAGGATTGACCGGGTGCCAATCCATAACTGCTGCCTCTGTTCTCCCAGCATTGAATGGGTAGCTGGTTGTCAAACGATTTCGCAGGTCGTATTCCGGGGGGAAAATTAGGATTAAGAACCTCCCCAAAATGCTATGCATGCTAGTGACTTTACAAGAATTAATATACTGTATATAAATAAAATAAAAAAATAAAAAAAGTAATAAGTTTTTATTTCTAAATAAAAATGAATTTTTGCACGCAGGTTGCCAAGGCTCTTGAGTATCTCCATGGCCAACACATTATTTATCGAGACCTGAAAAGTGAGAATGTGCTTGTGTGGGAGTTACCACCTCCATTTCACCATCAACCTCATCCTAAAATAGATGTCCGGCTAGCAGACTATGGTAAATTATTATGACTCTAAAGTTACTGGAAATTAATTCATTTCTAGGTAAAATTAATGAATATTTTCTATGTACGTTCATAAAAACTACAGTTAGCAATGGGTGAAGCCAATCCTTTGAAACAAAACAAAACGATTATTATGCTATTCACCTTCTTTGGTATGAAATTTTGTATTAGGGTATGGTCACTGGTTACCAGATGGTCACTGGTTTCCAGATGGTCACTTCTATCTCTTGGGAGTGTACATTTAACTAGGTCCAGGTACAACCCTATGTGCAAATCTAAACATATTAAACAAAATTAACATTGAGTTGAAAATATAGTAACAAAAAATTAAAATTAGTTACTTCCTTAGAATAAAGATTTTAATATTAATTATATTCCGATAGTCATATCAGGTCCTCAAATGTTTAAATGGGTTTCCCTTATTTTTAAGTTTTAATATATCCAAGAATCAGGGGGGAAAATATAAATAAATTTGAGTGACCAGCAAAATAACAAGAATTTTCTCAAACTTAATATTTTACATAAATATTTTGGGCACAATGATGCCATTTGCTCCAGAATTCTTTTAATTAATGACTTCATGTGTACAATAATAAGGTTTATCATCTTGTTAAGTAATCATTGTCAGAGAGATGTAAAATTTTGGAGGCTGTTCGCTATAGGATGGTCAGGAATTTTGCCATTCCAGGGGCCATTAGTATTTTACCAGACATCTCAAACATTTTCATGGCCTAACAAGAGTGGTTACCAGAATCCTGCTTCCTCACAGGGGTGGAGAAGCTAAAAGTGTCAGATACCACACTGAGGGAAACCCTGCCAGGGGAAGGGGGGGGGGAAGCCTCGAGTGCCAGAGAAGCCAAAAGTGGGCTGCAAAAAACACCCAAATGGGGTGTTGCCCTTCCTGCTACCAGAGAGCAACATCTGTCAACTGGAATTTGATGCCACACAGACCTTGACTCTCTAGCCAGGGACCCTTACCTCTGGCTGGCATCTTCTGGCATCTTCTTCTAAGCAGTCTCCGTGGTGTAGTGGTAAGACACTCGCCTGGCGTTCCGCGAGCGCTATGTCATGGGTTCGTATCCTGGCCGGGGAGGATTTACTGGGCGCAATTCCTTAACTGTAGCCTCTGTTTAACGCAACAGTAAAATGTGTACTTGGATGAAAAAACGATTCTTCGCGGCAGGGGATCGTATTCCAGGGACCATAGGATTAAGGACCTGCCCGAAACGCTATGCGTACTAGTGGCTGTACAAGAATGTAACAACTCTTGTATATATATAAAAAAAAAAAAAAAAAAAAAAAAAAAAAAAAAATACCATGCGTATTTTCCAAGTGACAGTGTTTTCGTTTTTTTATAGTTCAAAGATAAGTTTTCTGCTTTATTATGCTCTTTGGGTATGTTTGCCAGTTCGATTCCAGGTCTCGTGATTATTAGATCACTTGAGTATGATTTCCGGGTGGTCTTCCCTGGCATGAATGAACCATTATCTTCTTCAATGAAGAGAGTTCCTTCCTAGGATGGACTCTTCGAGTTTTTCAGTATCTTCAGTGGTGTACTGGGGCATGGTCACCTGTACTATATTAGAATTGTGCTGCAGGGTTCCTCGTGCAAGGTGTCATGGGAAAGAAGCTCTGAGGAGCCACTAATGGGGTTAATCAAAAAGTTGAGTTTTGAGTATAATGAAATGGCCTTTTCTGGGGCAAATCAGTGGCTTTTCTTTTCCTATCCTGCTGTGCATTTTAGGCATTTGCTCAGACTAAAGCGTAGTCTGACCAGACCCCCTAGCTGACTAACATTGTCATCTGGTGGCAGGAGAGGGGAAAGAACAAGGTGTTTTTTTTGTTTGGAATAGTTGTAAGTTTTGTTTGGTATTCTTTCATTCCAAACATTTCTTGGAGTTTTTAGTTTTTGTGACACTCTTTCAGCCTTTTTAGTAGGTTTCTCCTCAGTGGGTTGTGCCTTTCTGACAATCTCAACTTTCCTGCCTCTGTGGGGAGAGAAGATCATCTTATCCTTCTTGAGGTCAAAAAGGATAAGAGGATTGGATTCTGGGTAGCAGCCACATTAAACATCGAGATGTAAGTCTTATCCTAACCAGATAATGTACTCAGACCTTGACAAAGCACTCAGGAGAGTGTGAAAGACTTTGTGTAAATCTTTACATAAAATTCACAAGTACATGTGTGGGTTTTTATCCTATGTTATTATGTGAGAAGACGTTAACTTTACACTATATAATAGTACTGTATTTCCTTGCCAAAATATCCAAACTATTGTTAATTCAAATTCACTTGTAGATCTTCAAGTCAGATTTAAGGTTGCAGAAATTGTGTAACTAGCCCAAGTTAACTGATGGAATATAAGAAATTGTTGAAGGCAGCAGCTTAGGTGCTAGATGAAAATTTTATAAAAAATTATTTGTTTGAATTTAATTACCAGAAGTAACATGTAATCTTAAATATTTTGGTGTCCTTTCTTAGGTATCAGTCGATCAAGTTTGCCAACCGGCACGAAAGGTTTCGGTGGGACAGAAGGCTTCATGGCCCCCGAGATGATGCGACATAATGGAGAAGAAGAGTATACCGAGAAGGTATGTCTTCCAAACTCTAATATAAATATTTTAAGTTTACATCTTTTAGAAATGGGGGTAAATATGGCATAGGAAAAATAATAAGATACAGTTCTCAGTGTTTAACTAAAGCATGCATCTTCAGTTTGCACAATGATGCAAAAACAATTCTATGCATCTTTTAATATTCAATGAGCTTTGAATGATAGGAAGTAATTGAGAAATATTATAATTGTTTTAAATTTTTCTTCACCTAATATAACATATTGATAAGCCTCATAAGATCAGTACAGATATAATCATTAATTATGCTGCTTTTTCACTTGGAGTATTTTTTGTGCAGGTATCCAGAAATTAGTAGTCATTTCTTAATTGTCAGATAAATAACTATCAACTCAGAACAGATAGGTTAATAATTTCTATCTTACATGATATTCTTCTTTACCCGTACCCTACTCTTTCAAATATTAAATGTGAAGGCAGTGATTTATGATCAATCTTGAGATTGTATAGGGCCAAGATGATTTTTATTTGGATGTATGTAATGCAATTTAATGCATTTTTACCTTTATGTAGAGTGTGTGTTTTATTAACAACTTGCTTGTAATAAAGGAAATGGCATATAGTATTAAGATTAGATCAAATTCAGCCTACATATCATGTTTGATTGAACTGAGATCAAAAATTATCTTTTTTGTGAAATCATTAGGTTCTGGAATCTATTTTCAGGATCAGTTGATTACAAATTAAATGTATGCCAGGTTTTGTGACATATGTGATGATGGCACAACAAATTTATACCAAAACACAGGTGCAAAACTAGAAAACAAGATTGGCCTTATAGATTTTACAGGAAAGAGACGGTTGGGTTGACTGCAATTATGTGGTCCTAAAAATGCCTTTCGACAGAGTCCTGCATAAGAGGTTGCTCTGGAAACTGAAACATACTGGAGGAGTAACAGGAAGGCTCCTAACATTAATGAAAAATTTTCTGATAGAAAAATGAGGGCAGTAACCACTGGAGTACCACAGGTTTCAGTTTTAGCATCAGTAATGTTCATTAGCTACATAAACTATCTACCAGTGGGAATTGAGAATGATCTGAACATGTTTGCTGATGATGCTGAGATAATAGGGAGGATAAGCCCCTCTGTGTTCAAGCGAGAACTTGACAAACACCTCCAAATAATGCCTGATCAGCCAGGCTGTGATTCGTACATCAGGCTGCAAGAAGCCTTGTCTAATGGCCTGGTTCGGCAAACAACCAACTGGGAGACCTGGTCAGAGACTGGGCTGCAGGGGTCTTTGATCCCCAGAAACTTCACAAGGTGGCCACAAAGTATGTATTGTTCAGAAATGAAATGGTGGAAAAAATTGGAGATATTGTATTTAAAAATGTCCGGCAGTGCTCTCCACCTTATGGTAAATTTAATAATTTAGTTAGAAATCAAGTATAACATTTCTCATGACAATGTATAACTTAATGTATTTATAATTTTTGCTACAGGTTGATTGCTTTTCATTTGGCATGTTCATGTATGAGCTACTCACAACACATCAGCCATACGAGCACTGCGACAATGTAAAGGAACACGTCCTGGAAGGTGGCAGACCAGCTTTGACACACCGGGTATTTTACAAACTTGCTGTATTTATTCAATGATTCATCATCTTATATTATGATGCACTCTCTTAAATTTAGACCCTCATTTTAATTTAGTTTAGTACCGTACTTTAAAAGGAAATATTCTATCTTATTGCATCTTGTACATAAACTTATTTTAGGTATCATTTAATTTTGTTTAGTAGATTACCTTTGCTGTTAGGAAGAAAAGTGTTGAGAGTTGGGTTCCAGAGGGCAAATTTCAATGTTTAAATACATGCTAGATCTGATGTAGGTATTAATGAATAACTTGTAATGATTTGAAACTTTCAATTGCATGCTGACCTGTGACTGGTTTACTATGGCTGGTTTCAAGAGTAATTTTTCTCCCCATATACTGGTCCAAGATGAGCTCTTTTATTGATTGCTTGATCAGTAAGGTTGTTGCATTAGTGGCCAACAAACCAACATAGCCATCACAACCTGGCTGATCAGGCACTTCTTGCATGAGCTTCTCTAGTTCCATTTTAATATATCTCAATCTCTTTGCTGGTAATATTTATATATTTTCTGGTAGAAGGTTGAATAGTCATGGAGATCTAATGCTCTCACAAGGTTCTCTGCTTGTGCTTATGGCACCCCATCTCTTTAATAGGAAATTAGTATGTGATCATACATTCACCGTATTGCATTTAGTATACTAATGAGTCTTGATTAAGCTTCAATATGTCAGTGGCTTCATTTTTAGAAGTGCTTACATATATCCTGGGGATTTACTTGCTACCACTAACATTGTAAAGATTAGAGAGAAAATCCATAGCTGTGAATGGAGATTTGAACCTATGGTGTGCGTATTCCCAGACACATGCTCTAGGCCATGACATGGTCAAAAGAACCCTGGGGTCCTGCTGAACCCACAAGGAATCCCGAGGCTTCCACTGAAACGAACCAGGGTTTACACAATTCCCCCCATGCACTCTGGCTTCTGCCATCCAGGAATTCTACCTCTGACACTGATTTCTCTGTGTATCGAAAGAGGGTAACATGATATATTAATCATCTTCACCATGGCTCCTGTGGATTTATTAACTGATATATCAAGTTACTGTGATTTCTCTGTATTAAAAGAGGGGCATCATAGGTAGAATTCCTGGACGGCAGAAGCCCAAGTGTATGGGAAAATTGTGTAAAGTCTGGTTCATTTCAGTGGAAGCCTCAGGATTCCTCATGGGTTCAGCAGAACCCCAGGTTGCAATTCTTTTATCTATGTTGTGGCCTTGTCGTTTAGAGCATGTCTGGGAATACCCAGCGCATAGGTTCGCCTCGTCATGGCTCTTGTGGATTTTCTCACTGATATATCATGTTACTGTGATTCCTTTGTATAGTGTAAAGATTAGTAATGGAAATAGATCTGGGTACAACAAATAAAAATAATTGAGCACAAATATTTGAAGAATGATCAATAGATGGCAGTCTGACTTCAGTGGCAGACTGTAAGACACGGTAGCATGGCTGAAAATTAGACACCCAATTCACAAATTACACCATTACACAACTTGATAATGGTCCAGTATGGATCAGAGTGACATCAAGTCATTTATTTTCAGATTTGTAGTTTGAGTGTCCTTTAGTGGCAGATTGCATGATCTGTTTCATACTGTAATGAATATTTGCTCCAGACTACACATTGAAGTATATGTCAACACTGACATTTTTACAAATGATGCCATGTTTGAAACTATAAGATTAATATCTAAATTTCTCGTAATTGATTTGCTTTTATTTTTAGGAAACAGAATACCCAGTGTATGTACTGGATCTGATGGTGATGTGCTGGTCCCAGCAGCCTCGTCTTAGACCGTCTGCCTCTCAAATTGTGTCAATTGCATCAGCGCCGGAGTTCACTCATTTGTTAGATGTTGCCTCTCTGGATCACTCATTAAATATAATGGATGCTATTCGAGTACCTCCGTCTATAGGAAGGGATGAAGGTTGGTTTATAAAACACTGTTCCACTTTTGAGTGTGTGTTGTACAGCCTATCATCTGAAAATGTTAGTACTTACAGCAACTGTTTTGTCAACCATACAAAAATGGACTCTTTCAGCCAACAATGTTTAAGTTTTGGACTATTCATTTTGTAGAGTGCACAAAAAAAAGCACATATACTGTATATGTACTGTATTAGGCCTAAAATTGCACATATTAGGCCTAAGATTGCATGGACAAATTAGGTTAGATTCTTTAGTTTCTATTATGGTTTTAATATGTCATTTGGGTTAATTATATAATACAAAATCTGAACTGTTTTGGGGTTCATTAGTCCATTTTTGTATGTTTGATAAAATAGTTGCTATAATTACTGTCATTTTAGGAGGCTGAGCTGGTATTGTATCTTGAGCCAAGTAATAAGTCATTTATATATAGTAGATAAACTAAAGTAACACCTCAACATATGTGAAGTTATCTTGAGGTTATCTCGATGATTTTGGGGCTTAGCGTCCCCGCAGCCCGGTCCTTGACCAGGCCTCCTCTTTGTTACACACACCGAGGAAGCATAGCAGCCCATCGCAGCTGTCTAACTCCCAGGTATCTATTTACTGCTAGGTAACAGAGGCATCAGGGTGAAAAAAACATTTTGCCCATTAGTCTCTGCCTTCACCGGGGATCGAACCCAGAACCTCAGGACTATGAATCCGAAGCGCTGTCCACCCAGCTATCAGGCGCCCTATCAGGTGTTATAAAAGAATAATACTGATAGAAATTACAAAAATCTTGTATGAAACAATGGTTATGGGGGACTGGGGAAGTTATCATTTTGTATCAGTGTTATCTACGTTAGTTTTATATTCTAAGTGGTCAAAAATTGGTAATTAAAGTTAAAAGTTGAGTAAAGGGTTGTATCATAGCGGAGTGATTAGTGCAGACGGCTCACATCATATTAGTTCTGGGTTTGACTTCCAGGCAGGATGAGTGTTTGGGCACAATTCCTTATATCTGATGCCTCTTTACCTAGCAGTAAAAAGGTACCTGGAGTTAGCCAACAGTTGTGGGATGGATCGTGGGAAATGGTCAGTCAGCTTCCTGAATGATAGGCACATGACTAGGTTAAACACCATTACCATTAACCGGTGATAATTACCATACAAACACCATTACCATTAACTGGACATCTTCAAGAGGAAACTAGATTTATTTTTCCAAGGAGTGCCAGACCAACCGGGCTGTGGTGGGTATGTGGGCCTGCGGGCCGCTCCAAGCAACAGCCTAGTGGACCAAACTCTCACACGTCAAGCCTGGCCTCGGGCCGGGCTTGGGGAGTAGAAGAACTTCCAGAACCCCATCAACCAGTTATAACTGGAGTGTAAATGGAGAGGGGTTTCGGGAGTCGTTCTACTTCCCATGCCTGGCCTCACGCCAATCTTAACTTCTGACAACTTGGTCCAACTGGCTGTTGCTTGGAGTGGCCTGCTGGTCCACATATCCACTACAACCCAGTTAGTCAGGCACTTCTTGCAAGAACTTATCTAAATGCTTCTTGAAGACTTTCACCTGTGTTCTGGCAATATTTCTAGTGCTAGCTGGGAGGATAATGAACAGCCCTGGACCTCTGATGTTCAGACAGTATTCTCTGATTGTGCCTATGGCACCTGTACTCCTCATTGGTTCTATTCTGCATTTTCTAATAGGCTGGGTGACTATGGATAGCCTTGGTGTAGGCCTTCGGAGGTTCAAAAGGTGAACCTAACGCGCTTGCTATTGCTAACAATGGGGTACCTGTGTTAAGGAATGGCAGAATAACATAATTAATATGGGTTATGCAATCATACAATATATGTCATATTCATTATGCAGGGCAGCATATGCTATAGGTATATGCTAGAGGAATGATATCAGATTGTGGACACTTCAGAATATTATTAATGAAGAGGAAGTGAATATAAATGGGGTTGTAAACCTCACAAAACAATTCACCTAATGAGTGCAGTGAATAATCATAAAGCACACTAGCTGTGTGAAAGCTGTTCCACTTTACCCTGACTCATGTCAAAACCAGTGCAAAAAACCTTAGAAATGTGTGTAAACTACAAGTCATGTGCAGTGTTTATGATTTTTAGCAGCAATTCAATATTGTACTTTTCTGGGTTGGCCTCACTAATGTAATAGCTTTCCCAAGCTTAAGTGCTGGTAATACTAACATGATTCTGCTTACAAGCTTCTATTTCACTTTTTGATTCTGCATTCTCTTCCCCGGCTGTTATTTTGAATCTTACTTTACCAGAATTATTTTCTCTGGGGTGTTTGATTTCTTCTTGTGAGTTGCTGCATTTCTTTCATTCAATTAATTACTATTTTTTGTATTTTGCTTAGACTTTCTGGTCTGTTGTCCTTGGTTTAGTAGGACCAACACTTTAGCCGAGTAGCTACCGAGGGACCAACTAATAAGGACATTTTTTACATTAACTGATCAGATTATTATTTGATGATATCAAGATGACACAATTGAATTCAGGGAATTCTTTGTGTTTTTATCCATCATTTGCTTTATAACTTTCAGTATTCTTGATGTCACTCATACTAAATTCATAGGAAAATGCAGTTCATTATTTCTTCTACAGATGGGGAAATAGTGGTTCGTGACCAAGGTAGTGTTTGGGTAAGCCGCACATCACCTCAGTTGGATATGGTGGGAGCTGGAGAATGGGGATGGGGAGCCTACACTAGCATTGAGGGTCTTCCTGATACAATCACAGCCATGTGTTGTGTGGGAGAATATGTTTGGCTTGGCGATAATGCTGGAAATATCCATGGTTATAAGTAAGTTTGTGAAATAGTTATATAATAAAATTGTTTTTACAAAAGATAAGTTTAAACTAAATACATTCTTGTAATTTAATTTACTGATGGTTCAAATAATGTCAATAAAGGCTCTTAAAAAATGTTGGCTCTGTTATCGTGGGACATTACTAATGTACTGTATTTGTTTTTCAGCATGACAGATTACGGTCGTGTGTTTAGCTACTGTCTGGAACCAGATGCCCCTCAGTCATCCCCAGTCCGATCACTCTGCAGTCTCCATGCTCTTGGGAGAGTAGCTGTTGCTCTTTGCAATGGTCGTCTCTTCTTGTGTAGCTCTGACGTTACACCAACATCACCTGTCCTAGGAGAGGGCAGTTTTGTTATGACGGAGTTGGCTGGTTCTACGCAAGAGATTCACTGTCTTGCTGTCTCTCAGACTCTCACCACATGGTAAGTGCATTGCTAAATCATGTGTGTGTGCCTGTGTCATCCTATTGGGTCTGACGAGCAAGTGAGCATGTTTCCTTGCAGACAAGCCTCATCCTAGTGTTGAGGGGATCTCTCTAAATCTAACAGGCTTCCTGTTCCCAACAAGTAGACACATAAGTACCATTAGAATTTATAACAAAGGAAAGACTAACCAAAAAGCTTCACAAAATACATATTTTATAATTATAACAGAATGCTAAATAAATGGTTGAGCAATACATCATGTCAGGAAAAAAATATGCTTCAAACTGGGATGATTATCAGACATCAAGAGAAAACAGACCACTAGAACTTGTACTAAGGGTAACTCATAGATTGTGGAAAGCGAAGAAAAAATTATCAATAATATCAATATTTTTTATAGCAGTTTAACTATTTTTATTTTCCACAAACTACGAGTTACCCTAAGTATATCATAGGTTTTAGTGGTCCATTTTCTAGATGACTGATAATCATCCCAGTTTGAAGTACAGTTTTTCCTGACATGATGTATTGCTCAACTATTTGTCTGGCATTCTGTTAAAATAAAATACTGGATGTATTTTTGGACGTTTTTTGGTTAGTCTTTCCTTTATTATAAATTCATACTGTATTGTACTCGCGTTCCTACCTCTTGTTTATGGATTTCTCATTTTATCCTACACTTCTCTGTCCTATTGTTCTGATACGTTTCCCTTGGGATCTGGCCACCTGGGGTTAGGTCACGGACGTGGCTGCCTCTGCTTCTCTTGTCCAGTCTTGTTACTGAAGGCTTGACTGGCCAAAAATGTTATACAGTAACTCCTTTCCCATTTCACTGTGGTTTTCTGTACACTTTGGTCAGTGTATAGATATCTCTAGGTATGGTGTTTATAGACCGTATGCAGTTTTAAATATTGTTTGAGCTATACAAGATACAATGAAGATGCACCACGCAGGAATTAATTCTAACGAGTTCAAAACTTTTCTACAGCAGTGACAGATTTTTAGCTCAGCCAAAGCAGAGTTTATTTTCTCCTTTAGTGAAGCCACATTTCAATCACAAATGTGAAATGAAAACAGTAATTTGTAAAAATGTTATTTTTATTATATAAATTTTTGGATTAATTAAATCTAGACATATCCAGCATATAATGTTTTCACAAATTCTGTTGTGAAGCTACAAAACTATAGGTTTATTATATCATAAGATTTATCATGTCTTAAGATATAACAAGATTTTAAATGATCACAAAATGTGTCTTATCAAATATATAACATTTGATTTTATATCAATAGACCATCACAATATGAAAAAGCGATGCAACCTGGGATTCCACTGAACCCTCTGAGATACCCGAGGCTTACAATTGAAGCCCACTCAGATTTTTTGATATTTGATATAGTGATATCATATAATAGAATACAGTATTTAATATCAGTCAATATCTTGTTTGATATATCATTCAATATTACATATCAAATGATATGGTACATAAAAATACATCAAATGTTACTGTATATTTTTCATATCTTTAGATATCTTTATACTGTATCTCCAATTATAAATTCTTAATATCTTCAGATGTCACACAATATCTTTATATATTTTTTGTCACCTTACACTATTTTATATAAAAAAAATATCAGGATATCCAAAAAAGATAACTGAAGATATATAAAAAAGATAATGGGTTATATCGGAAGATATCCAAAAAAAGATTATTGGAAGATATCTAAAAAAGATATTAGAAGATATCCCCCCAAAAAAATATCGGAAGATTTTTATATCTTCTGATATCTTTTTTTGGATAAATTCCGATATATTTTCTTGGGGTTTCTTCTAGTATCGTGTATTGGATATCTTCCGATAGTTTTTTTTATATCTTCCGATATTGGAAGATATAAAACAAACTTGGAAAATATAAAATCAAAAGATGTCCTAAAAAAGGACCAATTGAGGTCCTAAAAAAATTAGGACATCTACTGACGGTTCTAGTTTTTTTAGGACATCAATCGATGTCCTATATTTTTTTAGTATAGCGATCGATACCCTAAAATATTTGGACATCGGTTGGTGTCCTAAAAAAATTCACACATTGGTCAGTCTTAAAAAAAATTAGGTCATTGCTTGATGTCCTAAAAAATTGTCTAATTTTTTTTAGGACATTGGTCAATGTTCTAATTTTTTAGGACAGCGATGTCCTAATTTAAAAAAAAATTTAGGACATCGACTGATGTTCTAATTTTTTAGGACATCGACCGATGTCAGATGTCCTAATTTTTTGGGGTTCTGTCACAATTTTCTAAAATTAGGACTGGTCGATGTCCTAATTTTGTTAGGACACATGTCCTAATATTTTAGGACACTGATGTCCTAATTTTTTTTAGGACACCGATGTCCTAATTTTTTTAGGACACCGATGTTCTATTTTTGGGGGGTGATGTCATAATTTCCAAAAAAATTAGGACTTATTGATGTCCTAATTTTTTTTAGGACACCGATGTCCTAATTTTTTTAGGACACTGATGTCCTAATTTTTTTAGGACACCGATGTCCTAATTTTTTTTAGGACACTGATGTCCTAATTTTTTTAGGACACCGATGTTCTAATTTTTTAGGACACCAATGCCCTAATTTTAAGACACCGCTGTCCAAATTTTTTAGGGCCTTCTATGTCCTAATTTTTTAGGGCCATCTATGTCCTAATTTTTTAGGGCCATCTATGTCCTAATTTTTTAGGGCCACCGATGTCCTATTTTTAGAACTAACAGATGTCCTAATTTTTTTAGGACACCAATGTTCTAATTTTCTTTTTAGGACATTGGTCAGTCCTAAAAAATGACCGATATAAAAAAAAAAATATGACATCCATCAATGACCTTTTTTTTAGGACATCGATGTTTTACTTTTTTTAGATATCAATCGACATCCTAATCTTTTAGGCCATTAAAAAAAAAAAATTATCGATCCAAAAAACACATCCCAAAAAATTCCAACTTCCAATATCTTTTTGGGGACATCTTCCAATACCTATTTTTTTTTATATCCAAAAACAAGGGATTGCAGAAGTCCCTTGTTTTTGGATGTCCAAAGACTTGGGACATCTTCCATTATCCCTTGTTTTTTTGGACATCTTCCATTGTATTTTTTTATATTTTTATATTAAAAAGATAACAAAAAAAGAGAAAATATCCAAAAAATATAATGGAAAATACAAAAAAGATAACCAAAAACTATATCCAAAGATATCGTGTGACGTCTTCAATATCTTATCTTGGGATATATTTTTATATACAAAGATATCGTTTGATATTTTTTTGTATATCGGTTTTCAGAAAGATATCTTCAGATATAAAAAAAATCATCACATGATAGCCATTTTGATATTAAATGATATTGGAAGATATGTAATATCACATTGGCATGTAGGCTTTATAATAAAATCCTAAGTCATAAACGCCAAAGTCTTGTTATTTCACTCAACACCCAAAAGTTTAATTATACGTTTTTAATTCCAGGTCTTTGTGGTGTGGAGGCAGCGAAGGTACCATGAGTGTGTTTTCCTTGCGAGATGATGGCTTGGTCTTGAGTCAGGATGCAGTCTCTCACTTCACAACTTCAACACCACCTACAACTAGTGACACATGTGATGTCTTGATTCTTCATGCACCACAAAATCTTACTACTGTTGCACCACATCTTAGAAGTTCCATCTGGTCATATGTTTATCCTGGTGAGAAGCAATGAAAATTTTAATTTGTATAGTAAAAGTAAAAACGGACCTTCAGAACTTTTTGTCCACTAAATTGTGCTAAACATCTAACCTTCGTCTGCAGAATAAAAGCTCTCCATCTCAAAGCCTTATATTACAATGATGGGGATCAAGATTTCAAGTGTTTTTCTAGGTGCATAGAGGCGAGCAAAAGGAATGATGCACAATTGGTCCACCGCTGCTTACGAGTAAAACCAAGATTCTCTTTCCTGCAAAGAGAAACTAACATTTACACAAAATAGTATAATAATGACTGAAGATGAATAAGTTTAAAGCAAAATCAGTGTAGTCAAAATAGTTACACATTATTATCACTATTGCAAAGATCAATACTAAGAAAGATTTCTGACCTGCATTATCTGCAAATAAACTAATTTAACACTGGTTTCATGTATCTTTTTTTATGATAATTAAATTTCATGATATTGTGACTGCAGCAATAGCAGTCAGGCATTACCCACTTCCAGGGTTATTAATCTAGACTAGTCAGGTATTACTGTCAATTCAAATTAACGGTATAGTACCGTAATGTGAATCAAGTGCATAAATGGCCACAAAGATGCAATATTGAGTTAATATACAGTACAGTATTATGACATGTTAACATGAAGGCTCTGGTTCCTATGATTCCAAATAAATAAGTTTCGAGTGTACAGTATTTACAGTACACTCAAAACTTCATATACTGTATGGAAAGCAAGAACTGCACTGCATTTACATTCTGCTCAAAATGAATGCAGACATACTTGGATACCAATCCTAATTTATTAAAAAAAAGATGCAGCATTGAATTTAATGAAACACCTCTTTCTGGTAAATTCAGGGAGCCAATGGAGCTCTATCTTGCTGAGATTGGAGCAATCCACCAATCACACAAGTTGCACGGGTTCATGTGGCCTACCAGGGACCAGAGCCAAAAGCTAGCCTCTTCATAGGTGTCGGGAGCAAATGAGACTACATTAAAAGTATGAATCCAAGCCCAAAGGGACAGACATGAACCTAGGGAAAAGAGAAAATCTAGGATCCTATCCAGGTATCAAGACAGCCCAGAAGCAGGAGCAGGTTTGAAGAGAACACACACTTGTGACAACTTGTGGTACGGAGCTATAGAAGATTCAACACTAAAAAGCCAACAACAGTGGCTCCATCAGTGTTGCACAATAACAGGCACCAGTTTTGGGCACGAGATATCAGTCATAAGTAACCACGAAATGAGAAGGGAGCCAGTGGCCAAGTGGACAGCACGCTGAACATGTGATCCTGTGGTCCCAGGTTCGGTCCTGGGCGCTGGCAAGAAACGATGGGCAGAGTTTTTCACCCTATGCCCCTGTTACCTAGCAGTAAATAGGTACCTGGGAGTTAATCAGCCATCACGGGCTGCTTCCTGGATTGTGTGGGGTGTGAAAAAAAAAAAAAAAAAAAAAAAAAAAGTAGTGAAAACAGTTGAGAGGCGGGCCGAAAGAGCAGAGCTCAACCCCGCCCCCCCAAGCACTACTAGGTGAATACAAAAGAAACGTTAATATTACACAAACTGAAACTGAAGATGGCGGAGTCAGAGGCAAAACAAGTGCCAAGCTACGTAATGGTTCCACCTGGAAAACTTGGGTGGGAAACTTAATAACCCTGCCACTTGTGGGCCATAAAACTTGTGTTCAAGACTAGACATGAAGAGATGCAAAGGTTGAACCAGCAAGTGATGTCGCCAGGCCAATTCTCTGAAAGAAGCCGAGCCGAGAAAAAACAGACTAAAAGAGCATGAAATCAAGGCTAAGCCTTAGTTCAGCCTTGAAACACTTCCAAGGAGCCAGAATGATCACCCTCCCTGAGAATAACTCCACCAGGTTCAATCCCCAGTGGAGGTGAAAACAAATGGGCAGTTTCTTTCACCCTGATGCCCCTGTTACCGAGCAGTGAATAGGTACCCGAGACAGCTGCTATGGACTACTTCCTTGGGGGGTGTAAGAAATAGGAGGCCTGGTCAGGGACAGGGACGCTAAGACTCGAAATCAAGATAACCTCAAGATGTTGCTCTGGGTTCTTTCCATGGTCAACTGAATAAGGGAAAGGTAAAATCACCCCCCACATCAACCAGTCCAGTCAAATAGTCCACTACGAGACCCTCACAATTGGGGGAAGAGCGCCACGTAGGATGGAATATGCCAGTTCCACACTGATGCAAAGAAATCCAACTTGGGACAACAATGTCTCTCAAGGCCACTGGAAGGACACTTCGTCGATGGTTCAATCCTTGTAGATAGGACAGAACCAAGACAAAATGTCCGAGAACATTGAAAACACCCTGCCTGTAGACTGCATGGAGAGCTAAACCCCAAGAATCCAGAAGGTGAGTCACTCACAGCATCCAGAACCACATGGGATGTGACCAAAGAAACCTGCAATGTTTTAAGCACTGAAGCACTGGGAAGCAGTCTTAGTGGGAGCCAGATCACAGGGCCCAGAGGGAACCCTAATCTACTGTAATGCTTACCACAAAGCTGTGAATTCACACACTATGTTGTGCATGTGAAGCAATGGACCCGACTATTGACCCTGGAAAACCTGATGAGCGCGATCACAAAACCCCAACTCAGAGCCAACGTGTCTGTAAAGGCATCGAGAGAGAGAGCTGGAAAGCACCACGAGACCAAACCCCAAAAGGCCCGAAAAGGAAGCCGGCAAAGTAACAAGCAGCGAAGAGCAGCCAGTGCCCAAACCCAATGGTCACGGCAGTGGCGAAATGGGCAGAACCAGAGGAATCCGATCAGAACCCTGAGCCAAACTCTGCCCAAAGGGAACTTCATGCAGGCAAAATTCTGGCTTCTGCACAGCCACTTGGCTAACTGTCGAGTCACCCTGGTCCGATCTAACACCAGACGGTGACAGAGCTGTAAGCAAAGGAAGGCCTAAGGAGGCAAGGAAAGTGACTGACTGAGAATCCAAGACGAGACCCAGCCAAGTCCAAACCTGGGATGGAACCAACTGGAACTTCTGCCAGTTCACCAAGAACCCAAATTCAGTGACTTCACAATCTCAACACAACCCTGGCCATCATGGATTTCTAGCAGGACACTTCTGCCCCCTTTCAATTGTTATTCCACTATTACATGACCTTTGGTGCCATGATAGACAAGGAAAATGCTGATGTACCAGTAATATACTGTATACAATTTCAAAGTGGTTTTCAACAAATGTGACCATGGTGCTATTGAACACAAATGGAATAGTACTGGCAAAGGAGGAAATTGGGTTCTGTTCGTTAGAAAATTGAAGATCCTAAGAGTGATTGTCAATAAAGTGAAATCTGGACCATCCATTGTGAAAAACTCAGTCCTCCAATGGAGCAAAACATTAGAAATTATACAGGAAATTACATAATTTATTTCCAAAATGAGGTAGATCATTAATACTCTCTCATATTGGCCCCCCTCTCTCTCATGATATTAATAATCCCATGGAGAATATAGCAATTATAGAATGTCAAATTTTCTTTTGTCTTATTTCGTTGCTTTGTCTTCTGTACATTTACAAAATTTTACTTTCAGGTTGTGTGGTGTACCACTGGGATGCCAAGGAGCAGAAACTGGTTAATCGCCTAGATTGTTCCAAGTTGGTACCGTGCTCAGAAAGCTTACAGTCTATTAGTATAGAAGAGCACTTGTCTCCATCTCATTGTCAAGTAAGTGTATTGTCATATTATATGTAAAACTGCAATTTCATGGTGTTGATAGTGTACAGTGCTTGGTCAGTACCATTAAGCAATGTTGTACAGTATCTAGCTAAAGGACTATGTGAAATGGCCTGCCTCTTAGGGTCTTTGGTAACTTAGTCCTGCCTTCCTTGTCAGGTGTCTTAGACTCCAGCTCAGCTGTCAACTGTTCAATTCTGCAGTGTTATTGCAACTTATTGCACTAGGCCATACGAGTGGTGACACGTTTGCTTTAACTCATGGCCTACTTTTTTGCCTATCTCCAAAAAGGACTGGAGTTTTGTTTTATTCTGTATGTCATTTATCTTTGGTTTCAGTGGCAGTCACCATGTTCCTTTCCTTGCTATTCCAGGATTTCCGTCGATTACAATACTGTTGTCTCTCTTTTCTGTTCGGCTCCCGTAGAGTTTTCCCCTGCTTGCTTTTGGGGTGAATGTGACCTCTTCCTCCAAGTTGGCTTGGGCTGCCTTCTTCCTCTAGTTCACATGCCTCCTGAACCTTAGTCATTGGATTGGATCTTGTTATGATTTTCAGGTACCTCCGGATTACATTTTATAAGAAAGCTTTTTTATTGGCTTTGGCTTCTAGAATTCACACAAATGAGTTTCTCATTCTACATTGGAAGCATAACATACTGTCTTATATAATTATATATGTACATACAATACATTATATATAAATATATATTAACACAGCAATGTGGCATTATTTGCATACTACTAGCACCTGTCATGTGGTATGCTCTGTCCATCATTGGACCTTGGTCTTCTGTTCCACGCATCAGTTCTCCCAGATCATCTGGAGGATCACACACTTGTGTAATTACAGTTCAGCCAGCCAGATGTGTAGTCTCCTCATGATGTGTAAACATGCCACCTGTGGGTAAAATTACTCTTGGGATTTATATTTATTTAGTTTATATTAATTTATATAGTAATTTATATTTTACGTTAATTTATGTTTTTCGATATCAAACTGTATGATGTTTAAATTGGACTGTATTATTTAAAATTACCACAAATTGCTTTCCTACACATTCTGGGGGTTTATGGTTTATATACATAGTCTATCAATCAAAATTATTGATTAGTAGACATTCACTACAGTATAAGACTACATATGTTGGTAAATAAATTTAACACAACCACAGCTTATCTGTATAGTTGATTTTGGTCTGGACAACCAGTATGAACATAGATGAAACACTTCAGCTGATACTCCTCTCGTGGGTGACGCCGACTCCACCACATGTACTTATTGTGCTAGGTAACTAGTGTTAATTCTTCTCCCACTTCAATTACACCTGTCAAAGGACACGCAATAATAGTATTAACCTATATGACACCTATATCAGGGGAAATATATAATTTGTTAGATGAGGTTTAAGTAATAATTACCTCGTTTTGTGTCTCATCTCGTGTACTAACTAGCTTACCCTAGCTACCTAAAACATTCCTGACTAGGAATGAAATAGCTATAATGAGTTTCAGAATTGGACACTTCCCTTATTTGTAGACGAAGATAATGTTAATGTCATGGGGTTCAAAGAGCTCCCATCATGTCCAAGGACACTAATTGTGGAACTTCTAGGAGCTCCTGCAAGACTTGTCATGTTAAATTAATAATGGCGTCTGACACTGGCCCTCCTCCCACTGACGCATCAAGCATTTTGTCCAGATGTCGTCAAGAAGTGAATATAGGGCCTACATTTACTCAATTTTAGTACTGATAATTTAGTTCAAGGGAAATGTTTTTATGATGTTTACAGTCCAAAGACTGCTGTATTAAGAAGCATTCCTCAAAGGGTTCATAAAAGCTAGAACTCCATTACTAGGTCAAGTAGGGAAGGGACATTTTACTTAATAGCCAGAGCATTTTTTTTTTCTTTGCAAAAAATTATCAGATCTTTAGGAAATTAATACAGTATATTTTATTGGTTCCATTACATTAATAAAAAAGTTAAGTATTTAAGTTTTGTTAGGCACAGTTCATGAATAATATCAATGTGCTGTAATTTAAATACAGTATGCCCAAGATAATTTTTTGTTAATTTATCTTTTTGTGTATCATACTGCTTTGGCAACTCTGGCTATTACACATGATGTACTGTACTTGCAAAATATTTTATGTTGTATATAAAATGTATACATCATCATTCAAGCTTAAGCCTTATTTTTCTTCATACTTAGTGTGTTTAGTGTTATACAGTAAATAAATTCAAATATGGTGTAGGTCTACTTAGAAATTCATAGCTGTGTAAAGTGTATGTGTAATCCATATTCATAGTGGGAAAAGTTTGGAAAATAAAGATTTCTGAATAATGTCTCCAAGTCTAAAGAATGTTATTAATCAGGTATTCACTAATGGAGAATTGTTCCTAATGCACTCTAATGAACATTTCACATGTATTTAAAGTAATATAATGCATATATTATTAGGTATCAGCAGTGGCAGTATGTGGTAGCGAAGTCTATGTTGGCACCACTTGGGGATGTGTTGTTGTAGCAGAAGCAGAATCAATGCGCCCAATTACAGTGTTCAGACCATATGAAGATGAAGTACGTGCTATAGTTCCTCTCCCTCCATCATCAGTTATTTTAGATCAAGATGGAAATATTGAAGATGCAACAGATGCAACAGATCTAGACAATGAAAGAAGATTTACCCCAACGCCATTACTAGCTACAATTGGGAAAGGTTATCGTAATCTATTAGGACGTTATGCACCAATGCCCCGCTCTGCACAGCCTGAACCAGCAGCTCAGAGAGCTATGTATTGTTTACTCTGGAGAGCTCATCATTGGCTTAATACATGAAGGGCAATGTGTGTGTGCTTAGGAACATATTTGATAATAGATGTGTCAATAATGAAAGGCCTTTTGCGCAGTCTCTGTGAGACATAAATATATTGCAAATAATAGATAAAGTCTTGCTGTGCATTTTTATTTTTTATTTTTTTTTAGCTCAAAATGACTTACAAGTCACAGTTTTAAAAGATTTTAGGTTGTATTAAAGCAATTAAATCTCTGCTCTGGCTAATCATTGCTGTACAAGTCTGCAAATTCATGCAACTGACTAAGACGGATGCAGCTAGAATCAGTGAAGACTGCTTAAGTTCAGTCCAGCCATAGTTACATAAACAATCACGGTGAAAACGATCATTGTTTTGTGAAAATTCAATATTTTTATTAAACAGTAAATCTTTATTATATTATTATTAGAACCTTAAACTCCAATGAGGAAAGATTTAGCTACAGAATACAGTACCACTAATTTATATTTACACTAAGTCCAGGAAAATTTGGAATGGTTGTTAAAATATTCATAAACTACTTTTACTAAGGTATAAACCTCATATATATAACTAAACAATGTGATCTATTTTCACAAGAATTTTTGTTTGTAAATCATACAATAAATTGCCTTAAATATTACTTAATATTAGGTGGCAGCTTGAAACATTTTTAAATATGTTGACATTAATTTTTATAGCTGCATTGTATGACAGTTTTTGTATTTCTGCCAGTACAGAGTCCCCTACACTGGAAGTGCTTCAAACTTATTTTCATTATTTTCCATTTCGTGATAATAGCTAATGGGAGATATACACTAATGGTTATAACAAAAATGTCAGTACATCTCATTTTATAGTTGATATTTTTACCAAAGAAGAATATTCCAGGAAGACTTGTATGTAACAATTCTATTTAATCAGCTATGATTTAATGTGTATTTCTATGTAAAGTATAACATAGCACAAGTGTACTACTACTAAACTCTCACAGCGCTTTGTCAGTAACATCTAGCTGACCCACATCTCTTGCTCTCTAGTCATTAACTCGTTTATTGTGATAATCTATTCTTGATAACTATGTTAACTTTTCTCTTATTACTGTACCTTTGATTCCATTTTGGAGAAGACCCATTTTTATTTTGGGTATTCATTAATTATATTCCCTAATTCAGCTGAAAACTCTTGGTTATTGTACAAGAACTTTGTTGGGATAAACTTCATACAACCGATGTTGTCCATCCACGTGATTTATTGGATTGAAATACATTTTCAGTACCAAAATAATAAATATGAAAATGATGGTTTGATTAAATCCTGTTTGCCAGTACAGTACAGCTATACATACAGGGTGTTTAATCACCTAAGTGATTAAATTATTACAGGACGAGAGCTACACTCGTGGTGTTTTGCCTTACCAGCACTCGTCACGTAACACTTTGAAACAACCGATAGTTTTGGCCTCCTCAACCTTCTCACTTGTTCCAACCATCTACAATTTGTGGGTCAATTTTCTTATATTTCTTTCGCAGCTTTGTTTAGTTAGCTTAACTCTATGACATCTTGTTCCTAAAGTTCCACATCACAAAAATTCTGCTTATCAATTTTGTCGAGTCCCATTTTGTATGTAATCATGTTGCATCTTTTTCTTCTATCTTCTAGCTTTGCTATTTAGCGCCTCTAACCTCTCTCCATAGCTCATGTCTTTCAGTTCCAAAAGCCATTTAGTTGCATGTTTTTGCACCTTTTCTAATTTATTGATGTGCTTCTTAAGATATGGGCACCATACAACTGCTGCATATTCCAATTCAATCCCACAAAGGGCATGAACAATTTCTTTAGCATTTCGCCATCCATGTATCTAAAAGCAAATATGAAATTGGAAAGCGTAGCATAGGTTCCTCTCTCAATGTTCTTTATGTGGTCCTCCGGTGACAGTTTTCTATCTAGAACCACCCCTAGATCTCTATCAGAATTTTTTAATGCTTTTTCACAAAATTTGTAGATTGTGTGGGGTCTATATTTTCCTATTCCCATTCCATAACATGGCATTTATTTACATTTAAATTCATTTGCCAAGTGGTGTTCCATACACTAATTTTGTCCAGGTCTTCTTGAAGGGCATGACAATCATATACGTTTATTATCTTCCCTAGTATCTTAGCATCATCAGCAAACATGTTCATATAATTCTGTATTCCTTCTGGTAGGTTGTTTAAGTAGACTGGTAGCATTACTGGCACAAAGACTGAACCCTGTGGTACTCATGACCTATCTCCAGTCCAACATATTGACTTTTGATTATTGCCCTCATTTTTCTGTAAATTTTTCATCCATATTAGAAGCCTTCCAGTCACCCCTAAAATATATTCGTTTCCAGAATAACCTTTTATGTCGGACTGTCAAAATTATTTAAGTACAGATAAATGCATCTCTTTCCTGTAAAATCTCTGTCGGTCTACCATAAAAACCAAGTAGCTTTGTTACACAGAATCTTCCTAATTGAAAACCATACTGTTATATAATGTTTTTCCAGGTGTTCTACCCATTTGGTTTTGATTATTTTTTTTTTCCAAAAATTTGACTACACGTATCAATGATACAGGTCTATGACTAAGAGGGTCTTCCTTGCTAGCAATTTTGTAGATTGTGCAGAGAAAACAAGAACAAATAAGTAAATAAGTTAGGCATATTCATATAAGAAAATGAAAACCAAGTTGGAGAAATTAAATAAGAGGTATGAGGCATTAAAGTGAAAGATACCGAGAGGTAACTGCATTGATCGCTGCCTAAAGTATAACTAAAATAGTTTCTGGGAGATTGTGGACCATTTATATAATACACACAATGTTTGTCCCTCATTGCTGAAGATGACCATGACTTCAATATATGGATTTATGTCATGATCTGCACTTGACTTAGATTAAAATGGGGGAAAGAGTTGCACAAATCATCAGCCTCACTCTCTTGGCCCGGCCTATTTGGGTCCAGCAGCAAGACAAGTCGAGATGGCAGGAGATTGGATAGGATGCAGTGGATGGCCAGCAGTGTGGTCTCTCTCTCACCGTGCCCTAGAAGTGCTCCACAGCCGTTTGCTGGGCCCACCTTCATGCCCATTGAACCATTCTGGTGGTTTCCTCTGTGCAGTCTGCTGGGTCCAGTCTTCGCATGCATAGGTAGACAAGCCATAATTCACCAAGGGCCTCAAACCTTTGGCTACTCTCACCTGGTTTTTCCCACCAGTCGAAGTGGTTTGCTGTGGCTCCAACAGCTACTTGGAGCCACAGGTGAGAGTTGAGTACAGGTGGGGGACCAAAGCAGACAAACCACCCGAAGGTGGAACCGTTTCCTGCCAGAGGTACTACCCCTCACCGACACTTCAGAAATATATACATACAAGATACTCAAAAGGTCAGGTCCCAAATAAGTACTTTATAATAAAATAACTTACTGGAGCAAAAGATATGGTAGGAAGTGAAGAATAGAGCCAGTAAAGAGTAGAGGTACTATAAGCACACTCAAATAATATTAGTTGAATATTAGAGGCCCTTCCTCTTCAACCTTCTCCCAAGTGTAAGTAGTATTACCTGAACAATAGAGGCAATTTGATACACTGCAGGACTTTTTTAACCAGCTAGGTGGTTGTGGGTATGAGTGTCTGTGGGCTGCTACAAGTTAATAGCCTGACACAGCAAGTTATCACCTGACAAACCTGGCCCCACCCAGGACGGCCATGGAGAGTAGAACTCGAAACTGGCTACAGGTATTACAAGAATCTGTGATGTCAGGACACTGGTATATCAGGTGCCTGGAATACCAGGAGTTTGGGGTGGCATTTGTCTATGCCATGATTCTAGGTTCTAGCTGCCAGGACTGGAACCTGATATGCTAATAGTCTGATTTCAGGAGCATTGTATGCAGTAAGATTGCAATATGAAGAGCATGAAATGTGAGGTGCCGGGAATAGTGGTACAGGAGTAGACAACTCGACTCTAAGTTAGCAGGATGAGAGCTTTTCCCCATCTCATAGCTCATGGTAAGTCTTATCCACTAGTTTCCCCTGGAATACAACCCGCCAATCATCTAACAACTTGGTACCCAATCACTACTGGGTGAACAGATATGTACAGGTACAGTTAAGGATTGGTGCCTAGTCAACCCTCCCTGGCCAGGATACAAACCTAAGCCAAATTGCTTGCAAAGCACAAGGCGAACATGTTACCACTGCGCCACCAGGAAAGGAAGTTATTAAGTGTACAATATAGTAAAATTAAGACCCAACCAGTCCCTAAGACCAGATGAAGTATTTTCCAGTTGCTAACGATGAGCTTAGTGAGCCCTTGTATTGCATATTTAATATATCAAGTGCTGTACATGAATTGTGGAGGGTTGTAAATGTGGCATCTATTTTTAAGAATGTAGATAAATCACTTGCATCAAACTATTTATTGACCAATTAGCTTAATGTCTATTGTAGAAAAATTGCCTGAAATGATTATCCAAAAAAATTAGCACTGACTAATGAAATGCATCTTTCTTGGAGGGCCTCAGTGACTTCCTGGTGCTAGTTCCACACTATTATATTGCATCAACTCTTGAGAGTCATTAAAAGATGGACCTCTTAAAAACTGGCCCCTCAAAAAGGCAGAGCAGTGAATATATGAACACATTGAGAAATCAAGCCCATAGAAAGAAGCAAAACAGACAACAGCAAAGTCAAAGAAGAGTAAACAAAACAGCAGACAATAAGTAGCTAGGACCTCCCCACCCCATAGTTAATGCTGCCCACCACCACCAGCTCCAGGTGGCAGTACCACTGGAGTTGCTGGTTCCAATAACCCCTGAAACCTGTACCAAACAAAAGCCCACCAATGCAGGGATGAAGGCCCCAAGAGCCACTGAGGTTTCCCCAGAAAGTGGTTTCATTAAATTCAACACTTTCTGGAGAGTCAAACATTGAATCCCTATTGCTAACTACAGAGAAAGCTAAAATGGGACCCATCAGGGGTAGAGAACAAAAGACAAATCCCTACAACGGGGATAGGCCCAGATTAACAAAAAATTAATCACTTGAAGCAGTCCAGGAAGCACATGTAGTGATGGACAGTCTTAACTGGACACAACAAATGATGCATCTCTAGCTGAAAAAACATGAATCATTAACCAAAGGATCCCCTCTGGAATCCAACTATCTCATAGCCAGAAAAGGAGAAGGCTGCTCCCAGAGGAGATCATGAAGCTCCCCAGACAAGTAATTGAAAGTGAGAGCCAACAAAACAATGCACCCTAGAAAAAATTCATGGCACAACTGCCCGAAATTTGAAGAGACGAAAGCAACAATTGCAAATGGTGCAGAGGCAGTATTGATTTAGAATGCCAACAAAAGGGGCTCGTCAAAGGTCAAATGAGAAGAAGTAACAATATTCGGCATAAGATGTGATCCACAAATAACCAAGACAAGAAAAAATTATGTAAATGAAAACACAAAGAGCACCAAACCACCAGCAGACTATACATGTGGTGATAGATCTAGGCAAGAAACTTCTTACACAAAGAATGGAGGAGAGACTCAAACCAACTACAAAACTGTGCTCTCAACAGAATGGACTTGATCACTGACCCTGGGAGGCCTAGTGAGGGCAGGTCATGAAGCACCAACTAGATCCAAGGCATCAATGAACACATCGAGCAACGGGGAAGTATCATGCCACAGAAATGAACCCCAAAAATTTTGAAGAGGATGCTAGCAAAGAGGAGCTGATTAAAGGTGTGCAAAACCTGAACCTGATGAGCCTTGCAGCAGAAAATGGGCAGAGCTGGAGGAACCAGCAAAGTGCCCGGAGCTAAACATAGGTTAGGCATATACTGTATATGACTGAGCCTGGGTGTATATAAATAGGAGCTGATGACCAAACTACACATCGGAAAATGAAGAATCATCATCATCTCGGTCACTCCGAACCATTATCAAGTCGTGTGATTATCACATGATTCGATACAGAAATTTGATATACCCAGCTCCTGGCATTACAGATTCCTTGTATTCCGGGCTTGCCATACCCTTGAATTCCATGTTCCTAACATATCAGCCTGCTTTCATATGAAATTAAAGTATTCTGCAAAACAAGTCTCTCCTGGCCTTCCAATCTTATGGCATACCAAGCACCTGGCATTGCAGACTACTGGCATGCTTGTATCCTGACATCCTCGACATTTGGTACTCCAGTGTCTTGATACTCCAGACACCCATTAATTACATAATGCCGTGAGTTATAGATACTGTACTAGAAGTTTGGAATGGCAGGATTCTTGTATGCCAAAAGTCTGGAATGACAGGATTCTGGATTGCCTGTATTCTGGACTGCCTGGATTCTGGGATGTCAGTATGCCAGTAATCTGGAATTCCAAAAATCTTGTATGGCACAAGTGAATAGTGACAATCGTGTCTTGTATCTGATACAACTGCCATATACAAATGGACGAAAGGGAGATACAGTATAATTTAGGTTTTAAACATATCAATACAAAATAGAACACAAAACAACGGATATAAATGAGATCAATTTAGATTAAAAAAAAACCTGGGTAATACCAGTTTGAAAACAGGATTGTAAATTTATGGAATAACTTAGCTTGTAACATAATAAACATGGGACTGCTGGATTATTTCAAGCATAGATTAGATATTTATATGAGTATGGGTGAATATAAATAGGCCATTTGCAGTTTCCTTATTTTTACGTTTTATGTATACAATACCAGATTTGTATGCCAAAAGTCAAGAATACACAGACGATGAGTCACAATGTGGTTGAAGATATGATGCCCAAACCACACATCAGAAAATTGAGAAATGAATGTTTCAGTCCATCCTGGACCATTATCAAGTTGTGTGATAAGACGATAGGAAGGTATGGGGCAAATAAATAATGAAAGAGTGAGGTGAGGAGCAAGTAAAGAGTACAGTAGAAGGTACTTCTTCACCTGCTTCAAACATTTGTGTGGGTATTGCTCGAGATGTTGTCTAAACTCTCTTGGGTGAACACTGATGTAAAGTATTTATTCAGTGTGTTGGCTGCCCTTTAATCATCAATTGTAACTTGATTGGTCTCATCTTTTAAGGGCCTTACCAACTATTTTATTTTGCTTTTACTTCTTACATAGACAGACAGAAAGACTTTGGATCTTCCTTTATGTTTATGTTTTGAGAAGCTTGGGTTGCCTGAAGTCTGATATGTCATAAGCATGTGATGGAAGTAGTCTGGGATGTATTAGAACCCTGTTGTGACACGAGCCTGGATTGACAGGACCCCAGTTGACACACCAGCCTGGGCTGCCAGGACCCTGTTGTGACAAGCCTGGGATGCCAGGAGTCTGACATACATCAACCTTGGGATAAACATCCTTAATTTTGCACACACATCAACAATCTTGGGATCATGATTGTTGGGACAAATATCACCATCTTGGAGCATATTTTTTTTTTTATCTTGGGGCTTAAGTCTCCAACCTTGAGAAAATTCCATTCTGAAATCATGATGCAGCTTCCAAGACTGACGTACCACATGCATTAAGAAAAATATTCACCAGCAAGTGAGAGGAAATGCCTGGCATTGCACGGGACAGTGAACTCAAAAGATGAATTCGAGTTTTGACGTCCTAAAGACACAAGTTTGTCATAAATATGTAAATGGAATATGCTAATATTTTTTTGCTTTCATGAGGTGCGTCGGCTGCTCTTTCTTTAAGTTTTATAAATAAATGCATGCATGCATATTTGAGTGCATTCTCACCTCCATGACTGTTTATCTACAAGTGAATATTGAGGGAGGGGGAGCTTGGAAGGCCAAGGCCTCCCTCTTAGCTTCTAGTGCGGTGGTTGGGCTCCAGCCCCACTTAGATGCCAATTGTCTTGTGTAGGTTGAGCTTTGGTTCTCAGGTCCTGCCTGTCAACTGTCAATCAACTGGTGTACAGGTTCCTGAGCCTATTTGGCACTATCATATCTAGATTTCAAGCTGCATGGAATCAGCCTCCACCACATCACTTCCTAAATGCATTCCATTTACTATTCTATTATCCATGTGTGTGTAATTACCTAAGTGTAGTTACAGGGTGAGAGCTATGCTCGTGATGTCCCGTCTTCCCAGTACTCTGTCATATAACATTTTGAAACTACTGACGGTTTTGGTCTCCACCACCTTCTCACTTAGCTTGTTCCAACCATCTACCACTCTGTTTACAAAAGAAAACTTTCTAATGTTTTTTTTTTGCACCTTTGTTTTCTTAGCTTGAATCTGTGTCTTTTTGTTCATAAGTTGCTGATTTCAGGAATTCCTAAGTCAATTTGATTGATTCCTTTTAGTATTTTGTAAGTGGTAATCATATCACCTCTTTTTTTTCTATCTTCTAGTTTTGGCATGTTTAATGCCTCTAGTCTGCTCTGTGTGCATGTTTGTGTTTGCATGTGTAAAAGCATCTTCTGTTCTCAGTCCTACATTGTGGCTTGAGCTTTAAACCTTTGCTCCTTATTCGTGTTACATCTGACCTTTTGAAGAAATTGATCAATGTACTCCAAATTTTTCAGTATTTTAAAGGTTTCAATGAGATTCACCTTGTCATGCCTGGTTTGCAGTGTTGTTAGCCCTGATACCCTCAACCGTTCCCAATATGAGAGATGACTTGCCTCTGGAATGATTTTAGTTGCCTGGTGTTGCACCTTCCCCAGAGCAGCTATGTTTTTCTGAACATGAGGTCTCCATGCCTGGATGCAATAATCTAGGTGGGGAACACCAGAGACTTATACAGTTGAATGTCTACCTTCTTTTTTAAATATAAATGTACGCTTGATTATTCCCAGGGTTTGGTTAACTTTTTTTTTTTTTACTGCAGCTCCCACTTGTTGTGCAACTTTCAGGGAATGATGGATTCCGACTCCAAGGTCCTTTCTTCATCAATTTGTTGTAAGGTAGCTGTGCTAATTTGATAATTGTGACGTGGATTGTTATGCCCCACATGCAAGGTCTTGCATTTATCAAAATTAAAAAGCATTTGTCAATATTCTGACCATTTGTGGAGTTCATGCAGATCTCTCTGTAAGGTCTCTATCATTTTCACTAAGAGAGAGATGAGGGAGAGAGAAAAAAAAAGTTGATTGATTGACAGTTGAGAAAGAGCAGAGCTCAACCCCCCGCAAGTACAACTAGGCGAATACTGGTTCACATTCACAGGAGAAGGTTCAGAGGTTTGCCACCAGACTAGTACCCGAACCGAGGGGTATGAGATACGAGGAGAGACTGGAGTTATTAAACATCACATCATTTAAAGACAGATGAATTAGGGGGGGACATGGTCACCACTTACAAGATTTTCAGAGGAATTAATAGGGTAGATAAAGACAGGCTATTTAATACAAGGGGCACACGCACTAGGGGACACAGGTGGAAATTTAGTGCCCAAATGAGCCATGGAGACGTTAGAAAGAATTTGTTCAGTGTCAGAGTAGTAGTCAAATGGAATGCATTAGGCAGTGATGTGGTGGAGGCTGACTCCATACACAGCTTCAAATGTTGATATGCTAGAGCCCAGTAGGCTCAGGAATCTGTACACCAGATGATCGACAGTTGAGAGGCGGAACCAAAGAGCCAGAACTCAACCCCCGCAAGCACAGCTAGGTGAGTACACACACATTTTCAAGAATAGGCGTATTAATTAAAAAGTACTCACTCATGAGCGTAAAGTTGTCACTCAGAATCGTTCTTGTGATTAAGGATTCATAATCGGATTAAAAGCTTTTTGCGCCCAGATTATATTCTGGCGGGAAGAGCGGCGGAGAGACAGCTGGATCTCGGCGGGTGTTTTGAAAGCGACGTCAACACACTGTAAAATCTCCAGTCTTAATCTAGGATAAACCCAGCGTGCCATTGGGAGGGAAATTCGCATACGCTGAATATATATATATATATAGTTTTTTAAAGTTTATTTAAGCCCAGGACGTAGTTCAATCAGTGTAGAGAAGCGAATAGTGTTACAATTCAATGGAAAAATTTGAGAGGGGGAAAGGAGGGCGGTTTTGAAATAAAAGCCTGGATTCTCCGAGCAGGTCTTTCGTAATATAAATTTACCGAGATAATTCATTACAGGTGTAGTGCAGTGTGATGCTATGTCTAGCCACACACACACACACACTGCTAAATTAAAACAGCATAAACTCTTGAAAATACTCTATGGAAATTTCTGGGATTAAAGAAAATGGCAACCGCTAAGCTGAGAACTGACAGGTTCTCTATGCCAAAGTTATTCATTCATAATTTATAATTCATTGTGTCAGGGACAGGCAGGCAGTGTGTTTATACACGTTAAGCTTATATGGAGGTCGACCCCCCCCCCACCCCAGGATGCAACCCCACAACAAAACTAACTCCTGGATACCTGTGTGTTACTAGGTGAATAGGTGCATTAGGTTATAGGAAACGCACCCAACCATTTCTGTCCCGGCCGGGATTCGGACCCGGAATTTTCGATTGTGCGTCGAGAACGAATCCGGGACGCTTGTGTCGTTATAGCACCCATATCATATATCACGGAAGGTTGTATAGTGTAGTCAGACCTCCCCCCTTACACACCAGGCCGAGAGGCTCTAGTGATTGATGAAGATTAAGCCACCGTAGAGGTGGCACGGGCATGAACGGGCAAGAGCTAGTGTCACAATTGATATGTTTGTCCTGCACACCGCCCCCCATCCAGCGGGCAGCGGTGGATAGGTTACAATCACTTAGCACTTAATTACTACTTAGGGGGGTTGAAATAGCCTAAGCTACTCTATGCCTTTGAGATGTATGTCTTTCTTGTCTTAATAAACATACTTGAACTTGCTACTACCAACAGTTAGCAAACTGGGAATATTTGGCTAAAATTTCTGGTCTGTCCTCACACTTAACACAAAAGAATCTCGACTCCATCGGGCTGGGATGGTTCCCATGCTTCTGGCCGGGCAAAACCGTTGCCATTTGGACGCTTTAGTGTCGTTGTGTCCTTGTTACTGGTTTGAATATTACCTGCAGCAAAATAAGGGCCCCTAATATGCGAAGCCTTCCACAGGAACCCATCTTCCTTATGTACTTAAGAGTCACAGTCTACCGGGATGGTTTAGGGCAGTAGGCTCTACGGAAGATTGTGGCATGGTCTTGTCTTCTCTCCAACATGGCCAAGAGTGTTTCCAATTACGAGTTTTTTTATTAATTGCTAATAGAATTGTAAAAAAAAAATAATTTTACTTTTTAGCCTGTCCTTAAGTAATTATATTTATTTAAGCAAATTTAGCAATTTAAGTGAACACTTTATTGCCGGTAAGTAATGTCAAAGGCAACACATTCTAAAGCTTACCTATTACTGAGGATGAAAATCGTTCAACAAAATAAGGAAAGTTTTCTAAAGTGAAGAGGATTCCTTCCGGCAAAAGTTTTGTGAAGAAGGGCAAAGTTAGGCTTCATTAACTACCAAAATGAACCGAGGAGAGACTAAAGACAGGCTGGGTAGGGGACGGCTTAGGGGCACCGGTATGGAAGGCCACCATGCTGGGGATGGGCTGGGGACGAGGACGGATGGGGTGCAGAGTTGAAGATGGGATGGTGTATGGGGATGGGTTAAGAGCGGGAATCGATGAGATACAAGCTGGTATTTACCTTACGGGCTATTCATGCCCGTGCCACCACCTGGGTGGCTTAATCTCTATCAATCATCAATCTTTAAGTACTTTCATTTCAGGAGGAAGGGTTGTGTTTTAGAACACAAAAAGAACGTTTGGGCGATTATCATGTGACTGAATCTCCAATTACAGAACACACACACACACACGCCGAAACAAATAAAAGAAGGGGGAAGAAGTAAGAGGGACAGAAGAGGGAAGGAGACGAGAAGGTGGGTGAGATGAGAAAGAAGGAAGGGTGCCTGATTGCTACTGAGGAGGTTGAAGTGTGGGAAGAACATCAGTGATAAGGCACGGCCATCGTGGGGACTTCTGCGAGTCCTCTTTTCGACCCTCTCTCTCACTATAGGCTCTCCTACTTTTGCCCCTTACCTACCTTGCCCCTCCTCCTCTCCCCTTCCTTCTTCCATTCCCTTGAACCCCCCCTCTTTCCCTACCAGTTCTCCTCCTCCTCACCCTCCCGTATGCTCTGACAAGTGACAATCGACAGGTGGAGGCTGCCACTGGATGAGACGCGTTTCCATTTAAGTTTCAAATGATATACGATTCCCTCGAAGTTTTATTCGTAGTTGTAACCATTTCAGTTTTTAATGTGCATTTTATGGCAATTTTTATTTCCCTTTTTAGAGCATTAAATCCTAGGTCGCTTTGGTTTGAAATTCGGTCGAACTAAACATGCTGCTTTGAAAGTTTTAAACTACCAGAGCTATGGTACACTATTACCATAGCCTAATAATCCCAGAGAAATTAATAATAGGATGACAGTAATAAAAACAATTATGGTATAAATGTGCGTACTGCAGCTTCATCGACTGTCAGAAAGTGTTAAGATTCTGTTCCACATATGAAACTATTGTGTAAAACGATAAGAAAGCTAGAGTAACTGAAAAGCACTTGGATGGATAATGGAATACCTCTGGTATTGAAAACAGAGGTTCACAGTGACAGGAGCGAGGGTAGACTAGATAGTAGTTATAAATGGAGGGCCACAATGACTAAGAGTACTTGGACCTGTCCCGTTTCTAACGAACGTTTATCAACCTGTCCAAGTTCTCTTTCACATCCCTGTTCACAAGACAGGAAGCTAGTGACACTAGTCTAGACAGAGGATGACCGAGAGAATGCAAAATTATCTAGACATACTTTATAGATGAGAAATGGCTACTTGTCTTCAACCCTAAGGAGTGTAATGATAAGAGCCCCAAAACAGGAACAAGGATAACCAAATAGTAATATAGGATAAAAAAAAAAGGTTTCCTTATCAGAGGATAAATACCTGCGAGGAAGGATAATGGAAGGATGACATACATCAAATTTTAGCTGCAAATAAGCGATAAAAATATCAGGAGGAAGTATTTCTTCCCATGAATTAAAAACACACAGAATAGGCTAGAAGCAAACTCTGTAGCCAATATCACGAATAGATATAATTAGATTCAAGAGAAAACCGAGTCAATGCACTATGGCCAACCGCTTGATGGTTAAGTAGGAATAAGGAGCTGAAACTTGAACTTGGAAGAACATATGAGCATATCACTATACACAGACACCGCCACACGCACACACACACACACACACACACACACACACATACACACACACATACACATACACATACACACACACACACACACACACACACACACACACACACACATACACACGCAGCAGAAACAGAACGTCAGTAAAAACAATTTTTGTATTAAAATACAAATAAATAAATAATTGAGCCCTGAGGCTAGAGCTGAAAAAACTGCTAATTTACAACTGATAATGCAGAAAGTTTTTTTTGGTATAGAGTTTGGATTAAAATGTGGGAGATGTAGTTAATTGTATTTATATATACAGCAATGGAATAGATGCGAGATACAGAGCTGAGATAAACTGACAAGATATAGGACGTAATAAATAGATATATATAAATTAATACATGCATACACACATATACATACATACAAACTCACATTAATGGACATTGGCCTAAACGTTTCCACACACATACATAGATCAAGAATTCATTAAAACTCCCATTTACAGAAAATTCACGTATGTGTGTGTTTGAAAAGTAACGAAAACAGTAGAATTCAATTACACCGACGACAACAAACAAACAAGCAAACACTTTACAGATACAATGCTCTACCTGGTGACATTCCAGGAAGGTGAAAATGACTAGAACCCAAGTTTCTTTGTCCCTAAGTAACTCAAATATTGTTTTTGTGCAAGTGCCCGACATGTAGGAGGGTGCGTTAAGAGAGAGTACGTGTGTACGACACCTGTAAACATAAACGTTGTCATTTGATGCAGTGTACGATAAGTTGCAGATAGCGTCTTTTATTTTTTTTTCCTTTTTACATTTTAAAGTAAATTTGATTTCCAAATTGCTGTTCTAAATATATATACTCGCATCATCAAACTCCTTTTGTCCAGTAATAGGCAATCGTATTGCTGTAAATGAGTTACATTTCAGTGCTAAACGACCATATGTGAAGAATCCTGGGCACGATAATGATCTGTTGTCAACGGGGGAATATTTCCGCTTCCATTTGTAAGTACCGAGCGCTCGTTTAATGACGCCAAACTCTTTTATGTGTTAAATTTTCATGAATATTTTGATCGTGTAACGGGTGACTATTGACAGGAAAAAGTGAGCAAGAGAGAGCCGCACATATACACGCCATCCTGTCTGTCACACCCATCCATCATATGAGCCCCCGCCCACCCCCCTTCACTCTCACACACACACACACACACACACACACACACACACACACACACACACACACCTGCTCCGTAAACACAAACTTCCCGGTCAACATGGTGGACCTGCAGACATCTACCCACTCCTACCTCCTTCTCCCCTGGCGCTGAAGACTTGGGGCTCCGGCAGCGCGATAGATTTGCATGTTGAGGCAGATTACACCTCATTACAACTAATGACACCCCTAACGGCGCTGTCCAATGACGGTCATTAGCATACACAACGCCAAGTCCCTGACACCTTCCAACCCGACACACACAAAACCTAACATAAATCCTGACAAACACAACCTCTGACAAACACAACCTCTGACAAACACAACCGCTGACAAATACAACCGCTGACAAACAAATTCTAAGGGGACACAAATCCT